ACCTATATCAACCTCCCTACTCCCCCTTATCCGCCCGAGACGCTCCATTTCGGTGGTTGCCCATCTCGCCCTCAGTCGCCCAACCTGCCCGTACTGGACCGCGCCCACAAGCTCCGGCGCAACAAGCGCAATTTTCGGAGCGGCATGCCTCTCCGCAAGCACATCGCTCGCCTCGGTGGATCTGTACGTGTCACGTATCTCCGACCAAGAGCTCCTCGTCTCCCCTATGCCTCCCCGCTGACCTTAAACTCCAGCGCTCAAAGTCCGACGACGACAAGCCCTACCTCAGCTACTACGATGCCAACCTGACCTTCGGTGACGTCAAGTCGCTCAAAAATGACTGGCTCCCCGACAGTGTCATCACCTTCTGGCAAGAGTACCTTGAGCGCGAGACCCTTCCCCGATATCCCCAGGCCCGCATCTGCCTCCTCCGCCCCAGCATGACCTTTTGGCTCATGCATGCCGATCCGCGCGAGACAAACGGTGGCCTGCCCAACCTCACAAAGGTCACTCACCTTTTCCTCCCCATCAACGACAACCGCAACGTCTCCGACGCCGAGGGCGGCTCCCACTGGTCCCTGCTGCTCGTTTCCGTCCACGACGGCATCGCCTTCCACTACGACTCCCTCGGCAATGCCAACTTCGATGAGGGCAGACTCGCCACCCGCAAGCTCTCAGAACACCTCCGCCGCCCCCTGCGCTTTATCAACCTTGACGATAGCCCGCAGCAGGAGAATGGCAGCGACTGCGGCGTCTTCGTTTGCCTCCTCATGCGTCACTTGCTCGTCAAGCGCCTGCTGGGCGCCACCGCCCGGGAAAAGGTCTCCATGAGCATGGGCGGCAAGATGGTAGACAGCCACGGTGGCCGGAAGGAAATGCTCCGAATCATTGAGAATCTGCACAAGGAGGCGGAACGGCGCCAATCGTAAGTGCCACACACGATGCACCCGTGCGCTGCCAGCTGCCTGTACTAACACTCGCCATCCAGACGAAGCACCAGTCCAAACAAAGACAAGACGCCCCCACGCATCGATTAGAGGTCGGCTGACTGGGGCCGACTTGATCGGTTTGACAAGCTCGTACGGCCCGCATACAGCTGCTACGCGGAGACGGTCACCGATTCAGACGACTCCCGTCATTCCGGCGGCTCACTTTACTCCACCATAGCCTTTGCAGGTTCTGTCAAGGAGCTGCACCTTGTTACCACTCCGCTCTCCGCCACACTCAATTCAGAGGCGTCCCTCGCATCGCACGATTGCGTCAACGGCGGCCGCCGACCTAACAACTCAAAGGAGTCTCTTGCGTCGCACGATTCTGTCAAGCGCGGCCGCCGACTCAACAGATCAAAGGAGTCTCTTGCGTCGCACGATTCCTTCAACCGCGGTCGCCAACCTAATAACTCAAAGGAGTCTCTTGCATCGTACGATTCCGTCAGCCGCAGCCGCCAACTCAACAACTCGAAGGAGTCTCTCGTATCCCACAATTTCGACACCTCACACATCTCCAAGGCGAGCAGCGCAAATGCCTCTAGCTCCGGCGTCTCGGGATCAAATGTCCCAATTCCCCCTAGTTCTCCTACACATACTAGGCGCCACAGCCCCGACTCGAATAGCTCGAGGGGACGATGCCTTAATTATAAGAGACGCAGTCCCCGGAAGCATTGCCGCGCTCTCAGATCTGGACACGGCTCTTATGCCTCCAGCGATACCTCCAGCAATGCCTCCAGCAAGTATTCCAGCCGAGGCCGCCCTCAACATCGCCGCTTTATACTCCCGTGCGAGGGTGGCCCTGCAACACTCTGCGTCTCAAACACACCCTGCATCCGTCACAGCAGACGCAGCCCCTGCGAGCAGCGCTGCCCAAACCTGCGCAGGGAAAGCTCTGAGACACCCGGCATCGTTGATGACCGAAGAAACCAAGAAGGTTGCCTCCGACAGCCATCCAAGCACGGCCCCCAACAGCCACCCAAGCACGGCTCTGGACGTAGGGTGTCTTCCAAAGGCGGTGTCAACGACAAACCTCGCTCAGAAGCGCACTATTCCCAACGCGAATCGGCTCTTCGAAAGGAAGCGGGAGAGCGATACTCCTCTCGGCGTGGAGCATCGTACCGGGATAAGTGCAAGTCTCAAGATGGAGAATCACGTCCAGATGAGAGCAGCTCCCATCCCCCCCACCGCAAGAAAAGATCACCGTCCCGCCGCGCACCCGAGCCGAGCCAGGAACTCGTACAGAGACCAAAATCTCACTCTCGTAATCTCACGCCACGGTCCCCAATGCCAACGCAGCTGAGGTACCCGATTAATGGAGGCCGGTCTTCGCGGCTTCCACGCCCACCCTCTGGCTATGAATACGTCGAGAATCCCAGGGTGTTTGTGCGAATGATCAACGGTGCGGAGCCGCACGTACTGCATATGCCCAGCCAGCTCTCGAGCTACAGCAGCAGCCGCGGGTACGGGTACGAGCAGAGTTCCGAAGTGTTCGTGCGGCAGTTGGACGCGGAGCCGAATGTGCTTCACATGCCGCGCCCGCCGCTGCGGCCCTACGGCCGGCAATCGTACACACGCGGATATCTGTACAACACTCCCTACTACTACTCCTAGCATTCGAACTAGCCCGGCATACACTGCATGAGAGCTTCCAATAAGCGAGTTGACTTTACAGCCAGCCGTTTCTTTAAAGTGACGAATGGTATTGAAGAAGCATGTTGGTCTTGTGTGGATTCGGCTTTTTCGTTTTCCCTTTACTTCTTTTTCAAGGGCTGGAATGTTATGTATGAATGGTTTGCCGACGTTGAGGAGCATCGTGGAGAGAGCCTGCGCAGAACATGACGAAGCATGACAGCGTTTTATCATTCTTACGATTTTCATGTTGAATCTTCTACTAACACTAGTATACACATGCATAGCCTTTTTCGTCGTTTTAATGAAGAGCTCTGATGAATTCTCATGAAAATAATTTTTAATTTAAAAGAGAGAGGCAATGAACTAAAATAAGTAACCCCCAAACGCCAGACACCACAATAATTTTGCCTACCCCATTTGTCGGATAATTGTTTTGCGTCATCACAGTATTCGTAGTCATGGCTGGATAAGCACGCCTACTCGTGACGAGCTTTGGTCCACGGTAGCCCTGACAGTCGACTAGGACCGCCCGACAAACGCGGGGTTCTGCTCCATGGTCGACGAGATGTAGCCCCTCAGCGCCGCCCACCGATTCGACGTCTGCGGCGCATCTCCCCCTCCTGTCTTCTGGTCCCCCCCTGTCGTCGCCGTCGCCGCATTTACCTGCTGCTGCGTGCTCGCCAGCTGCGCCATGCTCGCCCCAAACCGCTCCATCTCACCCTTCACCACCCTCTCCTTCCTCTTCAACGCGCCCTTTTTGCTCTTGATACTGCTATGCCTCACCTTTCCCAGCTGCCCCGACCCTCCCTCTTCCAACTCCGGCAGCGCATCCGCCAAGCTCTCCAGCGTCGTGGCGAGCTTCTTGCTGCGGCCGCGGCCGGTGCGCTTCTTCTTGCTGACGCCGGAGGAGGAGGCGGCGACGCGGGAGAGGAAGGTGGAGTGCTTCATGAGGCGCTTGTCGCGCTTGGTGGAGGAGAAGTCGTCGGAGACGGGGACGGCGTCGGCGCGGAAGGTCTTGGGGGGTGCGAGGGGGTGGACGGCGCCGGAGACGCGCTGCTGGCGAAAGGTGCGCGCGGAGGGCTTGCGGAGCCCGGGGGGGAGGGGAGCCTGCGGTAGGGGGGAGTGTTAGCGAGGGTAAAGGAATGGAGGAGGGGGTAGAGATTGGCGTACCATGATGGTTGGTTGGTTGGTTGTTGAAAATGTGGCGGCAGATGGAGAGATGGAAAGCGGTGGCTGTTGGTGTTTGGCAAAAGTGTCGTCGCTGATAAGAAACTTTTTTGGGGGGTCGCACAGCTGATAACGAATGGTGGGGTTGCTGTCGAGCTTCCAAGTATCGACAAGCTAAACGATGGTAAAAGGAATTCATCAATTAATTTTTCCCAAAATTTAGTAGAAGTGATTATTTTAATTTATGGCTTTTCACGCTGGGGACAAGTGGACAAACTTTGACTTTCTTGTGTTTTTTTTTGTCTTCATGCCGATCTTGGATACGGACAACGACCTGAGAACTCATCACTGACATTCGGCTTACACTTTCACATGTATCAAGTGTCCATGATAGTTTCGGTGAAAGGCAGCAAGTACACCAAGCAGTAAGAATGAGTTCCTCTAAAACCGCCCTCTACCAGTGCCGCTCCGAAATCTCCACGGCATTCACGTCCACGCCGTCCTTGAACCAGCGCTCCTCCTCACTAATCTCCACGTCGTTGCCGCTCATCTGGCGCTTCCGCATTAGCCCGTCGGCCGCAAAGGTCCAGTCCTCGAGGCCGTAGGTGCGCCACCAGCGGCCCTCCTCGTCGTACCACTCGTACCAGAACTGCACGGCGATGCGGTCGTCGGTGAAGGCGAAGAGCTCCTTGCGCAGGCGGTAGCCGCTCTCGCGCGACCACTTGGCGGCGAGGAAGTCGCGCACGGCGTCGCGGCCCTGCAGGAACTGGTCGCGGTTGCGCCAGACGGTGTCGGGCGTGTAGGCCATCTTGACCACATCGGGCTGTCTGGATGGCACATGGTTAGCTTCGAGCTTGGTTAAGGAGAACGAGGGCTGGCAGTACTTGGTGTTCCAGGCGTCCTGGGCGGCCTTGACTTTGATTTTGGCGGTCTCGAGCGTGAAAGGCGGGAACGGCGGCCTGCTCTCGGCGACGACGGCGTCGGCGGGTGTAGTTGAGGTGGCCATTTCGAATGTATTGAGCTATGGATGGAGAGAGAGACTGTATGGAGGCAAGATGGATGCAATTCGTGATGCTTATATATCTTCATGTGGTGGGGTCGTTTTGTAATTCTCGCTCGACTCACTGTTGCCCATGCCATGGCTCGGGCGAACAGCGTCAGGCGGGTTCTCGACAGTGGGTTCGCCGGTCGGCGGACGATCGGCTGTGTCACGGTGGAATGACGGGTCAGCTCGGCGATCGGGGTTCGCTCCATTGCGCAGATTCTCGCGTTTACGCCGCCAATATTTCGACAAGCCGAAAAAAAAAACCAACTTGGAAGAGTGCCCGTGAATGTAAGCGGCATGACAACTACAGTGGGCAGCCATGACGTATGTGTACGAGATGAATCTGACAAAGTACCAACTCTCAGCCTCAACAGGCTTAGCAATCGGATATCCCATGTTAAAATTGATTTGTAAAAGTCTTCTTTTTTGGCAGTTTTGCTTAATATGACTTCTTGCCATAACTATAGCTATAGATAGCGATTATGTACCCATATGCCCATATGCCCATTTCCAGACACGTCAGCAACACACCGCCGAGCTCACGCAGCATTTGTATCCCAGCCTATCTACCGTGCTCCTCCAAGTCATCTACAGGGCGCGCCCTGATAAGTGCAGCGGCATGGCCTGATGCGCGTGAATGGGAGCGATACGGTGCGCTCGGCACGCAAAGCCTCCTCCGAGAGGGACGCGCACCCCTGGGCGGCCGCGCGCTCCCCAAGAGCCACGATCCCGCCCATCATAGAGCGCGGCAACCGTCCCTGTATCATGCTGCTGTAGTGTTGTAGGGGCGACATTGGAGCTTCGCCGCGGCAGTCGCGTGTCGCGCGTTGGCGGACAAACGATGAAGCGCAGACACAGTCCTAGTAGGTAGCGCCGACAATCTCATACTAAACAAACTGACTAGCAAATGTGGCAATAATTAGGAGCCACATCATAGCAGAGATGAAATAGTCCCAAATCAACCATCACACAAATGGTGCAAGAAATGAGCAATGATGTGCATAATTCGCCACCGGCACATCGCGGCCGCCCGTTTGCAAAGTGGGGGAGGGGCATCTCAACCCACCTCGATAAACTTTGAAGCTTCTACGACCCGTCTACTTGCGCCAACATCAGATGAACCACAAGAAGAGCCAGGATTCATTGTTTCCATCCATCCAAGGCCGCACAGCTTCTCCAAAATCACCCATGACTGACGAAATTGACCGCTTGCGCAGGGAGATTGCCGAGCGCGAGTCGGAGCTCGCAGACCTCAGATCGCAGCTCGCCGTCGCAGAGTCTGAGAGGCGTGAGGCAGATGGCGACGCGCAGACGGCCTACAGAGATTGGAAATGGCCCCTTAGAGAGGACGAATATGAGCGGTATAGCCGACAGATGATTGTGCCCAACTTTGGACTGCAAGGTGAGCTCGCCCGCTCTCATATAGACCTTGAACCAAACAGCTCACACAACCACCCATAGGACAGCTTCGGTTGAGGGAGGCCAAGGTGCTTCTCGTCGGCGCGGGCGGCCTGGGATGCCCGGCCGCTGCTTATCTGGCCGGCGCGGGCGTCGGTGTCCTGGGCCTCGTTGATGGCGACGCCGTCGAGGTGTCCAACCTGCACCGCCAGGTTGCGCACGCGACCAGCCGCGTGGGCATGCCCAAGGTTGAGAGCGCCATCACCTACCTCAAAGAGTAAGTCCTGTCGCTCTCCCACGGATAGAAGTCAAGGCCAAGTCGGCTTACCGCGATATCCAGGCTCAACCCTACCATCACGTACCGCGCGCACCCCACGCATCTCACCCCGCAAAACGCCGCCTCCATCATCTCGCAGTATGATCTCGTCCTCGACTGCACCGACCACCCGACCTCACGCTACCTCATCTCCGACGCCTGCGTGCTCCTCCGCAAGCCCCTCGTCTCCGCCTCCGCCTTCCAGGCCTCCGGCCAGCTCCTGCGCCTCAACCACCCCGTCGCCCGCGGCCCGTGCTACCGCTGCGTGTTCCCGCGCCCACCGCCGCCCGAGAGCGTCGTCGGCTGCGGCGAGGGCGGCGTCGTCGGGCCCGTCGTCGGCGCCGTCGGCGTCCTGCAGGCCCTCGACGCCATCAAGCTCATCACCCAAGGCGGGCTAGAGGAAGCAGCCGCAGACGCACCGCAGCAGCAGGCGAGCATGCTCATCTTCAGCGCCATGGCGGACACCATGTTCCGCACGGTGCGGCTGCGCGGCAGGAGGGAGGATTGCTTCGCGTGCTCCGCCCGCGAGGACGCGCTCACGCTGGAGCAGATGCAGTCGTCGCTCGACTACGTGCAGTTCTGCGGCGTCGCGGCGCCGGTGCGGCTGCTGCGCCCCGCGGAGCGCGTCCCCGCGGCGGAGTACGCGCGCATCGCAGCAGACCGCGCCGCCTCGCCGCACCTGCTCATTGACGTCCGCGAGAAGGAGCACTTTGGGCTGTCCAGCATCCCCGGCTCCGTCAACGTCCCGATCAGCCGGTTCATGCGGCCGCGCGGCGCCGCCGCCGAGGACGAGGACGAGGCGCCGCCGGACTGGATCCCCGCGGACCTGCCGCACTCAGCGCCGATCTACGTGGTGTGCCGTGTGGGCAACGACTCGCAGGTCGCGGCGCAGAAGCTCAAGGAGCTGGGGCTGGACCGCAACGGCGAGCGCTTCGTGGGGGACATTGACGGCGGGCTGCGCGCGTGGCGCAACGACGTGGACCCTACGTTGCCGTTTATATAGTAAAGAAGCAGGGGTGTTAGTTGCAGAGAGATGTCGGATTGCTAAATAATATAGTAAAAAATCGTCCGTCAGACAGGAGGAGTTGTACGGTTATGCAGGCGTTGATTACACGCAAATTGTTACACAGGCCTTTTTCAGATCGCCCTTGACACATCTCCATCGATGCATCATTTTCCAGTTCCATGTTCCACAGATAGCTCTTAAGATTAGGTGCTTATAAAAAGTTGGCGTTCTTCTTGCGGTTGAACGCACGCTGGTCCTTGAGCCAGCGACGGTAGCCGGCGACGCTCGAAATCTTCTCGCCATAGTAGTCGGGGACTGTATATCATGTCAGCATTCTTCCTAGCTTCACCCTGGACCATTTTCACGCGGAGCTCGGCATACCTGGGTTGCTGGTGCTTGACTGCGTTGGGTCGCTGCGGTGCTTCTTGACGCGCGTCAGGAACTCGCTCTCCTTCTGCAGCATCTGCGTCTTGTAGCGGCGGTTGAGCAGGTAGAAGACCTGGCTACCGATGCTGGGGCCGACGAGCCAGCCGAGGCCGCCGGCGCACAGCGTGGCGATGCCCAGCGTGACGAAGGGGTCGAGCGGCACCATGCCGAGGAGGCCGTCGGCCGCGCCGCTGGACAGCGCGACCGCGCCCGCGCCGCCACCGAGAACACCCGAGGCGAGCGAGAAGATCATCTGAATGCGGCGGCGGCGCACGCGCAGCTGGAAGAATGAGTTCCAGTCGAGGGCGGCCGTGGAGGTGGTGCTGGTGCTGGCGGCGGCGGAGGCGTTTTGCTGGAGGGGTGTGCTGGAGAAGAAGCGGGCGGTCGAGGCAATGGTCGTCGCCTGACGGCTGGCGCGGGCAGCGATGGGGAGGTGGTGCGTGGAAATCGTCGTCGCCTTGGGCATCGGGCGGGAGATGATGGCGGATCGGGCGGGCAGTGTGGAAAAGGCAGCTCGAGAGCAGGAAGACATCAGGGACGAGGAGCTGCGCAGCACCATCGTCTTCATCGGTGCAGCCATCGTCGCTGGTTTGCGGGTTGGGTCGATGAAAAGACTGGATGTAGAGTAAAGTCGATTGGAAACGTGGGTTCGAGAGCGGTCGGTGGGGGATTAATTGATGCCGTTGGAAGTTGGGGAGGTTGTGATGGATGGATGCACGGGATGGTTGATTGCTCGTAGGCTGATAAAAGATTTGAGCCAGCCAGTCGGAGGCTTCGCTTGGCCCGGCCCAGGTCTTGCCCGCAAATGCCCAATTTGATTGAGCGGCGCCAGGCGCGATCGCTCCACCCACTCACTTCCTTACACAACCCGGAGATGGGTCGCATATAAAACTCCTAATAACTGACCTCCCGCCAGAAAATTCTACAGCGCGTTATGGAATCTTGTACCGCCCCAAAACGATATCCTTAGGATCTTCTCGAACCCGGCACTGAACGGCAATTCTTTCAACCGACCGGGTTGCGGAAGACGCGGTCATGAACCCCTTGCTGCCACGGCGACCGCGACCGCCCCTCACCAAAAAGGCCAGAATCGCGGTGCCTCTGCCCTCACGTCCCGCCGACTACGTGCCTGGATCCGGGCCGCCCCTCGAACCGCTCTACCTCCAGCCGCCTACCGACTCGACCGCGTACATCGATGACCGCATCCTGCTCCCCCCGGCCGGCGTCGGCGCCGATGGCCGCCCGCTGCCCAAGCGCATGCGCTACCTCGTCGGCTGGCGCGACCTGCCCGCCGCGCGCCTGCTCGTCCCTGCCATGGAGATCCTGTACTACGTCTCCCCGCACGCGCTCGAGGAGTGGGAGTACCAGATGGAGCTGGAGCTCGACGAGGAGCGCGTGCGGCTCGCTGACGCCCGGCGCGCCAGGCAGCAGCAGGCGCAGCAGCAGCAGGCGGCCATTGGAGGGGAAGCGGCGGTGCAAGCACCGCCGCAACTGTCCAAGAAGACGAAGAAGCGACGACGACGCGCGCACCCGCCGACGCACCATACAGAGATAGAGACGGCTGCCGTGTTGGAGACGGAGGACAGCGACAGGGCGCATCGCGAGAGGCTGCGCGGCGGGGCCATGAGCCTCTCCACCCCGAAGAAACGCAAGATGGACGACTTCCTCGACGACTACGCTAGCGACGAAAGTCCGTCGGAACAGCTGCTCTTAGACTTGGCGCAGTCGCAGCGCTCGGCCGAGGACGCCGTGTCGCTCGGCAAGGAGCGTGACGAATCGGTCGCAGTGCGGCGCGTGTCCGTGGCACCCTTGGCGCCTGTGAAGCCCGTATCGCCCGTACCCATCGACGACGACAATTGGTTCCGGAAAGAAGAGAGCTATCCCCACAAGAAACCTGCGTTGGCCACCAAGATATCCCTGCCGCAAATGTCTAGGTCTGAAGCGCGATCTGAGTCGTCTGCGAGCCCTTTCCCGATGACAAAGGCTACCTCTTGGGAATCAGATACGCCAAAACTTCGAAAGCCACACAGGCCTCCTCGTCCACGAGAGCCGGCCAGAAGACTTAGCGAACGAGACAAAGCGGGTTCTCGAGAATCAGGCGGACCCCGCCCTCGAGAACAGGGTAGCAAACCTCGCTCGCAGGAACGAGAGAGGCCACGACCACAAGAACCTGGCAGCAGATCGCGCCCGCAAAATCAAGATATACCCTGCCCGCGAGAGCAGGAGAGTAGACCGCGGTCACGAGAAACCAAAGTGCCCCTCCCTCGCCAAGGAGAATCACGTCGTCCGCGAGAGCAGGAAAGCAGCAGCCAGCGATCACGTGAAACACAAGTGCCGCTTCCTCACCCACCAGGAGCGCCTCGTCCGAGAGAGCAGGAGAGTAGCCAACGACCGCGAGAAACACAAGTGCCGCTCCCGCGCCAACCAGGAGCGCCTCTTCCGCGCGAGGAGGAAGCCCGACAGCGGCTACGAGAAACACAAGTGCCGTTTCCTCACCAACCAGAACCGCGTTTTCCTTGGGAGAAGGACAAGCGGACACCGCAAGAGCGAGATCGAGCCCGCCCACAAGAAACAGACAGGCGGCGCCCGGCCGAGCAAGAACGGTCGCGCCCACGAGGCGACAAACCCCGCCCACAAGACCCGAACAGATCGCGTCCGCGGGTTGGAGACGCTCGCACGCGAGATGCCTTCGACAGGCCGCGTCCGCGAGATCAAGACCGACCTCGCCCCCCGCAACCGAACGCCTCTCCACGAGAATTCGAACTGCGGCCGCAGGGTTCGGATGGAGCCCGCCCGCGAAAAGACAGCTCTCACCCACGAGAAGATAGACCTCGCCCGCGAGAGGACCGGCCTCGCCCACCACATCTAGACAAGACATCCGCACCAGCGAAAACGCACTCTCCACGGCCACTTGCTACAGAACATTTCCCCACCGTGCAAGGCAACAGTGGCACGCCGAAAACCGCAGCACATCAACCGGTGCCAAAAAAGGCGCCGGAGCCGCACGTCGGCGGCAGCTCCCAGCTGCGACCGCAAGGCCAGCCCAAGTATCGCTCACACGTCGCCCAGAAAAAGCAAACCCAAACATCCTCCGCACCTCGGAAGCGCACTCCCGCCAAAGAGAAACCGGCGGTCATCTTTGCCGACTCTTCCTCTGAAGAAGACGACGACGGAGAAGAACCGACGTGGGACGTCGAGCGTCTCGAGGACATGGAGCTCTACGACGTCGAGGGCCGTGGCCTCATGCGGTACTTCAAGGTGCGCTGGGTCGGCGACTGGCCGCCCGAGCAGAACCCGACCTGGGAGCCCGAGGAGAACATCCCCGACGACCTCGTCCGCGAGTTCTGCCGCACCTTTAAAAAGAAGACGGCGCAGTCGTCGTCGTCGTCCACCCCCGGCCCTGCCGCCGCTGACGTCGAGATGGGGGACGTTGGTGAGGATCGTGGATTTTTGCCCCCGATGCGGCCTGAGGATGACGAGGACGACGAGGACGACGCGCAAAGCGGCATGTTTGTCTACTCGAGCGACGACGGCATGGAGCAGCACACGTGGGACGCGCCCAACTCGCAGGGCTTCCGGCCGAACCTTAACATGGTCTTTCCGGCGCCTATGCAATAGCAACCAATCGACAGGGTGAAATGACTTCGGTCTACGCTGCAAAAAGATGATTAATTTTTAATTCTTCTGAAAATAATACATTCATGTAAAGTTAACTTCCGAGGTGCGTCGTTCTCTCACCTTGTGTGACTGCAATTGGCTCAGCTGGCTGCATCGATACATGGCTGCTGACCGTTTGCCGTCAAAAAATCAATTTCGGAAATCGCTAATACTTAGTCCTTTAAAAGGATGCTCAAGCTCTAGAGATAGGCTAGTTTCAAAGTACATTTGCAACAGCTAGATGAACTTCCTCTTGTAAAATGCAATGATTTCGCATCACCTCCCTTGGGCATGTACCTCACTCAGAACTCAATAATCAGATCCTCTGGCGCCATAGCAAAGAATGCATCGACCGCATAGGGACGAGGCGTGTCCTTCAGACCCTTGCAGCCAAGCTCGCAGCTCTCGTCGCACTGGGGAACAATGCCTTCGGTGAGGCCTTGCTGCGCGGCCAGCTCCCTCCGGTGCTGGGCAATCTTTCCGTAGGTGGAACATCGTCGCAGGCGGATGGTGTGGCTATTCTGGAAGTACCCGTCCCAGGCTCCGGGCAACTGGTCTTCCTCAACACTGTCGAGCAGCTCCCTTGGCTGTCTCTCGTGTTTCTTAGCTCTGGGGAGAATCATTAGCAAGAAAGCTTGAACAACTCTAGAATGGGCATACCTCGAGCCATATTTTGGGAAAGGAAGTCTTCCTCGAGGTTCGTCCTCGACAATCGTACTCGTGGTTGACACGGTATCCATCGAGTCATCGTCTGTATCTGCTTCATCAGATGCCGAACTGTCTCGCTCCTTATTACTGTCGCGAGGTTGCAGGTGGCGCGCTACCATCGCATAGTAGTATCTCTCCGGCCAGTATCCGTTGAACGGCCGACGATTGAATTGCTGCCGCACATCGTTTGGGGGCAATGTCATATTCCCTCTGTGGTCAACTTGATCTGCGCCGATTTTAAGCTCCAAATCGCCAATTTCATCCTTGAAAACAAAGTTGAAGCTGCCGCTGCTCAGTTGTGTCACTGCGCAGCGCGCAGAAAACAGGCTCGCAAACTCCAGGACCAGCATCCTAGTAGTTCCATCGTATATGGAATCTAAGACGTCTCGACTGTCTGCAATTGCACAGATCAAGAACCAGACCCGGTCCGCGGCAATCGGCGAAATATGAATCGTCCGTGTGTAGCCGTTTTGCAGCGCACCGTCGATGATGCCGTTGATGGTGTACGATGGAGTAGACACAACCCAGATTTGGATTCTTGGTAACCCATGCTTCTGCAAAATAAAACCTGGAGAGGTCGACCTGACCGCCTGCTGGCACATGGTCGACGACTGAGGGTCCGCAAACTCAACCATCATCGTGGTTGGCTCCCCGGCGAAGACGAAGAGCACCTGGCCAAAAGCCGCCGAGGCTCGCGCGACTTGCAAGGCGGTAGTGGACGGCGGGAGGTTGTAGAAGAGAACGCGACGGCTTTCCATAGTGCCAGGCTCGGCGTCGTTGCCGCGATAGATCTTGGGATTCTGAATAGCTAGAATATCGGGATGGTAGTTCAAGAGGAGAACGCTGGAAGGGTCGCTTTGGGGGTCGTCTTCAGAGTTTTTCGATGCCATTGTGAAAAGAGTAGTAATACTTCGGTCAATTGATGCTGCTCAACGTGGTTAAAGAAAGATGCGGGATTTGCGCTTCGCAGCAGCAGCAGCAGCAGCAGGTGGGAGTAGAAGGAACGAACGAGGAGAGGAAGGGAGCAGGCAGACGGAAAGGTAAAGAGGCCGTTAACCAGAGGGGGAGAAGCGCAATTTACAGGCAGTGGTACACAGAATTTATTAAAGAAGACTCAAGGCTGAAGAACAATTAGTACAAACATGATGTGTGAATACGCTGGAGTTGACGATGCAAGTGAACGTGTGGTTCAAACAGGCCATGTCGGCATCTGGCCGAGGAGTGTTGGACGGATGGATTTGGCCGCCATATTGGAAACAGATCAATTCTAGTTTTCATTTTCGTCCTTCAAGAAGTGTCCCAATTGCTACTTCAATTGTTTATACTTCCATAATATTCCCCGGCAGCTGCAAATATCATGAACCTGGTAATCTTCCGTCTCCGCCGATTTACACGTCAACATCTACAAAGGACCTAGACCATGATACAGTTCAGCGTCAGCAACATCAACCTCCAGCTTGGACTCTCTTTGCAATATCCTTGATACGATTTACTTCATTGGAGCAACCCTGCTGTCGCTTCTTGGCATTCCTGTCCAGCTCCTTCAGGACTCGCTGTCGATCTTTCGCAGCCTCACGAAGGCCGCGCTTCGCAGTGCTAAGAGACTTGCTAAACGTATCCCTATCTTCATACAGTCTCTGTAGGAGGACTTGACGCTCTTTTGCAAACCGGTTATGGAGGCGATCCACGCAACGGGCGCCATTCTTGAGGTATGTGGAGGCGACGGAGGCGACATCCTTCTCTTTGTCTTGTAGGTACGACACAACTCGCTAGGTAATGTCAGCTAATAACAGACACAGCCTCAGGTATGATATACTACCTACCTTGTGAATGTCCTGCAGCCGATGACCAATATCCTCGTCGCGCCTGGACACAATTTTGGGCACGAGAGTAGATAGGTCTCGCATGAGCGGAGGTCGAGTAGCGGTAATCGATTCAACAGAATCTTGCACTTCGTCATATATGAAAGGGGTAGATGGAGGCCGGGGAATAGGCGGGTGCGACAAAACAGGGACCTGGGTGCTGGAGATGCGTCGAGGGCTTGGAACGGTGCTCGGCGTGGTCATTCCTGTCGAATGGGTTGACCCCGCTCCACTGCTCTCGTCCTGCTCTTCATCATATGGAACAACGGTCTCAGCAGGGGCAGGGCTGTGATTCTGGGGATAGAGATCCTCGAAGCTAGCATCGAAGATCACCTCGGCTGGCTGACTGGACCCAAGTTCTGGAGAGGTGGTAACCTGTATCGGGACAGGAGACACGTTCTTTGGCATTGTGTTTGCAGCACGTGTCTTTGGCTTCAGTTTAGCGGGAGTCTCTCGGGGCTGACGCCTCTGGCGCTTCTTTGGTCTCTCGGTAGATACTGGCGGAGTGGCAGGAAGCGTGGATGGGACGATAAGAGTCACTTCGTCCATTGGCAGTGGCGTTTTGCGGCGCTGTCGCTTCTTTCTTCTTTCTGCCGTCTGAGGACCGCTCTCGGCTTGCTCATCTTCCATTCTGTTCTTTGCTGATCTTTTCTTCGTCAATTTTGGAAATTTGTCTCTGGCAGGGCTGGCGTTCCGCTTTGGGTTCAAGACCGCACCTCGTGGTGCGGGTTTCGGAGATGCATCTCCATCTGGTTCATCGTCGTCATCAGAGCTACTTTCGCCATCGACATAGGAGATTTTGGGCCTTGATCGAGTATTATATGGCTTTTTCTGTGCCTGTTTGGAGTTGCTCCTCGCTGGAGCTGGTGCATCGTTTGACAATTCGGCTGGCTGCTCAACACGAAGACCAGCAGGTTTTTCTGCTGTTTCGGAAGCAGCGAACAGCGGCAGGTCGGATTGTTCATTGGGAAAATTGAACTGCTGATCCAGGTCCTCGTTATTGCAGGGCGGCGTACTTCGATTGTTTGTTGAACACGTCTCGGACAAGTCTAAATGGTCAGGCTTGTCGGCGGACTTGACAGCCGTGTTACGAATCAGCTCAAGTTGGGACGGAAGTGGGACTGTTTCTGGTAGCTGTTCGTCGTTTTGTTGGGCGCTGGAGAATTCGTCAAGTGGTATGTCTTCTACTCCAAAGTCCCATACGGAACTCGGGTTCTCAGAAGTAGCATTTAGCCAATAGTCACCTTGTTTCGATTTCGGTGACTCCATACTTCTCATGTCATCATCCTCGATGCCCTCGTCGCTGAGGGTGGAATGAAAATGCATTCCCATGATGAATGATTAAAGGCAGGGGAGAAATAATGGCCCAAGTAGAGAAGCAGTGCTTCATGGCAATCCATACAAACGGAACCAGGTCTAGAGGGCCGGGCGACAGGCCGTCAGGACGGCTGGTTGACAGCTGGCAGCTGGCAGCTGGCAGCTGTCGGCCACTGACAAAATCACCCAAAAACATATCAGCATCGAGAGTGCGGTGTTCAACAATTCAGACCATCAACTATGCATGTATCGAACCATCGCTGATCAATACGTGTCCAAAAACAGTCCGGAAAAACGAACATGATTTGTAAGATCTTACCCTTTTGCACGCACTTCGATTCCCTGTACATTCCTTCCCCCTGCCAGCACAGTCAGCTGAACTCCGCTCACTACAGCCGGCGAGTGGCATCACTCTTCCCGACCCAGCTGGATTCGTCACCAGTCGAGTTACTCTCGGATAGTCGGGTTTATGGCTTGGTTGAGCCCTTGTCACTGGACGGAGCGTCGCGAATCATGTCCGCAGGGCCCGCAAGTCCGCTGTCGCAAAGGAGTTAGCAAGGACTTAACTAGCGCATAAGGCTGTGAGAGGCAGGCTCAGCCAGCGACGGGCCGCAACTAAGTTATTAGTTACCAACTTGCCTCTTGCTAATTCAACTCTATCTCCTTCTTTCCAGACAATACAGACGAATCGCGCCATTCCAGCTAGGCTGCATCGCTTGACGAGGTTCTCAAACGCCGACCACCCACCCATCACCACAAGGACCGACAGTCCGCGGTCGCGATGACGAGACAAGAAGAATCGCCACAGGGCCGGTGTGGCTCGCTCGCGCCGCACACAATATACGAGACGGAGGCCGCCGAGCTTACGGACCTTTCGGCCGAGTGCACGTTCAAGTGCGGCGAGACAATATCCCGACGTCTCTGGGATGCCAAAGACGACTGCACGGCGCACGCCGACGACCCGTCGGCTCCCGACACGGTGCTCTACCTCGCCTACGGATCCAACATGTGCGCGCAGACGTTTCTCGGCATGCGCAAGATCAAGCCCCTATCCCAGATGAACGTGTACGTTCCCAGCCTGCGCCTGACGTTTAGTCTGCCGGGAATCGCGTACATGGAGCCGTGTTTCGCCAATGTCGAGTACCGCGACGGCCCCGCCGCGCCCGACGACGGCCGCGGCCACCCGGACGAGCGCTGGGATGGCTGTCTGGTCGGCGTCGTGTATGAGGTCACCAAGGCAGACTGGCGCAACATCATGCGCACAGAAGGCGGCGGCGCCAGCTACCAAGAGATTGTTGTGCCCTGCATCCCGCTGTCCACTTCGGTCAGCGGCGCCGCGCCGCTGCCTGGCACCTTCATGGCCCGCACGTTGCACGCGCCGCGCACACCCAACAGCAAGCGCCCCAACCACTGCAGCTGGTGGGATCGCCTCACGACTGGGCCGTACCGTCCGCGCGACGACTACGCGCAGCCTAGCCTACGTTACATCAAGCTACTGCGGGCTGGCGCCCGCGAGCACGATCTGCCACAAGTCTACAAAGACTACCTAGACTCGACGCAGCCGTACACGCCGACGCACATCGGGCAAAAGATTGGAAAATTCGTTTTCATACTCCTCTTTGGACCTCTGTTCCTGTTGATGATTCGCATTTCAGCATTATTCGCTGATGAGCAGGGTCAGGCGCCCAAGGCCTTGGCGATGATGATGACGATCATGTCCAACACGATGTGGATCGGCTATGACCATGTGCTGAAGCCGATTTTTGGGGAGGGTGAGAGAACGGTGGTAGAGGGTGATGCAAAGAGGGAGACGGCAAATTCAGTCAGTGAAAAGCGAGCGTTGTTAGAAGCATATTCATCATGAGGGACTCGTTGGTTAGGGGTGTCTTTACTGCCACATCTGCATCCCTATACAGATACCGCACACCTAGTACGAATAGAACTTTACTTCGCATTCATACCAACCTCACCACACACAAAACTTGAAAGAGCTGATGGAGACGTACGTTGTGAGTCGGCGTGTTTAGAACAACTCACGTTAAACTTGAGAAAACGCAGGGGGGTATACATCTTCTCAATTAGGACCAGGATACTCACACAGTGTGTCGCGCACTGAGCGTTGCCTGGCGAGGCTCAGTTTGCCCCTTTTTTGCCAACATCAAACTTAAATCTATAAATAAATTGGCAGCCATCGAGCGTTGTCAACTGCGATAAGGTACATCGCTGGAAGCAAAGCACAACCAACCTCTGGCTTTTTCACGGCTCATGGCTGAGCTGGTCGGGTGGTGAAATTGCGGCCTGGCCACCAAGCCGTGCGTGCTGGAAAGGCCGCCTAATCAGGACCCGAGACCAAATCGAAAAAGAGTTTGACATGTCTCCTACAGCCTTGTCAATATCCTTTTATCTGTGACGACCGAGCCATCTGCAGCTGCCGGGATGAAAAGTGAGCTCTGAATCTCGCCCCCGCACTCTGGAACCGACGACGCCGGTCAGCGGACGGGCGTCGAGCGTCCGTCAGGTGCACCTCTGTTCAGCGTTGTTTATTTTTAGTTGATTCTTGCCGAAGACCCGCGAAGCCGTTTCCCCTCGTCGTCTTGGCGGTCGGCGGGCAGGCATGAGACAGGCATGAACTACAGATCAGGACATGCCCCAGGTGAAGACATGGCCCAGATGAAGGCAAACAGACTGGCTCATTCAGGCTGTTGTCTGAGGTGACAGCACGGGACTGACACCCGATGCCTGATGAGCAAACAGAACTTGGTGTTTCGGTGTCCACGAAGCGCTGCAGGCCCTGCAAAGAAGTTGTATAATTAGCAGAAGCTCCGCCTGTTGTCCCGGCTACTACCTTTGATGTTAACGTCCATCCATCATTAAGCCTATTGCGAGAAAAGACCTATCTTGTATACACATACTTCTCTTTTCACCTTTATTATGAAGCTCTCACTCTCGACGGCGATTCACGCCCTTCTCGTTGGAGCGCCCTGTGTGCTCGGCTTCGACCGCACAGAAGAGGTCATGAGCGACGGCGTCGTCCACGTCACCTTCTCCAACATCACCATCCCCGACATCGTCCCCGGCGACGCCGCAGCGGCAGCTGTGCAGCGGCGCACCAACGACCCGATCTACACGTACAGCGAGTGCCGCGACGCCACCACCTACTCCCAGACCCGGCGGTACGGCGTGACCGGCCTGCTCGAGTGCGGCGAGCACCAGAAATGCACCGTCAACCCGGGCCTGGGCGCGCGCATCTCCTACTCGTGGTGCGGTGCCATGGACTTTCCGCAGCTGCTCCGGCTGGCCAAGGCGTTCCAGCCGGACCTGCCCTTCGCGAACCCGACGGTGTCGCACCTGTCCTACCCGCTCGACTGGAACGGGCCCGCGAAGAAGCGCGTGTACCTGACGCAGGCGTTCGTCGTGGCGGAGGCCACGTGCCGTCACTGCTACGGCGGGCCGGGCGTCCGGGAGGGCTGGTGCGACGACTGGATGAAGAGCAGCGGCGAGCTGCCGTGCGACAGGGAGCGCACGTGCTGGGATTTCGTGCTCAAGGGCGCGGATTACGAGTGCACCGAGGAGTCTCGCTGCCAGCTGCTGGCTGGCTGAGCGAAGACGGCTCCAAGTGAGGCGGGTTTGAGGGCCCAATATGACTGCCACGGACTTGTACGTACATATTGGATGCTAGGGATGTTCGGCCATGGACTACCATCGCTGGATTTTTTCGGTCTCTGTGACCGAGTGGTTTACCTCGCTCCACCGTTCTTCTCTAAAACAAACATGTATTTAAAGTAGTATGACTTTTTACTGATGAATTCTCCTTTATTATATCGGCAGACTAAGTGCGTGTCTTTTTCTGTAGCCGTCCAGAAATGCGAGGCATCAAGTCAAGTGGCTCTTTGTCCACGCTGAGCTCAATTACGTCCCAATCAGCGGCTGCGAGAAGAGCCTTTCTGATGGGCTGATTCAGCCGACATGATCCAACAACAGGTGTCCACAATATATTCCACAAACCTAGGTATTCGGCCTTGTATTAGCTGGTCATTCCCCTAGGTGGGAGTAAATGTGCCCATGAAGACGCAGGGAAGCGGAGGGCAGAGTACCTACCTTGGACAGCGCGAGTGATCCAATCTACCTCGTTTTGCTGATGCTCCCAAAAGATTAATTCCCCTCCCGGCTTCAAGAAACGGTGAAGCTCTCGAATCACGCCCTCCAGATCCGGGATGGAGCACAGCACTTGCATGCTCAGGATGCAATCCACGGTGCCTGGCTCAACACCAAGTTTGGCAAGCTGCTCCTCGGCGTCCTCGATACGAGCTACAACAGGTGTGTATAGCTTGTCAAGGTGCAGCTCTTGAATCTTGCTTGCGAGGGCGGGCACGAGGGCGGCGTTTGGCTCGATCCCATACACGTGCGTGAGCCGACTCGTGTCCAGACGAGACAGCTGGTTGCCCGAGCCGGGCCCGAGGTCAAGCACCACGCCGTGCGCACTGCCAACCAGCGCCGGTACCCCGACGGACTCTTCGTAGCGAAGGAAATTGTGACCTACTCAGGGCTTTAGATACTTGGCCAACTGTGCGGTGTCATGGAGCGACGGCGACCTACTCGTTCCGAGCCACCACTTGGCAAATGTCTCATCGCCGACTGAGCCGAGGGCACCGAAGTTACCAGATACTAAGTTGGACCACAGGCTCGAAATATAGACTGAATTGAGAATTAGCTTGCTGGCGGTGCTCTTGACTTTTTGTTGAGCAACTTACGCTTGGCCGGTTCACGCCAGGGATGCCTCAAAGTGAGATATGCGTCCAGGCGGTCGGCGGCGTTGGCAAAGAGACCTTGGTTTGCCGGCTCTGTAGCCATTGCACACGAAGATGTTGGCGGAAATGACTATGGCATCAGCCAATCCTGCGAGAGAGCGTGATCGCTGACTTATATTCAACAAGGCTGCGGCCCTAGGCCCCTTCCAGCGTCGAGGCTCATCGGAGCCAACACCAAGGGTTCCCGCGATACAATAGCAAGTCACACAACGGTTAATCATAATCATGTTAAGTCAGAAAAGAGGGGTATTTATTACACGTCTTTTCTTCGTTGGTTGATGCCTCAGACACACCGTTTTAGGAACGCGACAGCCACAGCCGCAGCCGCAGCACTTACCCTACCCGGGACTCAGGCATGAGGGCTGGGTCTACCTGCAGAAGAATGCATCGATAGCCGTGACCCGGTATCGAGAACACTATGTTGCTTCGTTTAAACTATATTAGCTCGCCCATCGTACCGTTTCTGGTACAGGCGGCCGTCCAGCGTTGGGCTCCTCGTTTGCACCGTGGAAAGTTCCGCGCCGTCCTGAAGGTTAAGCTTCGGTCGTCCATCTCGGCCGATTAGTTGATCCAAGTTGGCTGGGTAGCTATGCTGTTGCACATCAAGCGCATCAATATTGCTGTGAACAACGTTTAATCAATCCACTGTGTACTAGGATCGGAGGGCATGGCAGCAAAATAAATCCCGCTGCCAGACACGGGAAGGCAGATGGATGGATGCCGATAATAAAGGATAATTGGGGATGGGCTGTATATCGCTCCATTTCTTTTGAGAATAGTGCTAAATTTAGGCTGGCGATCCCTCGATAGCTGTGGCTGTGGCATGTGACAGCTGCCAAGTTCCTCGCATCTCGGCGTGGCGTAGAGATTTCGGCGTCGCCGTTTAGCCCAGCCAGCGAGGCTTCTTTCATGCGGCGACGTGTATTGAAAGAACAAAATACAACTACATACCGCGGCTTTTCTTGGATATATTATTGGTCTTGCGTACTCACATGTGTTGAGAGCGTTGCACAGGAGTCTAGATATAGCAGATCAGAAGCTCGGACGGCAACCCGAGCAATGGCAACAGAGCAGTAGAAAAAAATGCAAAAATTTGCTTTTAGAGAGATAATAAAACTGACAGACCTACGTTCATCTCAACTTGACGCACAGACAAAGACGAAGTGGTGATGCTGATATGCGATGCGACCATGCAGGGATTTGCGGTGGCTGCGACAGCTTACAGGGGGGATGGCCACTGAAGCGACCACTGAGCCTTCACGTACATACATATGTAATAGCGAGGGCAGACATATGGAGGGCTACGGTTCTCGGGTATTTCTTCTCTGAAGGCCAGCTTCTTGTAATTTTTTTTTGAAAGTAATAGACGACTCTAGTCTGTAAAGAGCCATTGTTTTTTTACGTTTCTCCTCGAGCCGATACAGCCTCGCTACCGTTCGTTCTCAACGCCTCTCACAAGCCAAACTGGCAGCTAGCCTTATCAGCCTTATCTCTCATCAGCTACGACCTCTACGGCTGTCTGCGGCGGGGGAATCCCAGCAAAAGAAAAGAGTCAGGCACGAGACACCGTCGGCCTTTCTCAATTCTCCCAACACCACAGCTTCTTTATTTATTCATCGCCGTCTCCCGCCGACCGACGATTTCTTCAATTGTCCTTCTTCTCCCACTTTACTCCCTCCTACCTGCATGCTACCATTTGCGACTCTGTGCCCGTTGCCCAGACTTGCTGCCCGCCTCACCGTCCGCCTCAACACTTTTCGATACCCCTCTACCTCTCCCTCTTCCACACCAATACGTCGCACCAAGATGACGGGCGCGGCGCTGCTCGGAGGCCATGGCCGCAAGCACAAGGTGACTGTCGTCGGATCCGGAAACTGGTTCGTGCCCCCTCACCTTCGTCTTCTGCAAACCGCGCTGACCCGCCACCGCCCAGGGGTTCGACCATTTCCAAGATCGTCGCCGAGAACACCAAGCTCTACAAGGACCTCTTCGAGCCCGAGGTCCAGATGTGGGTGTTTGAGGAGGACGTCGTCGTCCCCGCCGACTCCAGGCACGCCGCCGCCGCTGGCTCCGCGCCCCAGAAGCTCACCGCCATCATCAACGAGTACCACGAGAACGTCAAGTACCTACCCGGCATCACCCTACCCGACAATCTCATCGCCAACCCGTCACTGCTCGACGCCGTCCAGGACTCGACCATCCTCATCTTCAACCTGCCCCACCAGTTCATCCACAACGTCTGCGACCAGCTCAAGGGCAAGATCGTGCCCTTTGCCCGCGGCGTCAGCTGCATCAAGGGCGTCAACGTCGCCGCCGACGGCGTCAGCCTCTTCAGCGAGTGGATCGGCGAGGACCTCGACATCTACGTGGGTGCCCTGAGCGGCGCCAACATTGCCAACGAGATCGCCGCCGAGAAGTGGTCCGAGACCACCATCGCCTACGACCCGCCGACCATGGACAATTCGCGCGCCCCGACCCCGCGCTCCGCGAGCCCCAGCGTCGGCACCGTCGACCTCGCCCAGGTCCCGCACAAGGACGCCCGCGGCCGCACCTCCAAGTCCAAGCTGACCCCCGTGCCCGCCGAGTACCCGCCGCTCGACCACGAGTGCCTACGCAAGCTCTTCCACCGCCCGTACTTTCACGTGCAGATGGTCTCGGACGTGGCGGGCGTGTCGCTCGGTGGCGCGCTTAAGAATGTCGTCGCGCTCGCCGCCGGCTTCGTTGAGGGCCGCGGCTGGGGCGACAACGCCAAGGCGGCCGTCATGCGCATCGGCCTCATGGAGATGGTGCGCTTCGGCAAGGAGTTCTTTGGCGAGACGGTGCAGACGGGCACCTTTACCGAGTCCTCGGCCGGCGTGGCCGACCTCATCACCTCGTCCTCGGGCGGCCGCAACTTTCGCTGCGCCAAGATGGCCATCGAGCAGGGCCTCCCTGTCAGCGAGGTCGAGAAGCGCGAGCTCAACGGGCAGAAGCTGCAGGGCACGCTCACCGCGTTCGAGGTGCACAGCTTCCTGTCCACCCGCGACAGGCTCCGCGACTACCCGCTGTTCACGGCCGTCAACGACATCCTGGTCGGCAAGGCGCAGGTGGATGACATACCCTCACTCGTGTCCAAGATTGACCACGACGAGCCGCGCCTATGAATGCGAGTTTGCTTTTGATACCCGGTAGTCGGTAGCGAGGGTTACATTGGGTTGCAGGGATCACGGTGCACTGGTAAATAAAAGAAAATCGAAAATTATATCTTGTTTCGGGTTATTAGATTAATAGCAGGCATACACATTATACACAGCATACGTCCTAAGCCTGGAGTAGTCCAAACTCGCATGTGCTATTTACACCCAGTCACTTTTTATTCCCATCAGCATCACTCCCCAAATCTCCACCGTCGACGTTAATTCTTCTTCTTGGTGGTGAGCGCCTTGTCCTCGCTCTGCAGCACAAACTCCTCGCGCTCCCACATCAGCTCGACCGCCGCCGCCGCCGGGCCAACCACCGCGTACAGCGTCGCCACTTTGACCGCGAACGGCACCAAGCTGACGCACTTTCCCTCGTAGTGCTTGTACGCGCGCGCGTGCAGCACGCCCGCCCAGAGCAGCAGCGACGTGGTGCCGAGCAGGTAGTCCCAGCGCAAGAAGACATTCACCCCGTCGCCGAGGGTCGCGATCTGCGCGACCGGGTTGCTCGTCCACGGCAGGACCGTCTGCAGCACCTTGCTCGGGTGCAGCGACACCGCGTAGTGCGGCGCAAAGATGGTGGGTGCGACCGCGGTGCCGATCGTGACGGTCGCGGCGGCTACGTGCGACACGGCGGCGTTGCCAAACGCCATGGCGTAGATGAAGCGCAGCGCGCCGGAGGCGGCTTTGCGGCCGGCGGGGGTGGGCGCGTCGCCGGCGGTGCAGAGGCCGAGGGTGTGGGCGGCGACGAGGCCGAAGGCGGTGTAGGCGGGCCAGGGCTGCCAGAGCGCGGTGAAGAGCTGCTTGGCGGCGACGGTGTTGGAGGCGGAGAAGGGCAGGATCATGGCGACGCTGGGGACGGCGTTGCCGAGGAGGAAGACGAGCGGGAAAGCGGAGAGCACGGCGTAGGGGACGCGCATGTTGGCGCGGGACGGGGCGGAGGCGGTGCGGCTGGTGAGCAGGTGGACGAGGCCGTAGACGGGCGTGGCAAAGGCAAAGGTCAGGACCTGCGCGGCGAGGCCGAGGTGGACAGAGCTACAGAGCGTCAGCATGATTCAACGAACCCAAAGGGAAGGCGAGGGATGGGAGGGGCGTACAATCCGGAGAGAGTCCAGGCGTTGCCGGCGCGCCACGTCTCGAGGGTGACGAGCATCCAGCCGGCGGCAAAGGTGCCGGAGAAGGCGAGCGAGTGCAGGAACAGGCCGGGGTGCTGGAAGGCGGCGATGGGCCAGAAGAAGATGACGAGCTTGGAGAACAGCTCATCAAGCTTGGGCAGGCCGAGCCAGTGGGTGCGCAGCGGGGTGCCGTCGGGAAAGGCGCCGGCGTCCCAAATCTCGTCGACGAGCGGGAGCAGGCCATTGGCGAAGGACTGGTAGCCGATGAAGTAGGGCACGGCAAGGGTGAGCCCAAGGAGGGCGAGGGGGGCGAGCGTGCCGGCCATGGCGGTGGTGGTGGTGGTGCGCGGAGGGGGACGGTACGGCGAGCAGGAAACGGACTTGGTGATGTTGGCGAATCTGATTTCGGGGACACTTGTTCGGTCGTTGGATAAGAAAGTCAAGAGAAGAGTCGACTCTTCAAGAAGGGACCCGTGGTGATGATGGAGGAAGCCACGTATATACACATCTGGCAAAAGGAGGGGTTCAAGCTTTGATAACCGGAGACGGCGCCGCCCGCCGGCTTTGGTAACGCGCGCTGCCAAAAACGTCCCGAGGCACAAGAAGGGGGAAAAAAAAAAAGAACCAGGGGCGGCGCGGGAGGACGGGCGACCGGGGCAACACGCAATCGGGCCAATTTAGCGGGAAACGGAGTTGGAAGGCCCCAGCTAAACTCGGCTCAGCCTGTACTAACGAGCGCGGGGTAAGACAGTGGCGATTATGTAGGCAGAACAAGAAAAGGAGAGAGGGGGGGAAAGCATGTGTGAACCAATCTCCTTAATTGGGGTCACCGTGCGCAGTGAGATCGGCTGCCCCGGTGTGCCGTCTGTGGACGGTGGTGGTGCTGTGTGGTCCGGGTTAGGTACATAACCAAAGGCCCGGAGACGGCGTGCTCGCCTCATCGCTCCGCCCGGCGCCCGGCTAGGCCGTCAGCATACCGTGCAAGAACTGCGGTTAACGGGATAACGTGCGAGATCACGTTTTCGCGTGTCGGGCGTTGTGCCAGCGCGTTATGGTCGCGTGCGCAAGACACTGGGTGCCTGATCCTCCTGATCCTCCAAGTCCGATTCCATCGTTACCCTATACACCTATTCCGCTCCAGTAGCTTCGGTGCTGCTTCACATTCCGTCCTGGGCCCTTTTCAATTTTTTTTTTTTTTTTTTAGAACCGTGTGATCGAGTATTACCGCCCTTGCCGCATTCGCAGGTCGGCTAGTAGCGTCTTTTGATCACAGCCAGCGAACTCGCCGATGGGATTGTTCAACCCCAAAGGACAGGCCGACACATACACCCAAGGGAGTATTCTATGAGTAGATTGTACGGCATTCAGTTCAACCAAGCGTTACGCGGCCGGCGCTCGGCCTCGTGCAATTTTGGAGCTGCGCCTGCACGTTTCATACTTGGTGGTAGGTCAACGTGCTTTGGAAAGCGCACTGGATGATGCATCACAACATGCTACGTCATATGGTAACTTGAAGGCTGCATGTCAGTATTTCAGTATTTCAGCCTGAGCCAACCTATGAGGTAAAAACCTCTCTCTCTTGCATCAACGCGGCCTCCCCCTCCAACCTCACGCCTTGCGACCCTCGTCATCTCCGCTACAGTTGCAAGCCAATCATTTTCACCCCAAACCCCATCCTGACTAGACAAGAAACACCATGAGCATTCCGCAACAAACCAGCATGGAAAGCTCCCAAGAAAACACGAGGCGTTTTTCGCAAGAAAGCACCGTTTGTCCGGCGCAAGAAAACATGACGAATGATGGAAGACCAGAATGCAGCAGAATCTAGTCCACCCGTGCGAATCTCTGCCCTGCGTTGCCTCACTGTTTTCGAAACCGCAATCCACGTTAGCAAGCGACAGACAGAAGCTCGTGGCGAGCCCGGAGGCGGAAATACGTCGTACCCTCTACGCAGCCGTTTTGCTGCTGAACGGGAAAGATTCTGCACCTGGACCTCGAAGATATCGGCGCTCGCGCGAGGCCAGGCATCGCTGGAATACCGGCTCGCCTTGCTGCCTGTGGAGCTCCGCTATCTTGGATACACAATAGACGAGATAACTTGCCAACTGCAAAGATACATCGCCGCTGATGATTCATCCCCAGATCCGTCGTTGTGCGACAGAGCCCCCTAACAATTGAGCGTTTTGGCGACCTCATCAAATGCCACATCGGAGGATACGAAAGCTCAATCAATGGCTACATGGAAGAATACAAATGTAAGTAGCGAGCAAGGTGTATGCCTGCTGAAAAGGCCTTTCGACTATGAGAGAACAATGGGCGAAATTCACTTGAAGATACTCTGCCTTTACGCCACGGCCCGCGTCTTCTGCAACGTTTGCCGCCCTCAACCAAAGGATTGGAACCAGGCTTTACAAGTTCGACGGTGTCATCAACGGCGTCGATTCAGAAGGCCAGTCTAAATTCTTTAGATGGGTCCTTAAGCGCGACTTCCCGCGACTTCCCGCGACTATCCCCGGGACTGACCGAAAGAATGTTCGCCACCATGGTTGAACGCCATCGACGCCTCTACTTTCGTACACATCCTGCCGCGACTGTCAAATTTCGATCGAAGAAGGCTCTTTCGGAGGGTTGCGAGGCATGCCTCAAGGAGTCAGACGACAGAGAGACTATGCTTTTCCGCAAAGTCCCCGACCCTCACGGAACAGCAGCTGAGCGCTGTCAACATGAGAGCGAAGCGCTTATGCCGCGCCCTCCTGCCTCCTGCAAGGACGGGTCAGACTTTACCTGTGAGCTCTGCTCCATGTCCCTTCACAACGAAACCGGCACAAACCGGTCACTGTGGGTGTAAGTTGTTTTAGGTGTCCCTCTCGACGCAAGACTCCAAGTTACTGACCGGCCGTCCAGGAACCACATCAACCGAGACCTGGAGCTGTACGTCTGCCTGGTGGACCAGTGTGACGAGCCAAATTTTCTTTGCTGGACCATGGCACAGTGGCTGCGCCACATGAAGACGCATTTCGACGAATGGGTCTGCTGTTTCTGCCCACAGAATCCGCGAAAAGTCCATAGCGGCAAGCGCCTCGAGAAGCACTTCACAACTAGCCACCCTGACCGGGTAAGCACAAGGTCGCTACCGGAGGCCCTTCGACATTGCTACAGATCCAAGGAGGTCAGTATCACCTTCAAAGAGTGTCCCTTCTGCGACGAGCTCCCAGCAGACATGGCAATGCACATCCGTCGCCACCTGTGCTACCTAGCGATCGTGTCGACCCCGGCACTTCACGATGCCACGGCGCCCAAGCAAGACGGGGACCGCGACTCCGCGGCGTCGCGCAAAGGTTTTGCGGCAAAGTCGTCGCACGCTGAGCAGGAGCCTGTCGACGAATCGTTGCCGAATGACGGCTCCGGCGGTGACGTGCTGCGCGATTGGTCGCCTTTCAAGAGCACCGTGGACTTGCGGCTGGATGGGAATGACGAGGGAACTCCTTTTGAGTGGCTGGATAGCGGGAAGGGTCCTGGCCAGACCGATCAATGGGCATTCATGCGCAGGTCTCCGACGCAGCATGATGAGTGGCGGGAGTGCCTGGAGGAGCGGAAGGTGGAAAAGCACAGGAAGAGATTCGCTTGCTGTCCTCGCAGGCTGGGCCGGCTCAACTGGGGTCGAAAAAACTCATGAAATGACCTTTCTTTGTCATGACTCTTCTTTTTTGTTGCATGCTCGAGTTTTTGTAGTGGTGCGTCAGGCTGGCTCCACCTCCCACTCCTGGTTGGGACTCGCCCCTGGAGGACTTCTTTAAGGATTGTTCGTTGGAGCGAGTATGAGAAGCGGCAGACATGAATAACAACTTCCTTTTGTGTGTTTAACAGGTAGGTGTTTAAATAAGCAGATGGCGATGCCAGGCGAGATTGACCGACGTTTCCGGGCCACCCCGATGGGGAGAAAGTTGTAGATGCCAAACTTCCTGTTCCACGCAAATAAAAGAAGAGTTGGCCATCACGGGCACATTGCCCTCTGACCAGGAAATGTTACTGGAGCACTGCGCTGGGCAAGGAGGGAGAGCGGAGTCTCTGTTCAAGGACAACTCGAATCTGCAAGGCTCTCTGGCGACACCTCACACACGACTTGACTTCTCATTAAATGCACTTTTCTATGGATGCTTGCTCCGTTGTCGTACCCGGCCAATGCTTCTTCTAACCACATATTTATGCGGGCGACCCTGATTGCTGCGCAGCAGCCGTGTCACCCCCGAGTTGGCAACCAATGACGACCGACTTGCCCCCGGTTTCATTTTGTGGCCTGCTTTTCCAAGAGCGATGGTCAACTGGTGAACACCCACGGCTTCCCAAATCAGGGATTCTTTTGGTTGTCTCCCTTGACAATCTCTTTGACCCGTACCAGCCGTGACGGCTGGCCCCCCTTGTCACCCCCGGGGGCGCTCTGCCTCCTCCATCGGCGTTTGCACTATGCCGGGTCTCTGGCGGGGGTCTCAGGCATTGTCGGGGCGGCGCTGAGCTTCCAGACGTTGGGCTCTTTGCAGCTCCAAGGCGGGAAGGGTGATCGACCAGTCGATCTGCGCCGTCCGCTCGTCGATCTGGACGCCCGGCCACTCCAGCAGCAGGCGGATCAGCTCCACGTGGCGATATCGGACGGCGGTGCGGAGGGGCGTCTCGCCGATGCGCGAGGGGACGTTGGGGTCCGTCCCCTCCTCGAGCAGCCGCCGCGCCGCGTCGGCGTCGCCGGCCGCGGTGGCCTTGCGCAGCGCCGCCACCCGCCACACTTCGGGCGCGATTGTCCGGCGCGCCTTGTCCCGAAGGGCGCGCAGCAAGTCCTCGTCGCCGTCGCCGGCCAGGCGCTGCAGGCTGGCATCCGACACGCGGACCACGTGGCCCTTGCGTTCCATGAGCAGCTTCAGGTATGCCTCTGCCGACCAGCGGTTGCCCATTACGACATCGACGACCGACTCGGTAATTTCAACGTCGTCCCCGGCCCAGTCGAGAAGCATTTTCAAAACTTCTAGCCCCTTATCTGTCGGAAGAGCGGCAGCCGCTTTCAGCATTTCTTCCGTAACGCCAAAGCCAGGTCCTAGGCGGCGGACTACTAGAGGAAGGATATTGATTTGTGAGTCTGACAGCATCAATTGCCTGACCGTCGCCTTCCCCTCCACAACCTCGGTCAGATAGCAGTGGACATATAGTTTCCTGCCAATCAACAATTCTACCGATTCGGATTTTACAACGACTTCCTCGCCCTTGGCGCCGAATTGTCTGAGAATGAGGCCGCCTCTCTCTACTAGACTCTTGCTTCTTCGGTGAAGAGCTTCCTCAAACTCAGACGGAGACATCCCACCGAGGTTCGGGGGCCACAGCTCGATGGACATTGCGGTTTTCAGTACCTCAGCAGCGGAGCTGTCCATGGCTTCTCGAGAGTTAAGCTGCGCCAAGAGATACTCGGCACAAATCCAGTGTCCAGTATCCGCCGCCCAAATCCAAGAACTAACCAGTTCCCCTCCGGACTTCTCAATCGGGGTGTCCCACTTTGCACCGTTGTCGACCAAAACCTGGGCCGTATCATGGTGTTCGTGCATGAGAGCAGCCAGCAAGGGTGTGATACCCTTTTTCGTGGCTGCATCGACCATCCTGCCCGCGCTTTTCAGCAATAATTTCACCGCATCTGTCGCGCCTTCTACCGCTGCGAAGTGTAGTGGGGAGCGCCCATTCGCGTCTTTCGTCTCGACAGTAACTCTGCCGTCGCTCATCAATGTCTCGAGTGCGGCAACGGAGCCCGTGGCGGCGGCATATGACACAGGGGACCGCCCAGAGTTGTCCTCCAGGATAGGTGATGCTTGATGCTTCAGTAAGATTGCCATGATCTCAATATGCCCGTGTTTGGTTGCATAGCTGAGCGCAGTCCGACCCATCTTGTCCCCGGCGTCGACGTTGGAGCCGATTTCTAGGGCGGCTTTGACAACCTCTGGCCAGCCTTGTTGGGCTGCCCACGAGAGCACGGTGCGACGGTCCGAGTCCGAGGACAGCAGCTGTATGCCTTTTTGACTGAGGAATAGTAGGGTCTGTAATCTGTCCCCGTCCGATATCGCTTTAGTTATAGCTTCAGATGACGGCGCGGTATCGCACGCTTTCTTGCTTGCAAGCGCCACGTATCGGTCAACAATCTCGCATGCTGCAGTGGAAATACAGGGATCTCTGTCTGTTTTGGTACTGTTCATCCAAGATACGCCATTGTGGCGAAATTCTGGCTCCTTAGCAAGCCGGTAGAGCTCACCGAGCTCCAACATGATTGCGTCCCGCTCTGCGCGTGCAGGGCGCCGGAAATTGTCGCCCGGCGTGTCAGCACTGGCATCCCGCTCTGCGGGCACAGGCTTCTCAGAGGTGTCGCTCTGCATGTGATCGCTGGCGCTCCAGGCCCATTGCAAGAGCTCTTCCGCCTTTTCATACCCCCCCGCTCTTCTATGGGTCTCCGCAGTACTGATAACATCCGAGAGACTGTCCCTCGGAAGATTAAGTATGCCTCGACTTCGAAGGGCGGACACGATGATCAAGTACCCGTCCTGCCTTGATCCAAGCCCACTATCTTCGAAGCAGTCTACTAGCTTAGTCAGTATGTCGTTATCGAGAAACAAGCGTTCTCTCCGAAATGAGGTGGTCAATTTACCACCGATAGATTCGATGGCGGCTGTTATGGCACTAATGAATGAATGGTAAACCTCGTGAGCGCAGAAAGAAGCGTGAGAGCAGGTTTTTGTACGAGTAGTCAACACAAAAAGCCTTGTTTCCTCGGTGTTTCCGGCCGCAGACGGTTGAGAGGTCTGAGGTGTAGGCATGTGAGGATTGTGAGGGATAGGTGAAGAATGAGGATGGTGAGGCTCGACGTTGGCTGACGAGGTAGGAGTAGTAATAGTATTAGGTGGTGAGGTGGCAGCAGCAGCAGCAATGGAAGTCAACGATGGCGTGTTGTGCCATCCAGAGAACCGAACTCGCCGCGCTGCGGTGGAATACCCGTCCTTCGCTCTTGCCGCAGGCCTCAACAGAAGACTACTGCCGTCTCTTTCCCACAGATTGTAGGAGACTTTGTCAACCTCTCTTACGCCGTCTCCGACGCCCCGCGGCTTTGCAAAGACTTCGCGTGTCAACGCTGGAAATTCTTCTATCCAAAACGTCATCTCCTTTTTGATCGGCTTGAGGTTCTTCAATTCGTTCGACACCCCCAGGATACGTTCAGTTCCCACTGCTGCTGCCCTTGACACGGTATTCCCGAAGCCGTCATTCTCCTTGGTCACAGGGTCAGATTGTAGAGACCAGGCGTATAAACCGATGACGGCCTCCATGACATCTTGCTCGACATGCCAAGTGGACTGCTGGCTTCCTGCGTCCCATGATCTTTGTATGAACGTCTCGTTTCCTACTAGCCAAGATCTCTTGACGGTCAAGTGTATCTGAGACCCGTACAAGGCTTCTACGGAGCCTGAGGACCAGGGACGAGTGCTGAACGGCCAAGTGAAAATTTGTGCGGTCTTCCAGTCGGGCTTTATGTTGGCGCGAGAAAAGATGATGGCGGCGCTTGTTTCAATCGCATTCTTCAGTAGACGTGCCTGCGATCGGGTCCTCACGACATCCTCACCCCACGCAGTAGACAGTTGTGATGACACGGGTGACTCGCTCGTCAGTTGAGCTAGCCTTGCGCGATAATAAAACTGTCGCGCACCGCAGTGCGGTGTTGCGGAGTCTTTGGGGCACTCAGTGTCCTGTAGCCACTTTGCATGCCTGGCTTTCATTGCATTGCCAATGCCAGGAGAGAGATGATCCTCCCCCACATAGGTGAAGCCGCAGGCACGCAGCGTTCCATCGCCGTTGACGGAATCTATCTGGAGGACGGAGTGACTGTTAGGGTTCTGGGGGGCGAGGCTCGGTGATGCTCTGCTATCAGTGTCGCTTGGAAATGACTTGGTGGGTTTCAGAATAGGCACCTGGGTTTCGTTGATTCGCAGGGCCAGCCAATCTAGCTCATAGCCCTGCACCATATCTGGGCAATTAAACAGCAAGTTCTGTTCTCGCGCCAGCCTCCGCGTACGCAGCATCGACCGGAGGAAGCTCATCGCCAAGATGGCGCCTAACTGAAAAACGGACACGGCCGAATGCATGGCCCGCAGACTTACAAACTGCAGAATGAAGCCGACCATGGTGACGGCGACGCTCGCGGCCGCTTTCCCCGGGGCGGCCTGCTGTAAAGGGTCTTTCCACGAGGTGGTGTATTCCTTCATTCGGTTCCCGCTGTCGTTGTAGGAAAATGAGTCGAACGTTTGGTCACCGATGACTTGGTTTCCAGGCTGCACGACAAAGATGGCCGAGGAGGACGGCTGGTCCGTTTCTTGGTGGCGACGAAAGACTCTCTCTTTCGTGCTTGCCTCTATCAGGTATGCGCACCAGAACATGCCAGCACATTGCAGGACCGTCCCAAAGACCATCATGGGAAACGCCCAGTCGGGTGCATAGGCATCGTTCTTCTTCCAGCGCCATCTGTAGGTAGTGAGGGCGCCGAACCACAGAACTGAGGCCTGGAGGACGAATCCCACAACGGCCGCCCCCCAGTACACAATGAGAGAATGCTTCTTGATTCCATAATTAAGAGACAGATTAGGATTTGGGGCAAAGTTCATGGCACCGTTGTAGTCACCGTCATCCGGGTAACGAATGTGAAGCTTTGAAAGAAGCCATTTACACATGCGTACGAGAGATCTATCCTTGCGCGACTCCCCGACAGGCCGGTCGTTTTCCGACCAGCCCGAGTCCCTCGCCATAGGGCCCCCGATGTAGTCCCGGAACGAGTAGAGGCCGGCCTTGCCCGCGACGGGGTGCTCGTCCTCGGCCGGCCGGCGTTCGGTCTCGTAGAAGCTCGCGCCGCGGGGGTCGTGGACAATCTCGGCAATCTTGGGGCGGCCAAAGACGCGAACGACGGCGCCGCTGTGGTACAGTTCGCAGACGTCGCGGCTAGTCGACGAGCACAGCTCGGCCTCGGCGACACCGGCGCCCTCCTGGGCGCGCCCGACGAAGGCGCGCAGCGAGGGGCCGCCGCAGACACGCACGGCGGAGACGACGGCGGTGAGGATGCCCAGCGGCACCATGGCGAAGATGAAGGTGTCGAGTCGCGTGGTGGACTCGCTCAGGAACTGCTTGGTCACTTGCTCGCCGAAGAGAGCGAGGATGGGAGCTAGGTCCGAGGCGAGGTTGTTGGAGAAGTCGTCCCACCACTCGGCACGGGCGAGCGTGGCGACAAGGCACAGCAGGAGGATGAGGCGGGCTGGCGAGCGCATTGTCATGGTAGCCCGTCCCATGAGCACCGACGAAAGTGATGTCTGATTTCGATGCTTATCTTCCAAAAGAGCGCCTGCATCTGTATCCAGAATGAGGGGTTTACTGCAAGTGCTCATTGGTGACCGGGTGGGCAGACCTGCAGCAGGAGCCTGGCCAGGGATAGCTCAGCTTGAAGCAAGCCATCATGCAGGCCTCACCAACGGGCCAGCTGCGGCCCTGCGGCCAGTACTTGAGTCGATCCATTGGTGCTCGACTTGATTCAATTTAGCTCGAAATATCATAGGATATGAACAATTGATGATGTCGCTGTTCTCTTGCTGCATTCGACCCCAAGCTTTGTTGATGTGTTGGGCGCTTCCATAGCCGTTTGAACCCTCGGCGCCTCCAACAGTAGAAGTGGGCCCCCCTCGGTCTTGGCCAATGAAAGCGCTGTGTCACTTGTCTGCCCAAGTTCAACAAAAAGTATAACTACCTCTGTAGATAACTAATAGTACAAGCGGCCCTGCAATATGCAGCCGGCTACGAGGTTGCAGCATGGAGCGGCAGAGAGAAACATTCATGTCCAGGATACCATCAGGGTTAGGGATGAGACTCGTTTAAAGCTCGCCATGTCCAGTAGCGGTGAGATTGGCCGATGTCCCCCCCCCCCAGGTGTCACAAAATTCTACCATCAAGAGGTAATTCTTGTGGAACTACGGATATAAGCTCACGCTCAAGTCTAACGCTATCGCGGATTCGGCGGGTACCCCAATGACAGCGGCATCCCGTCGTCGCCCATCCGTATTAACCTAACCGTAGCAGATGCCGGCCGTAGGGATTTATTACTACGAAGTAGTCCTCTGCAGCTTTGTATCGGTTCGTCCTAGCTACGACATAGGCCAGGCTTTTGGCGCATGTAATTTAACGTGGTCGTCTGACCTCCGCAAGCCACTTCCCCATTTACCAACAGCTCTGGTGGTTGCTCATTAAAAGATGCGCTTGCCTCTGCATGCTGGGGATGGATGTGAGTGATTTCGGCCCAAGCCAGACTGAGCTGTTGAAATCTACGGCTCCAGCTTCACTTGGCATGAATAATATCCCACCCTCCCCGCATATGTATGTCGCAGAGGAGAAGACAATAAGAACCGCCCACTCTCCCCGAACAAACCCCTTCAGTCATGATCCTCCCCCCAACCTGTCTCGCCCGATATGACTGATGAGGAAGCACAAGCTGCCCCGGCCACCGACGCCACGAGCGAAGATCCTCGAGATATTTTTGTTGCCGCAAAGCTCGGCGACCTTGCAACTGTTCAAGAGTTTGCAGAGATAGATGGCTTTGAGGTAGACAAGACGACCGACGGCAGATACCCGCGGACCGCATTGTCGATTGCCTGTGAGCACGGCCACAGTCATGTGGCAAAGTACTTGCTTGAGCGTGGCGCGGACCCTGAAAGAGACAACAAGAATTGGAAAATCCTCATGACGCCGCTCCACTGGGCTGCAAGACGAAGGGGGCAGGTTGAGGTGGTCAACTCGTTGGTTACAGCACTCGGCGGCGGCGGCCACCCGAACTACAAGGGTAAGACAGCCTTATGTATGGCTGCGGAGAAGGGTCACGAGGAAGTCGTGAGAATAATCCTCGAGAATAGCACCACAGGCTGGGGGGGTTCATCCTGGAAACTGCCCTTATATATAGCTGCGGAAAAGGGCAACACGGCTGTGGTCAGGCTCCTTCTTCTTCATCAGACGGTACATGCGACCTCGCGCGATGAGAAAGGGCGGACGCCATTGTTTCTCGCCGCCCAGGCAGGTCACCACGAGGTTGTCGAGCTTATTGCCAGCGTGGCCCTTACGACGCCAACCAAAGCCAGGGCAGAACGCGGCTGATTGCTGCCGCTGACAACGGTCACCTTGACACAGTACGCTATCTGCTCAGCCAGCCGCAGGTAAATCCGATATGGCGAGATGTCGAAGGATTGACAGCTTTGCTAGCCGCACTGCAGAGGAAAAACATGGACATGGTGAATCTCTTGATGCCCTACGACAAGGTGAGTTTGAATTGCAGTTCATGCGCAAGGTGGTAGAGGCATGGGCATCTGCAGTCCGCCAGGCCGGCATTCAACTGACCGATGTTGTACGTCACTAATGGGAAACCCTTCCCTGCATACGTGAGTGAATGTGGCAAAGGTGACTGACTTCGTTAAGCGTGCTTCCCAGTTGAATACTGAGGGCCGAATTCCGCAGCTGATGCATCGAATCGCAAAACTCGCCGAGAGATTCGCCCTCTATGGGGGCGAACTGGAGAAGCAAGTCGCCGACGCACGCGCCTTTCTGAACGCCTACCGATCAATCGATAATCGCCACATGGATTCGATCAACCTGTTGCTTAAAGAGGATTTGGAGAACATGATCGGTTCGCAGCTTGTAAATTTGGAGCAGAGCGTGCGTGACCTGCTGCAAATTGGCTCGTTCAGATACAGCCTCAGCCTCGACCCAGCGTCGATGCCTGGCAGGGTCAGCGATTCAATGGTATCGGCCCTTTATCGTGACGTCACGATCGTTCCCGCCGAGAGACAGCAGGCGGTCATCGTATGCAAGAACAACAGCCACCATGATTCAGCTGGTTTAGCCTCGCAGGCAATGTCCGCAGGCAATCAAGCCCTTCCCCTGCTCCTTTGGGACGGCCATCCCTTGCCAGTCCGGAACAGGAGGGCTGTGTATAAAAGGTCATGAAGTCCTGGCTCTTTGCCTCGATTCTACTACCTACTCTGGGCACCCCCTCAACGCCATATTCAGCAATCAGTCCCTCTTCACACTCAACCCCGAATCTTCCCAAGATATCCCCCAACTAGCCAAGATGCAGTTCTTGGTCGTCGCCTCCTGTGTCGCAAGCGTCCTCGCCGTGCCCGCCGAGATGACTTCGCGCACCGGCAACCACCAGGCTGATGGCGACCGTTGTTTCTACAGTAAGCATGGCTCTTTGCGTTCTGCCGCAACACCCACCATATTTCAGGCTGACCGTACTATTTCCTTGTAGTTGGGCTGGGTGCCAACACTCACGCGGCATATGAACCATACCAATGCTGCCCTACCTCGTGTAAGTCCCTACCACCCAAATCTTGCTGTTTAGTCTGTACGGTTCTCGCTTTGCTGACAGATCTCAACAGAGAAGTAGCACCTGCGCCTGCACTTATGCCCCAAATGTAGAATTCAACTAATCAATTAAGCTTTACCTTTCTTATGGGTAATTTTTGACGCCCTAGTTAGCTACTAAAGCATTTATTTAGAAAGAAATCTGTGGTCCTGTCCCTTGCTTTTGTGATGTTTAGTGCTCTATATGTCACGTCTTTGTTACCCTTCTTGCTCCGCTATCACCCTGCCAGCGGACGACGACACAATTCGGCTGGCTTGGCTTCACCGTTAATAGAATACTCTGGAATTAAAATTATTCGCTTGTGAGTTCTTACTTTTTCCCCCTCCCTTATTTCCTTATTTATTTTATTTTATTTTATTTTAAACTTTAGTAAGCACCACTGACCCATCCCCATCTAGACTACAAAAGCTAACATTAAAGCTTACGAGAACCGATAAAATACTAATATCTAAAAGCCTACTCTGTTTTTACTGCGTTCTTTATGATGCGGATAGTGGATTTGGCCATTTAGTAGTGGTCGCAACTAAACTCATGAGTTTGTAGGAGATGTTGTTCGCCACGCGTATGGCCTAGAACTTCCAAGGTACGAGACCGCCGCGGAGCCAATCACCAAGCTCACGAGCCGGAGTCGATAGTCATTGCCACTCTTCCCAACCTACACGTGGCCGTTCAAGTTTTCCAGCGTAGAGTATAAAGAGGGCACGCTTCCCTCTCCTCGACCAATCTGTTAACCTGATCTAGTACCATCATACCCATCTTCAACTCTCGACCCTTGTCACGCAACCCTCGAAACCAGCAGCCATGAAGTTCCTCAGCATCGCTTGCCTCTGCTCCGGCGTCATCTCCGCCGTTCTCGCCGGCGTCATTGTCCCGCCTGCCGACTTGGTCGCCCGCGGCCGCGGCGGGCCCATCTGCCCGGTCGGCACCAACATGAACAAGCCCTCGTGCTGCGCAGCTGTCATCATTGGCGGCTACGGGAAGAACTACAATGGCCGTACGTATTTCTCCCGTCCTTTTACATGTTTCACATCAACCATGTACTCTGTTTTTCTTCTCCTTGCGCTAACACCGACAAAAAAGACTCCGGAGAGGGCGACTGGGAAGGCGATTGCGCTGGGCAGCGCAAGGTGCCCGCGTGCTGCAACGGGGTAAGTGAAACAAGACGACTTCCAATTTCAGTCCTGCTTCTAACCAGTCTCATCACGCTGCTTAGGGTGGCCGCTGCGTCAAGATTTAGCTTCGGTAAGGCTTTCGCTGGCGGAACAGTATGCGGTCTTAATTAGCAACAATCAACGTATTGGCAAATTGACAACGCCTATTCCACCATCCGACCTTGCCATGATACCTGCAAGAATACTTCGTCGCCCATTTCTTCATCCCTTGCTCGCCTCATCGAGTACTGCGGTGGCGGGCTCGTCGCATCATCGAACAGCTTCGTCCTCAGCTCATACAGGTCCTCCCTGCACCTCCTCAACTCCTCCTCCAGCGGCCTTCTCTCCTGCCTCAGTGCCTCCAGCCTCGCATCCCACCCGTCCGCCTCCTCTGCCACGACCCTAGCCACCGTCTCCAGCGCCTCTCCGGCCTCGGCGATCTCCTGGTAGAAGATGATGTCCGTCAGCGGCGCGTTCAGCAGGCAGTCCACCCTTCCGGTGATGCGAGCGCGGTTACTCGGGTCGATCCGCGGCAGCACATGTGCCATAACGGTTGGGTCGAGGCGCTGCGCAGCAGCCATGCTCTGGTCCGCAGCGGCGAGGAGTCTCCGGATCCGCTCGAGAGTGCCGCCGGTGGCGTCGTACGTGATCAGGCGGGGAGGGCCGTCGCTGGCGGGACGGGCGTGCTCGGGCTTGACCATGTCGCCGACGAGATTGGCGGTCATGCCGCCGATGTTGGACAGCATCGTGTCTTCAGAGGTGCGGGCGAGTTTAAGGGCCGCGTTGAGCGCGGCACGGGTAGGGCCGAGAACCTCGCACACGTTGTATGTATGCGTAATCTTTCCTTGTACGGAATCAAGGACCTTTGACTGTTAGACAAGCTGTATGTTGAGGGCGAGATGTCACGTACCTCTTGCAGCGCATTGCAGTTGGCTTCCATTTTATCTTCTTCTGGGTAATTGGGTGTCGGCCCATCGAACAACTCCTCGTAGAGGTCCAGCAACTGGACTTGCGCCTCCCGGTGCAGCTCGGCCTGCTTGAGCAGTTCGTCCTTCTTCTTCCCCAGAGCCGCCGACTGTTTACCAATCTCCTTGGCCGCGGCCTCGGCGCGCAGCTGCCACTCGTACGCCTCGTAGTACTCGTCCTCCTCCTTCTTCAGCTCGGCGGTGTGCGTGGCGGGGTGGAACAGCTTCCGGAGCTTGCTGCTCTTGAGTTTCATCCACTCCTTCTTCTCCCGCGCCGTGGCCTCCTTCATCTTCTCCGCCGTCGTCGACAGGTTGCCATACTCGTCGCCAAGTGCGAAGAGGTCCTGACGGGTCTGGTACAGGGCGGCCTTGGCGTGCTGCGTCTCGTTGATGGTGTCGAGGATCTGCTGGCGACGGGCGGCGGCGGCGAGGAAGCGCTCGCCGCTAACGTCCACCTCTGCGACAGCCGTGCCGGGGACTGAAGGCTTCTTTGCCTTGTTCACGTCTGACATCTCGGGAATGTCTCATCTGATATTGATCATTATTTCATTCTAATGAAGTTTCAAGGCTGACGTCGCTTATACAAACAGCCGGGCCGCACGGCTGAGCTGACCATTGACGCTAGCCGCAATCATCGCCAACGCGAGGCAGTAGTTGGTAGAGTTGCAGGGAAATTGCGATGATTTGACATTAAACTGCCTGACGGTGGAAGTGGCCCAATCTTGTCCCATGAATAGTTGGACAATAACGAAAGACGCTGAATGTGGCCATGCCCATGGATCCGAATTCCAAGTTGACGCTAGAGACTGAGACTGCAGATTTTGGTGAAGGAGGGGGAGGAACAGTGTTGAATACGAGGCTAATCAGGTAAGTTACCGCAGGTTGTGGCTGACTGTGGCTTTATCCGCTGTCAGGCAACGGGGCACTACCAACTTGCAGACTTGCATGACTCTCAGCGTTACACAGAATTCATGGCAAGATTCTTTATTATGTACTGTCTGAAAGATTTGGGGGTACCCTCATTTGTTTTCGCCATTCCTTCCCCCTTCCTACTCTCCAGGGGCTTGGGAGAGCATATCCAGCCTCGAACCTGCGCCAAGGTGAAATCGACGCTTGGAAAATTTCAGTTTTTATTCTCAAAAGCTCCGAGTCCCATAAATATTATCAAAAATATTTCCAGAATTCAGCTGTAAGATTTTCCGTCACATGTCCAGTCATGGGCACTCGTCTTCAGGACAGACCCACCTTGATCCAACTCATCCGTTCGTTATCTGATTGATAACTTAATCTCTCACCCGCAAGCCTCATTCCTTCACCATTCATTTCCATCACACCACTGCGAGACACAAACCCCGAAACTCGCAGCGCCACACCAGCATGGCAAGATGAGAGGCGTCTCGGCTTTCGCATTCCTCAGCCTGCTGGGACGCCCTGTCGCCGCCGCCGCGCCCACTGTCACCGGCACCGACAGCTCCTCACCGTGGGCCGACGACGGCCCGCTGTGCATGCAGTCCTGCAAGAACAGTCTGTGGCGCGTCCCGTTCGGCGACGTCGCTGAAGGCACGCGCTCAGGGCTCAGGGCCTGCTCGAGCCGCCTGGAGCTGAGGTCGACGTTCATCTGCCTCGGGCTCTACTGCCTGCCCGAGGCCCGCGATATCGCCTACGGAGAGCTGCGTGAGACATGTCTCGCGCAGGAGGGCGTCAGCATTCCGTCGATGGACATAGTCGCCGGCTACACCAGGGAGCAGATTGACGAGATGGACCGCATCTATCGGAACGACACGTTTGCCCCGGGTGACAAGGTTGATCGGCTGCTGATTCCGGCAAGCGCCCATTTTGCCGCCTGGTACACGACTTTGGTGCGTCGCTTCCTCGACTGCGATGAGTAACGGCGGCTAACGAGCTACTAGGATGCGTACAAATATATTAAATTTTATCATACGAATTATGGGCAAGCCCCCGCTGCCCGGTTAATGGTAGTGACGTTGCTAACAAAAGCCGCAGATATGCCGTCGTCTGGTTCTGGGTCCTTGTCGTCGCCTTTGGTGCCGGATACCGACTCTTCACGGCCATCGCCTACAAGCTGAGCCCCAAAATCCCGCATACCTCCGTCACCGGACTGTATGGTTCTGCGACACGATGGCTGCGGCGCAAGGTGCTCCTCCCCGCGACCTTTGGTCATCGCTGCGCACAGAGCATCTGGTGGTGTACGATACCGCCGCGCATCCAGACCCTCACCCTGGCAGCGTTCGCCGTCATCAACATTTTCTTCTGCGTCCACGGCTATCGTCTGACGGCTGTAAATCTCTAGTACGTGCGCAATCCGCCGACCAGTGGCACCTGCTAACCCCGGCTAGCTTCCCGAGCAAAGAGCAGCAGATTTTCCGTTACGTCTCGGACCGCACAGGTATCGTCTCGTATGCCAACTTCCCCGCCATATGGCTTTTTGGGATGCGCAACAACGTAGCCCTGTGGTTGACGGGCTGGGACTTTGGCACCTACAACAACTTTCACCGCTGGGTGGCACGCATCTCGACCGCTCAGGCTGTCGTGCACTCAGTCGGCTACACTGTCTTGATCCTCCGACACGGAGGCTGGTCCTCCTTTGCCGCGTACTGGACAAGATGGTGGTGGTGTGCGGGGGAGATTGCGACCGTGGTCATGTGCTTGCTGCTCGCGTGCTCCGTTTATTGGATGCGGCGGCAAAAGTATGAGCTGTTCCTCATCCTGCATATCATCATGTCCGTCATAATTTTGGCCACCATGCTGGGCCATGTGTCCATCTTCGACGGCTCGTACGACGGCCCATTCTGGACCGCCGTCGTGTTATGGCTCCTGGACAGAGCCTTGCGCCTCGCTCGTGTGTTGGCGTTCAAGCCCAAGTCGTGGTCAACGCGAGCCTCTGTGACTTACGATGCATCGTCCAACATTGTGCGACTGCTCGTACCCACCGAACAGAAGATATACAAAGTCCACCCGGGGACATTCTACTACTTGTCTATCCTCGATGTGGCGCGCAGCTGGGAGAGCCATCCGTTCACAGTGGCGACGGTTCGTCCTGGTTATGTCCAAGCCGAACAGTCTGGACAATCTGAACAGGCTGAAGAGGCGCGGCTGATTGAGAACTCTGCTGATGCACAAGACGTGGATGAAACGGAAGGCAAAGTTGCGTCGAATGTTGATGTTATGACGTTCCTCATCCGTCCCTACGACAGCTTCACGGAGCGGCTCAAACATTTGGCTGCAGAAAAACAGGAAGCATCGGCAGTACGCGTACTGGTCGACGGCCCGTACGGACACAAGATGCCGCTGGAGCGATTTAGCCATATTGTGTTCATTGTCGGAGGCAGCGGTATTGTTCTGCCCCTTTCATACATCGACCTCCTTACCGGGAAGGCCCCGGATCCGCCATATGTAGACATTCACTGGGCGGTGCGCGAGCCAGCATTTGCCAGAGACATCTTGCGCAACGACATGAAAGAAGTTCTTGAGAATAATGGCGAGCGCGTGTCTGTCAACCTCCATGGCCTGCCCCGCGGCCACGACGTGTTGCAAGGGGTTTCCACCCGCGTGGAGGAGAACTTTGGGCGGCCGGACGTGCACGGCATCGTGCGGTACAAGATCGCAGAGCAGGGCATCGAGAGCCTTGCCGTCGTGGCGTGCGGCCCGGCCGGCATGGCGGATGACGCGAGAAAGGCAGTGGTGGATGCGTTGGAGCATTCCCCGTTTAGCATACACTATTTTGAAGAGCATTTTGCTTGGTAGCGGGATTACATTCGGTACATAGAACTGGCATTTTGGGATTCTACATGGACTGGTCAGCATTCAGCACTGTATAGAATTGACACCTACATATACACACATACGAGCAATACATTGATATTGGCATTTATGAACATTTTCCACCGAATGCTACAGAAGCTCGCGCGTCAGCATGTCAGAGGGCATATCGTGCACCTACGCCACCGGCATCTCCAGCAGCGGCTCGTCCTTGTAGTCAATGTCCCTGTTCAGGCCACTGCCCAACACCAGGCCAAAGTCCACCAAGCTGGGCATGCCCCCCTCCTTGCCCGGCCACGTGTGCCGCATGAACGCGGCCATCATGTCCAGCCCGTTGTGCAGCGCGCCGCTCGTCCACAGCTTCCCGTCACTGACAAACCGCTTCTCCACCCAAGCCGTGGCGTCCGGCGCGGCGGCGCGCAACTCCGACAGCATGAACCGCGGGCCGGTGACCGTCTTGCCGTCGACGAGTCCCGCCTGGACGGCCACCTGGATGCCGCCGCAGACGGTCATGAACGCGGTGCACGCGTCGTAGGACTTGCGCACGAAGGCGAGCTCCGCGTCGGAGAGGCGGTAGTCGATGTGGTGCGCGCCGACAAGGACAATGTCCAGCGGGGGGCACTTAGCAAACGAGTCCTACGCTGTATTAGTGGTAGTGTTTTCAGGCCGCTGCTGAGGCGCCGGAGGTCGGAGGGTCCGTTCTCGGAGACCCAGTGGAAGTCGATGGGCAGGCCCTGGGTCTTGAACGGCTCGGGGATGAGCGTGGGCATGTCCTCGATGAACCGCTGACTGACGCCGTGGAGAAGGTCGACGGGAGCGACGTCGAGCGCCTCGGTGACGCTGCCGTGTAAGTGCCCGGCGTTAGCGGAGAGGTGGGTGGAGCCCGGGGAGGGAGGTTAGAGAGGGGCGGACCTGTTCATGAGGATGACGCCGACGTGGATGGTGCGGTTGGGGTTGGAGAGGTTGAATTCGGACATTTTTGCAAGTTGTGAGATTTGAAAAGAGTTGCTGAATTTCTTTGGAGTTTTTTTTGATTGATTTGGGAGGGATTGCTGGCGTTGAACGGTGCTCTCTTATACACAGGCTCACAGTGCTCAGATCCGAGCAGCACCGGATCTAAGATGCACAGGTATGCAGGCTGACTCGGCTGCGATTGGCTCGGGGAAATAAATCACTACGCGGCCAGAACAGTGCGTCGTCAGATGAGGAAATCGAGCAGCTCGCCGGCTTCCTCCGTTCCGATGACCCAAGGAGCCATTGCCAATGGTAAGGATTTCAGCAGCGGCTCCTCGGCACATCGGCTCTAATGTATCATGTTGAAACTAGGCCCGACGCTCGGCTTGTTAATATGATGTACATGACAAAGAAAGAATATTGTGATAGAGCCCTGAATAAAATAGATCCCCCCCAAAAAAGACAAAAAAAAAAGGCTTTTCTATATACAAGTGAGAAAATACGGCACATACTCGCCTTCCGTCGATACGCCTTACATAAGCACGGTATCCGAGCTGTCGCGGTAGCGGCAGCCTCCTTCCTCTTTCACCATCAACCATCTCAGCCACTCCGTAAAACAGAATGCTCTTGCATTGTGCTTTTTCTCATAACTTAAAATGTTACTACGATAATTCCCATGGCTAATCGAACAGGAGCGTGTCAGCGCTGCCACTATCGCAAGGTGCGGTGCGATAGGACAAGGCCCTCATGCGGCGTTTGCGCTCGGGTCAGTGCTGAGTGCGAGTACGCACCGAGAGAACACCAGATCCAGCTTCGGCGCCACGATGTCGAGAGGCTAGAGCAGCGCCTTCGCCAACTTCAACAAGAAAACGACTCGCTGAATGCCCGCCTAGACAGTGTGCAGAAAACGCACGCGGAGTTGCGCCCCGATGAACTGGCGTCTTCGCCCGCCCAGCCCTCCTCGGCAAGGGGTCGCCCTCCCACATCGACGGCTTCCATCGTCAACTTTGGGCTTCACCAGAGCCAGCCAGATCCCGAAACGACTACTGGGCATCACGAGGTTGCGAACCAGGTCATCCATCTTTCTCTCAGCGCCGGCGGAGCCCGCAACTTTGTTGGCTCCACGAGCGGGCTGTTCCTCGCCAACCTCCTTCAGCCCCAAGGGCAGCCTTCGACATCGCTGCCCCAGAGTGGACATGCCTCCAATGTAGTCTCGGCTCAAAGAGGTCAAATGACGATCACCTCGGCGTTGCCACCAAAGAGCCTCGCTACCCAAATCCTCTCTGCATATTGCAACCAAAATAGGATGCAGTATCCTTTTCTGGACCCAACAACACTATGGCGCGCCTTTGAAAATGTGTACTCCAGCGAGGAGGAGCAAAATGGCAACACGTGCAGGCCGAGAGACGCATTCATTGTCAATATGACGCTGGCCATTGGAACTTCCCAGGTGTCCAAGCTTAACTGGAGCGGCATGTGGGACGCCGAGAGCTCCTACAACCGCGCCGCAGTTAATCTAGGGGAGGTGCTCTCTCCAGGAGGCATACCAGCTCTTCAAGCGCTCCTGCTGGTGTGCCAATATCGCATGGGCACTCCCTCACACGATAATACGGCTAGCGTCTGGCACCTCGTCGGTGTTGCCGCCAGGATGTGCTTTGAGCTCGGTTTACACAAGGCGTCGACGTATGTGGTGTCTACAGATGCTGCCCCGGCCACAGACCCCGAAGAAGAGGCCCGAATCAAGGAATCGGACATCAAGCGACGCTGCTTCTGGAGCGTCGTTGCCATGGACCGCACGGCTAGTCTTGTCCTTGGGAGACCTATGGCCATCCAGTTGGATGATGTAGATGCGGAACTTCCCCAAGTCGAGGCATCCAGTCCCCAGAGTGCACCTTCTGTTGTCATATCAGATCATCAGCTCACGACTTCCATCTTCGTTCACATAGTCCGATACAGACTCATCTGTGGAAAGATCCTGAATGCACTACACCGAACAACGACCACCATTAGGGCTCCTGCGCAGGACTACGAGGCCACCAGGGACGAGCTTGCCACGGAACTCCTGGAGTGGCATCGTGGCACCTCGATGATTCCCCTCGGCCACATGGGGACGGAATCTCCATCTCCATCTGAAGGATCGAGCTTCCGTTGTCAGGAATGGTACGATCTGCTGTACCACAACGGGATGCTGATGCTGTTCCGCCCATCACCCTGCCTTTGCGACACCTCCCGGAACAGTGCCGCGCTACAACATGTGCATGATTCCTCCCAGACCGCCTTACTGCTCTATGCAGACCTCCACAGGACTGGTCGGATCAACTACTCTTGGGTCACTCTGCATTCAGTGTTCATCGCCGGTCTTTCGTACATCTACGCGCTCCGCAACCACCTCCAGCACTCCCAGAATCGGCAGCAGAACGACAACGCACCCAGAGCGAATCTGAGCGCCAACCCCACCATTGGTCAGGTTGTAAATACGACTCGAGCCTGCTCCAAGGTGCTGGTTGCCGTATCGGAGAGGTGGGCGGTAGCCAGAAACTGCTCCGAAGTCTTCGACAAGCTCAGCGATGCGGTTGTTGCTGATGTCGTCGAGTCGCAAATGGCCAACGCCACGTCGACGCAGCAACTCAGTTTCACGCGGACAAGAAGCCATGGTGAACCTCCCAGCGCATTCTCCCAGCCGGGCACGGCAGAGCATGTGTCCGAGGAGTCTACAATGACAGGGCTTTTCAACATGTCGGTGGACAGCACGCTCCGGGACTGTTTTGGAGATTTGCAGAACATATGCTACGACCAGTATCACAGCGACGCAATAGTGCAACTGTCCCAGGATTGGCTGGTAGATCTGGCCAATGCCCCCGGGCAGGAATTCTAGAGCTCAACGTTTGGATTGGCAAATTACGGTGGATGGCAGCTCTGCTCCTAGTTTTCAGGCATGCCGGTGATGGTAAACATTTATAGTTATTACCTTATCGAGAAGATGACAGGGTGTCTATCGTTCAAATACGCCCCCTGTCTAAAAATACACGTGGCACATTAATGTGTCGGCTTCTCAAATACTCCGCAATGCCCTTTCCAAGGCCATCGATTCGGTCTGAAGATGCAATGCCCCCATTCAGATTATCCAAGATGCGGCTGCTGAGGTTAGCTTGCCTGGACTGGATGTGGCGGCATGTATTCCCCTACTTACAAGTGAACAGCGTTGATTCCTGGAAACTCGACGCGCTCCACGCGCCTGTCCGGATTGCTCTTGAACCAGTCATCTCCAAAGAGCTGCTTGAGTCGAGTTGTCGTCAGCACCGACCGCAGCCAGTCGTATTCGTCATCGTGGCGCACGAAGAAGCCGACGTTGGAGTTGTCAGCCTTGTCTCCTGAGCGTGCGTGCACAATGCTCCCGAGGGGCACAAAGTCTGTTGCACCCAGCGACAACACGTCGATTGGGCCTTTGGTGTCTCTGGTGGGCCGCTGGACCGGGTACAAGGCTGTTTTGGAGGGCGGCTCAATCGACAGAATCTCTCCTGAGCCGAGCTCGACACGATGCCTAATGGCACTCTGCGGCATCAAGGCGGGGAACATCTCCATGTACGGCTTAGGGTCCATGGTCCGGAAGTCCAGGGACATGTGGTAGCCCGGATAGCTCTGCATCCTGACGGCGTAGATGGGGACCTTGAACTTGAGCGCCGCAATGTCAGAAAGCTTGCGCGCCTGAGCAAAGACGCGGAGCATGGCGGTTCCTGCCTGCTGAGAAGGCGGATTGGGAACCTGGCTGCCATACTGCTCGATGCTGAGGCGACTGAAGTTGCTGTCCCTGAAGAAGTGTCGGAGCTGATTTTTCATCATCGCGACCTTTTCCTGGACGTCTAGGCCGTTGATGTAAAACATGGCCTCCGCTTGATAGCCGCCCTCGGCGGTAAACATGACCTTGGTGGTTGGAGGTGGAGGGAGGCCCCTGGCGTTGTAGACGCGGACCCGGTCTTCTACCTGCGCCCGAGAGGCATTTCGCCCGTCTTCTTCGATTCGCACATGTTGGAGATTGGCCACGACATCTGGGTTGAGATACAGGTGACCCTGGAGCTCATACAGGAGCTGGGCAGTGACAGTATGTCGCGTGACGCGGCCGCCGCCTTCGGATGTTTTGGTGATGACGCATGAGCCGTCCCGCTCGATCTCAGCAATCGGAAAAGCCAGATCAACCAAGTCCGGTAGGAACTCTTTGAAGCCTGAAAAATTGGCCCCCACGACGTACGGCCCGCATTCTATCAGATGGGCAGCAAGCAATGACCCGGCGAGTTCGTCGTACTGCTCCACCTGCCATCCGTAGTACCATGCAGCAGCACCCATGACAGGGGAGGCATCGGTGCACCGTCCACAGAGAACGATTCTCGCACCAGATCGCAGAGCGGCTGCTATCCCCCAGCAGCCTATGTATGCGTTCCCGGTCAAGGGAGTAAAGCCCCAGCTGTCAAGCGTCAGCTCCGAATGGTCGAGGTGCGGAAAGGACAGGCGGTTGGGCACACGGTTCGCGGGGTCATCTTGACCGAGAAGCTCTGTAACATCATCCCCAAAGACGGCGGCGACGATGGAGGGGGAATATCCCCTATCCCTACACAGCGTCTTGACCTTGCGGAACAACGAAGCGGTGTTGAGGGCCCCGGCGTTGACAACGACTCGAATTTCGCGGGTCATGATGTCGTCCAGACAGGCCTCGAGCTGGTCGAAGAATCCCTGCTCGTAGCCGAGTTCTGAGTCGACATCGCGCCGGGTGATGGCGTTCCAGGCAATGTTCATCTCAGAGAGCCAGTCGCCGGTGATGACCTGGACGTTCCCGGAGCGCACCATGCGGGCCATGGCGTGCGGGTGGTCGCCCGTCGCGCCGGAGACGTTGCCGACTCTCAGTGCTGGTTTCTCTAACATGGTGCTTGGGGCGTAGACAAAGATGCACGATGATTACAGAAAGGAAGTTGCGTTGAGGGAACTTGACGGCAAATATCTACCTACGGACTGTGGACCGGGACTTTTGCCGCATCTCCCGACGGCTGCCGGGAGGAGCCAGCATGAAACAAGTATACAGATACCTAAAGCCAGGCGAGGGTTTCCACAAGCCAATTACCGGCATGTCTAGCTCAGCGCCGAGACTGCCATGGTGAAGACGATACGTATCGCGCAATGGACGGTGATGCGATCCAGACGCCAGAAACTCCCCGCAAAGGAAAAGATCGACATGGAAAGCGGCGCCGGCGCGGCATGCGGCGCCGAATGCCGCGAGTCCGACACTGTTCTTGAGTCGAGTTAACCCTCGGCCGGATTCCGGACACCCAAGCAGCGGGAAACGGCGCCGCACTGCCGAGCTGCTTCATTTGTCCTTATCTTTGGTGATCCACCAGCATGGACAAATGGAACGATTGAGCAGCAGGAACTACAACGCCTCAGACCCTCAACGGTTTGGAACAAAACCTGGGGATTGTGGGGTGGGATGGTGGCAAGCCACAATGATTGTACCCCAGGTTTCCACCTCGAGTCAGTCCGGGGAAAGGTGCTGGATATGAAGAGATAAAAGGCAGAGCGTCTACCAGCTCCTCTTGAAACGTCTCCTCACACTTGTCTAATTATTTCACTCATAGATACGATAGACTCATCATACTCAGTGATGGCAGACTCAAAGGCGCCTGCGTCCTCCTCGGCGATGGGTGAGGCACAACTCCCAGACATTGAGAAGCAGCAGGCCGTCCATGCGGAAGGCATTGACCTCAAGGAAAGCCCAGCTGCGGTAGATTACTCCGGCGCCGCGGCGAAGACGGACCCGGCAGAGATCCGGCTGGTCAGGAAGTTGGACATGTGGATCATGGTAGGTTGCACCCACTACTTCGACACGTCTTTTACCCGGACGCCGTGCTGATTAGGCGCTGCCAGCCGACGCTCTGGCTGATGTACTGGCTGAACTATCTCGACCGAAATGCCATCGCCGTAGCCCGTCTGAACCATCTCGAAGCGGACCTCGGCCTGTCCAGCGTGCAGTACTCGACGTGCGTCTCGGTGCTGTTCGTCGGGTACATCCTCGGGCAGGTGCCCAGCAACATGGTACTCACGCGGGTCCGGCCGTCGTGGTACATGGGCGGCTTCATGATGGCCTGGGCCGTCGTCAGCTGTCTCACGGCGCTGGCCAAGTCGTACGTCGGCCTCGCGCTCACGCGCTTCTTCCTCGGGGTCGTCGAGGCGCCGTACTACCCCGGCGCGCTGTACATGCTGAGCATCTTCTATACGCGCAAGGAGCTGGCCACGCGCATCAGTGTCCTGTACTCGGGCAACATCCTGGCGACGGCGTTCGCGGGGCTCATCGCGGCGGGCGTCTTTGATGGGCTGGATGGCGTCGCGGGGCTCGCGGGCTGGCGCTGGCTGTTCGTCCTGCAGGGCGCGGTGACGTTTGTCGTCGCGGCGGCCGCGTGCTACACGCTGCCGGACGAGCCGCGGAACACGCGCTGGCTGTCGCCGGAGGAGCGGAAGCTCGCGCACGACCGCATCGCGCGTGATACGGTGGGCGGGCATCAGGAAGTCACGAGCCCGTGGACCGGTCTGCGGGAGGCCATGGTCGATCCACGCGTGTGGGTGTTCATCTACATGCAGCACATGCACCTCGGTATGGACTTCCCTTTGTTGATCATGGTGAGAAGCAGAAAAGGAGCAACGGAGACTGACGGTGTGAAAGCAACCAACGGGTTTAAAAACTTCTTCCCGACCATCGTCAACACGCTCGGCTTCTCGCCCAAGATGACGCTGCTGCTCACCTGCCCGCCGTACCTCATCGCCGGCATCCTCTCCGTCGCGTGGGCGCGGTCCTCGGGTCGCCTCAACGAGCGCACCGGGCACATCACCGCCTCCAAGGCCGTCGCCGTGCTGGGCTTCGTGCTGGCCTGCGCGACGACGAACCTGGGGGCGCGCTACTTTGCCATGTGCGTCTTCACGATCGGCACGTACGGCGTCAACTCGATCCTGCTCGGCTGGGTCGGCAGCACGTGCGGGCAGACGCGCGAGAAGAAGGCGGCCGCGCTGGCGGTGGTCAACATGAGCGCGAGCGTGAGCTTCATCTGGACACCGGTGAGTTTCGGGCAAAATCCTCGCTCGCTCGCTCGCTGTTGGTTGGCTCGCTGACCATGTTTGCAGTACCTGTGGCCGACGTCGGACGCGCCGCGCTACGTGATCCCGATGGCCAGCTCGGCAGCGTTTTGCGTGGCCTGCGCGGCCGGCGCGTGGCTGATGCGGTGGATGCTGGTGAGGGAGAACAGAAGAATCCGTCAGAGAGACTCCGAGGCCGTCCTCTTCTACGCTTACTAGCCTGCATTTCTTCCAATCGCATTTTCTCGCAATCGCATTTTTCCCATCGTGGAACACCCCCCGCAATCTTGGCAGTCCTTGGCGACGACGCTTCGGCCTCCACATTCATTTCCTCTTCAACCCTCACTCGTCCATTACTCATCCTTATCAAGGCCCTCGTCTACAAGGAGAAGGTGGCCGGGGCTCAAGTCTTGGCAGGCTGGGAGAGGTAGCCCGTCATAATTCTCCGGGCTTGCATCACCGCGGCCAACACGATGAGAGCGAGGACGGGTACTTACGGTTCCCCATCCAGCATTCATTTGTAAACAGAAAAGTGGTCATCACTTGCAAACCGGAAATATTTTTTTCAACTTGATTTGCGACTTGATTGGCCGTGAGTCTGAATGAACGCTACGTTTCTAGTTCTGGTTATCCCCATCCTCGTGTAATCACCGACATCCTCCCAGACTACTCACACCACTCACACTCAGGCATTCCTCTCGGGGACCGGCTGGGTCGGTATGCAGGCGCAGGCGCTGCTGACCCGCGCGACCGGATCGCGGTCAGCACCGCCACAGGCCTCGGACGCATACGTCGGCAGCACGGCCTTGTCCTTGTTGAGGCGTCTGGTGTACTTCCAGCAGAACGCCTGGCTCTCCTCCAGCCGGCCGGGGATGTGGGAGGCGCGCAGGGCACGCATGCAGTTGTCGGCGCTGCACGAAGCGGCCTTCTCGCACGCCTTGGAGGTCATCTTGACGACAAAGGTGCCGCGCTCGATGGTGTGCACCAGGATGAAGCCCGACTTGAAGCCCGCGTACGACGACCAGGTGCCGCTGAAGCTGACGTGGCCGCCGCCCGCCTGCTCGTCGTCGGCCGGGTGGATGTCGAAGAAGCCGGCCTCGCAGATGCCCGCGCCCGAGGGGTCCGCCGTCACGCTGGACACGTCCAGCACGTGCAGGCCGTTGCCGTAGTTGGACTGGTACAGGTGGCTGCCGTAGATGTACTGGTTGTGGTCGATGCCGCGCGTCTTGGCGGCGTAGTGGCCGGTGTAGACGGGCTTCTCGAGGTCGCGGATGTCGAAGATGTGCGTGGTCGGCAGGCCGCGCGCCATGGGGCCGACCTTGGCGTCGCGCTCGTCGAGCTCGTCGTCGAGGAAGAGGTACTCCTGCCAGGTGGCGTTGTTGACGGCGCCCTGGTGGACGTACGAGGCGCCGGGGAAGCTGCTGATCGAGATGATGTTGGTCACGTTGCCGACCTTGTTGGTCACGTCGTAGATGGTCAGCGTGTCCTCGTTGTAGCCGTAGCAGATGTCGCGGCCGTGGTAACGAGCGTCCGGCCCGCGGTACACGAGGCACTGTGCGTCGTGCACGTAGCCGTCACCGGCGGCACATCCCGGACTGGTGATGTTGCTCGGGTCGCTAATGTCCATGAACATGAGTCCACCGGCGCACGGAAGGTTGCGGCGGTCCAGGCGGTTCGCGTCGCCGCCGACCGCGCCCACGGCCACGGCATAGTTGAGCTCCTCGTTAACGACAACGTTGTGCGTGCGGCCTACCGGCAGCCCGTTCCAGAAGCCGGTGAGGTCGGCCTTGGAGAAGGTCTTGGGGGTGGCTGGATCGAGGTCGAGCAGCTTCTTCATGTCCAAGAACTGCACGCCATGGCCAAACGCCTCGGAGCCGATGACGACGAGGTCGCGGACAACGCGGATCTCGCGCCACTGCGAGGGGAGGGAGTTGTGCGGCAGGCGGCCCAGGTAGCTCAGCTTGCCTTCCTTGGTAATCTCGGCGAAGGCCGCGCCGTCGTACTGCCCGATGACGACGAACTCGCGGCCGTCGGCCGAGGTCCAGCCCCAGGAGGAGGAACCACGGCCGCCCGGGCTGCCGAGCGCCTCGTGAGAGAGGAAGTGGTACAGGTCGATCTGGAAGCGCGAGTCAGAGATGGTCTTTTGCGTGTCTTGTGACGATGTCACAGGAGGTGAGCCGGGGGTTCTCACATTTCGGCACCGGAAGGTGTGGTTGGAGTCGCCGGGTCTGGCCTCGGCGAAGCCATTTACGCAGGGGGTGTAGCCAAGCTCGGGGTACAGAGCGCTGTTCATGAGGCCTGCCTCCTCTTCCTGCTTCCAGTGCTCCTATAAACAACTTCTGTTAGTGCTGGCCGCTGTCCAACTCGATCATGGAAGCTTACCATCTTGCGAGCCATGTTGGCGGCGTGGACGGCGCCGGACGCGTACTCCTCCTTGGAGCCGGCACCGGCTGCGCTGGCAAGTCCTGCCATGGCGGAGCCGAGAATGGCTGCTGTAGTGAAGCGAACCATGATGAAGACGTTCTTGTAGGTGGTAGTTCCTGACAAGAGAAGCTGCGTTCTTGGCTTATCGAGAGCTGGAGGGCTGGGAGGTGGATGAGGCGAGGAAGAACTTCAGCTCGGAATCAGGGCTGACGGGGCTATAAGTAGTGAAGCCAAGCTCCGGCTTAAAGTATAAGCCCAAGAGAACAAACGTGATAAATGATGCCATCGTATTCGTCGCGGCGCTGAGCGTTGCGCCCGGGCCGTGTCGCAATCCGGCATGTCCTCAAGCTGTATGTCTCCTCCGACTATGCCTCCTCCAACCGTACCCGGATGGAACATCTTGGCGTTCTAGGCGCCCAGATATTCCTTTGTCTTTCCAGAAGCCATTTTCCCTGTGTCTGTGAGGCGACCTGCTCCTTTGGGCAGGTGCCTCTTGTCTTGGCTCGGCTTGGCGGTCGACGGGTGGAAGCTTAATTTGTACCTTGTTCCATAGTCGGAAAGCCGTGGGTGATTCGGCCCTACAAGGATGGCAGAGTACTTTTATGCAAATATCGCGATGCCGATAGAGGTCATGGGTCTTGGACAAGTGACGTCCGTTGGCTTCGGAGTGACGGACTCGGCTGCTGCGGAGCATCCTCTCCAGAAAACCGTCCATGTGATAACTCCAGAATCTGTATTGTGTAGCATTTTGTACATCATGTTCGAAGGAAGAGACTAAAATAAACGAAATAAATGAGTCTCTTAAGTTGAGCTGCTCTTACTATCTTTGCAAGCACCGCCTCGACCGGCACTTGCACCTTCCCTAGTTAACCCCCCGGCCCCATCGTCACAGCCTTCCCTTGGCTTTGGATATCATTTACTAATAGATTAATAAGTTTATAAATCAGTAAATGGGGTAGGGTATAGCCTCGCTTGTATAGCGAGAAGCAAATCGTCTTTTTTCGTTCTTTTTCTTTTTTTTTTCTTCTTGCTGTGCGGTTTGTTCAGCCCCAGTTGCATACAAGCTGTGTATTGCAAAAGGGGAGAGATGCAGCCAACACTTCACAATTTTGGAGAAGGGGTTTCTTAATTCAAGCAAGTGAATTCTCTAGAAAGAAAGTAACAAAGAAGTCTAAATGCTGTCCGTTTACAATGTCCGTCTATGTCGTCCGTCTATAATGCCCGTCCATCTTATATGTCCCACCCATGAATGTCAAAGCGAATGCCAATGCAATGTCTATGATGCCAAATCTCATGGTTCTCATTCCCTTCCCGCCCAACGCAGACCTAGGCCAGCCCCGAGCCGCCGCAGACCTCAACCGCCTTGGCCACGTTCTTGATGTACGCGTCCGGGATCTGCGACCGCTGGATCGCCTGGCACAGCGCCGCCGTCTCCATGCCCTGCCAGCCGGCGACGGCCCGAAGGTCTTTCACGAAAAGCCCCGCGGAGCACGCGGCGTCCATGGTGCACCCGACGTCGGTGTAGAAGACGGCGCGCTGCTGGAAGAGCCCGACGCTGTCCTGGTCGGCGCCGACGCGGTCGTGCGGCTTGTCGAGGGAGCCGGGCACGGCGTGGTTGGCGTGCATGTACAGCTCAGACTGTGATGGTATCAGCTGAGTTCTTGAGGAAGTGGTGGTGCAGGGTAGGAGGAGGACATACCTCGGTCAGGGCGGTGGCGATGGCGGCCTGGCAGCCGAGAGCGCCCACGCCTTCGGTCTTGACCACGTCGATGATGGCTTGCGCATGGCGACTCTGCGTCTCGTCGAGGCCGGCGATGGCTCTGGTCTGGATGGAGGACTGTGTTGTCGGGACGGCACAGACGGAAGCTGCGGCAGAGAGGACGACAGCGAGCTGGAACTTCATGATGTGTTTGGTGGGGTGGTGTTCAAGGAGGAGAGGCTGAATAGAGTCTGAAAGTATGAATTGATATGATAGTTGCTTGTTGAATGTTTGTGGATGTTTGTTGATGGGTTCTTCAATTCCAACTTGCCAACTTCTCCCGGGGTTTATATACATTTCTATCCCCTGCGTTTCGACCACGTTTTCGGCCTCAACGACCAGAACAAACGGCTCAACCGACCACTGGTCGGAACCCAAGATCCGGGGACCCGTACAATTAAGCTTCAATCACCGTGATCCACCTGCCATGTGCCGCCAGCTCCGGGGGTAGGGCTCTCCCATCAAGGTCAAATCGCCGGGCCCTCCGCTAGCACCCGGTCCGCGTCAGGCACTAACTCAAACTGACACACAAGGGACGGCAAGCTCCACGTGGACGCGAGGCATCGGGGGAACCGGCTCACTACGTTGATAAACTTTGAGTCGTCGCGGTCCTGCGACGCTACTGGGACCGGCCGCACGTGGGAGCCCAGATGAATGACGCGACGATGTCAAGGTTCACCAAGCAGTGGTCTGCAGTACGTATTTGTATAAATGCCTCACGGTACCTCGCTAGTTGAGAAGAGTTGAGGTTGGAATGACCATGTAGATGCCGGAACATGCCAAGTAGATGACCTGCCAATCCTAGACGACGAGACAAAACGCCCTGCCCGAGAGACCAACATCAAACCAACATCGTGCAATCACAAAAACAAAAACAACAACCCGTCTGACACTCAGCACGCCGCGTCGAGGTCAATCTCCGCCTCGCGCCTCCTAAACCGCAACTTGACCATCGGATCCGACACCAGCGTCAGGCCATCCTCGTACACGCGCGGCTCCCCCGCCTCCGCCGGCAACTCCACGTCGTACCGCAGAAGGATGCCTAGCAGCGCGACCTTGATCTCGTTGGCGGCGAAGAAGCGGCCCGGGCAGGCGTGGCGGCCGTGGCCAAAGGCGTTGTGCTCGGGCGTCGTGGAGACGAGGTGCGCCGCGTTCTGGCGCGCCGGGTCGTCGCGCATGCGCGTCCACCGGCGCGGGTCCCAGACGTCCGGCGAGGTGTGCAGCTCGGCGGACCGGAAGTGCGTCGAGGTGACGCCGAGGTTCTGCCCGGCGCGGAGGCGGGTGCCGTCGGAGAGGGTGAAGCCCTCCTTGACCTTGCGGAGCATGGTGACTGGGAAGGGGGGGGGAAAGGGTGTTAGTGGGTTGGCCGGAAAGACTTGCGGGCAGGGTCACTCACTCTCGGATATCGGCTTCATCCGCTGCGTCTCCTTAATCACGCTGTCCAGCAGCTTCATCTTGTACAGCGCCGTCTTCTCCCACCCGTCCGCTCTGTACACCTCCACAATCTCCTCCCGCAGCGCCTGGATGATCTCCGGCATCTTCACGATCCGCAGCAGCGTCTCCGACAGCAAGTCCGTCGTCGTGTGGATCGCCGCAAACGACAGCGCCAGCTGGAAATTGGCCGCGTCAAACGCGCGCTCCGGATCCGCCGTCGCGAACCAGTCCATCGCGTCGTTGGACTCGACGTACTCCTTGCCCGCGGCGGCGCGCGCCGCGTACCGCCGCTCGAGCACCGGCGCGATGACGGCGCGCGCTTCGCGGAGCATGGCCTGGGCGGTGAGGCAGACGGGGAGGAAGCGGTTGGCGAGGGGCCGGAGGAGGAAGGGCCAGTAGCGGAGTTGGCGGGCGGCTTCGAAGGCGGTGACGGTGTAGGCTTGGGTGACGCGGAGCCAGTCGGGGTCGCGGCACAGCTCGGAGCCGAGGAAGACGCGGGAGGAGATGCGTGCGACGAGCTGCAGGATGGCCTCCCGGACGTTGGCCTCGTGCCATTCTGGCGGGAGAGTCAGTCAAGCGTGGTAAGAGGTTGGGTGCCTGTGTCAGTGAGACGTACCGGTGCTGTCGGTCAGGATGTCGCTGAGGGCGAGGGAGGTTTCTTCGACAAGGGGAGCGGTGACCTTGGCTGCAGGACAGTGTTAGCGGGAGGCAGTCCCAGGCTGCGTCAGATATGAGTAACTCACCGAGTTGCTTGGTGAGGTCCTTGCGGACAATCGACTGGATCAGATGATCGCTCTGGCCCAGGGTAAAGGGCTCGAAGCCGTGCAGGTGGCTGTGAAACATCTACTCGCAGCTATCAGCATCACCACCGCCAACCAACAAGAACAACCACCACCCACCTCCATGGTAAACTCGGTAAAGCCCAGCCGCGGGTCGTTGCGGATCTCGTTGGCCATGCTCGGCGGCAGCACCGTCATGGCGCCCATGTCGCCGTTGATCACCACCGGCCTGTCCGGGTTCTTCTTGAACCAGTCGCGCAGCAGCCGCGTCGCGTCGCGCTGAAACTCGGCCTTGACGCGGCGGTCCGAGATCTCAAAGGCGCCCTTGGGGTTGAGCGTGTGCAGGTTCTTGGGGGAGGTGGCGGTGGAGAGGCGGACGAGCACGGCGATGACGGCGGCGAGCACGGAGGCGAGGAGGATGGGCAGCGGCTTGAGGGCGGCCTCGTGAGGCAGGGCCTCGAGGTAGCTCCTGAGACTGGCGATCATGGTCGGAAGGACGTGTACTGTAACTGAACCTTGGGATGGTTGACGGGTAAATATGGGCAAGTATGGTGTATGGTGTACGGTGTGATCCCGTCTTGCCCTCTGACTTGATGAGTCGACGAGGGGCGGGAGTCCGTGTGTATATATACGTTATACGTTATGCACGGAAGGGCGAGAGACTGAGGACCCAAATCAGGGTCGGACGGGTGGGTTGAACGGACTACCGGGCACAGGCTCTCCAAAAAGGCAAGTCAAAGTCATCCCACCCCTCTATAATCACCCCCGTCGTCCATTCTCCAGGTGCCGCTCTCCAGTCCACGACGGGAGCTTGGGAGGGGCCGAGATGGGGAAGCGAAGACGAGCTGCTTGGGGCGGAGCTGAGATGACAAGTTTGTGAACAGCAGCAGCACGGCACGCTGACCCGCTCTACAAAATACATGGCAAACTGCACAAAGCAAGTAGAGGGTTCACGAGGGGACTTGTCTCGTCCGCCTCACTGGAGGGGCGTGCAAGGGAGAGACAGCAGGCAGTCTCAGGTCAAACTTTTTGCGCCATTGATCTGAGTCGGGGTTTACTCTTCCGCATTCCAGCGTTTCACCGGCTTGGCTTAGAGACAACGTCATGAATTTTGCTCGGGGTTACGTTGGTGCTCTGCCACACGGGACCCCAGAAGCAATCGAGCCACTCAAGGAGGGGAGATAGTGCGACGGCTTACCCCCAGATGACGGCGCATCGGACGGAATCATGATCCCGAGTTGAAGAAAGCCCACAGTGAAAAGGGGATAGTTTGAGAAAAAAGGAAAAGCAAAGCAAAGAGGATCGGACTCGACATCATCTCCACATCGCGGCGCCGCACCGGCACCTGGTCGATCCGCCACCATGCCGGCATTCACTCGCTCGCTGTTTCCTCTGCGCCCAATCACGTCCAGGCCAATGGCTCTTACCGGCATGTGCAGGTTATTGCACGCATGTACTCAACAGCACCTATGTAGCAGCGCCAAGTTCATGTTAGCAATCAAGCCCCAAGTTTGATGAATGGCCGATCGCCGACGAATTTGTGGAGAGTCTAGGGCCCGGCGCCGTATCCAAATACGCGTATATATATTCAGCAAGCCAGCCATCCCTGCTATCTCTGGGCTGTACTGATATGATCGCTCGCTTCCCCCACGACCGGGAAGCGTGGGTTGCGCGATGCAACATCGGGTTTTGCAAACATCCGAGGCGTCGACCTCGTAGTAGGGGCTTGCTTGGCTGGCATTGCAATGGGATGGGCAAACACAAACACAGTGCGCCACTTATAAAAAAAAAGCGGTGAAAAGAAAAATTGAATAAATATCGTTAAGTTGAGGATAACCTTCCTCTTCCCAGACGCCACCGCCGCCGCATAGGCCAGAATAAGCCCCCATAACGAGAGAGGATCAAGCCCATAGCTAGACGGCCGATACGGTTACGAGATGACTGGGAAAGGGGACGCCATCATCGTCAACAAGAACCCCCCCCCCCCTCTCAAATCCCCTGATGATTATGCACATGCCGCGTCGGGACGGCCTCGCACCGATGAAAGCCAAGGCCACAACGGCTTTCCCTTGCATACATAGATACAGGTGTCGGCAGCTAACGGCGTGCATCGCATGACGCTCACGAGTATGCCACACAAACTCAGTCCGTCCGTCCGTGGAACTTTGCCGACGCACCGCGTTATTACGTTTTGCGCATCAAGATGGGCGCCACACATCGGCCCATGTTGGCTACGGCTATGGGGAGAAGAAGAGGAAGCCAATGCACATCTTGCCATTATGAACTAATTCCCTCTTTTTTTTTTCCCTCTTTTTTGGGGGGGGGGGGGGAGCCCGGGCTCCTCGCCTTACCCGGCCCCGTTGCGGATCACAGCCGTGAAACGCGCGGAGTTCTCGGGGGGTCATCGCATCGCCGGCATGAACCCACTACGCAAATGATTCATTCTCGCCTTCCTTGCTAACTTGCCTCTGCGTGAGCAATCCATGCCCATTCGTCTCGCCGTGGACTGTTTCATCCTCTACACATTCAAGTCACGCGTCCATCCTGCCGCCGCATGACTCTTTCGGAGCATAGTAGAAGAAACGCTGCACTTCACAGCCCTCGCCCGATATCAACAAACTTCATGATCAATGATTATAAGCGGTCTAGTCTTGCAAGATACACCCGCTCCCGAGTAAGAATATGTGTGTGCAGAATGGTATCATTCAAAAAAGAAATCCATCATCTCATCCTCTCATGTCCCCCTCCATTACCCATGCCTCGTGCCTCATCCCCTCCATTATTACCCATCCCTCGACTCCCGCCACACATTATCTTCCCCAATCCCCAACGAGCTGTCCGCGTTCGGCAGTATCAGCCTCGGCTCCCTCGACGAGCCCCGCGACGGCCGCGACGACCCGTCCGCCTGCGACGACCCCTCGCTGCCCGGCACCGGCGGCGGGTCCTTGTAGATCCACGCCTTCAGCAGCGGGCTCACCAGGCTCGGGTTGACGAAGCTCAGCCCCTGCTCCCGCAGCTCGTCCATGGTGCTACCACGACGCAGCAGCCGCCCCGACGATGACGCCCCGTTGGCCAGCGGCCGGTCCTGGCCTTCCTCCCAACTATCCTCCTCCTCATCGTCGACGATGGCTTCTTCGTCGTCGCCGTCGCCTGTGACGATGGCCCGCAGCGCAATGTACTTGGTCAGCGGCTCGAAGCGCCGGGTAAAGTAATAGCTGTACCACACCGTGAACGGAATCAGCGGCAGGATCGACACGGACTGGAAAAACGCCGACAGCGACGCAATCTGCCCGACCATGACCACCTCGAACACGAGGATGCCGATGACGAGCCGGCTGCAGATGATGCGCCATGCGCCGCCGGTCGCGTGCTGCGGCTGATCCATGGCGTACAGCAGCATGTACTTGAACGTAAAGTATCCCAGCGCAAAGTAGATGATGCCAAAGACGAGAATCGTCGGCCCGGGCATGAGCGCACTGTAGATGAAGCAGAGGTTGAAGACGAGCAGCGACGTCGGCAGGTAGAAGCCGTACTGGAAGTTGGGCGGCTTCTGCAGCTGCGCGAGGTCGCGCGGCGTCACCGCCAGGAACCGGTAGATGGGGTACAGCACCACGCTACCCACCTCCAGGATGCGGAACGGCATCAGGCCGATGCCTTGCAGCATGATGAAGCTGATGTAGAAGCGCGAAAGGTTCTCCACGTCCGCCGCGATGATGGCTGGGATCTTGCTCGTGTCCTTCAGCAGTCCCTGCAGCGACGAGTAAAAGTCCAGACCCGTCTTGGAAATGGCAAACACGAAAAACGTGTTGAAAAAGGTAAAGAAAAAGTTCTTTGAAATGAGGGACAGCTCGACGTCGCCCTGCGAAATCATTCCCTGGTGATTCGAGAGAAAGTCGTACAGATAGGGCACCGCAATGTTGAGCAACGAGACGACCAGCGTCGGGCCTCCGGTTTGGATCAGCGACTTGATGATCTCGTGGTCCTCCAGCCAGGTGGCAAACGCAGGCATCACGTTTCGAATGGTGCAGATGCTCAACCAAGAGGCCAAGAAGGCGGTGGGGAAGATCCACACCAGCGTGAGGATCGTGATGAACAAGGTAATGGCCCATGCCTTGAGGCGTCGGACGCCGCGAGGCGCATACGTGTTCTTCCAGATCATGTCCGACGGCGACGGGGTCGCCTTGGTCAGGAACTGGCCGGGACGAGGATCAATCTCGGCCTGAATGAGCATCTGGCAAGCCGCAACACTATCCATGGTGACAAGCGCCATGTCTGACGGCGTGTACTGCTGCTTGCGCGCCTCCACAACCTTTTCGTCGGCCCGCCGCAACTTCTCCTCGTAGTAGTCGATCGCATCAACCTTCTGCCGACGCAGCCCAAGGAAGCCGTGGCCAAGGACAACCTGCGGGCGGACACCATGCAAGAGATGCGGCTGTTCGGGGTTACTCTGAAGCAGACCCCAGTTCTCGCCCGCCTCTTCATCCGGCTCGCGAGCTGTGTCGGGCACGCGGGAGTCATCGGAATAGCCTGGGTTGTCTGGAATGGGCAAGTCACTATTCTGCGGGTGCTGTGAATCCTGATATCGCGCCCAAGCAGTCTCCAGGCGGTTCAGCAGACGCTGACGCTCCTCGACCAGCTCATCCAGCTCTTTCCATTCGCGACAGAGAAACACCGTCTCGACGCTGCCAACACCGAGCTTTTCAATCATGGCCTTGAGCTTGGCTTCGAAACGCAGAGCGACAGGAATACCAGAGAGCCGAAATGTTCTATCGGTAACAGTCGATTGGGATCCCAGGTACTCCTGGCGGAGCTTGATGATGCGAAACGTCTCCCAGTTGATGGTGTACAGGGTCAGGCCGACAAAGAAGTAGGTGAAGATGACGTAGGACCAAAGATAGGCGCGCTCTCGGCTCTTGTCCTTGTGTTCATCGTCGTCGTCGACGCCTGAGGGGCTAAAGGGAAGTCGAACAGAGGCATACGAATTCGGGTGGTAGCTGTACGCGGTGGCGTTGTCACCATCATGGGGGTCGGTGGGTGGAAAGATGCCGTACTGGCGGTACTTGTAGTTGATGGGCCCCAGGACGACAAGGGCGAAGAATCCCATGACGCAAAAGAGGCGGATGGCCATTTTGAAGAAGGAGAGAAAGACAAAGGCATCGAGGCCCGCCGAGGAGAGGACCTGCTCCTCGGTGATGCTGTAGAGCTTGGGCATCCAGCCGAAGAAGGTCTTTGGTAGCGCCGGGAGGTCCATGCTGGGATGGAGGCGCCTCTTGCGCGCCGAGTAGAGGGCTGGCCATCGCGGGCGTAGAATCTATATCGCTCGCCTTGTCAGTGAGTGACATTCCGGGCGCGCGGAGGCGAGACGCACGCAGAATGTTATGAGCGCCGAGACGCCGAGGATCAGGGAGAGTGCAAGCTGGACCTGGAGGTCCTTGCTCTTCGCGCCGGGCGAGACATAACGAGCCCAGTCCTCGTTGGTGCACTTGTCGTCGGAATGGTTACGCATCGCGCGGCATGTTCGGGTCGGTCGGTCGGCGGTTTGGCGGAAAGAAGCAGGGGGGGAGGCGGCTGTGGTTGACGAGTCGCGGCAAGGCCACGTCGGAAGCGCAGCGATGGTATGAGCGAGATGACGATAGGGAGGGATCTATTTGGATGCTGTTCGGAAGTTCTTGAATGATGGACAACGCGAGCGGTGACGACGAGGAGAGGAAAAGAAGTCTTGTGACGTAGTGCAGTTGGAGACCTCCGCTGTCACCACTGTTCAAGGCAGCCAATAGGAGGTGACGCCAGGCGCTTATATAAGGAAGATGCAGTGTAGGGTAAGTGACTTTTCCTCCGAGAAAGTCTACTTCGGATGACTTGGAGTAAATATCTATATGCTTTCCAATATATTCAGAACCATAAAAGAGCATATACGGTGTATACTGTAGTAATTTGGCTGATCAATCTTGGCGAACAATCGCCATCACCACGCAACTTACTTTTAGCGTGCCTCGTAATGTCACCCTGCGAGTCATATTTGAGCGAGCATTTGCGCACACGAGAAGCGAGATATGCTAGCAACCCCTCTGGATGCCTGAAAATGCAGTATATGATAAGAAATTGGTTATTTCCGCTGCATCTTGGCTGCCTAAGGAATTTGATCAACTTGCGTGCGTTTGTTCCCCCGCACAGCCTGAGGCCAGACGACAAGTTCACCCCTTGTGTCGCTGTTTGTGTGCACTCGAAATGGCCCCTGATGATTTGATCAGTGAGATACAGTATCATTTGCAAAACGTGTCGCCTGACAGACAGGTACCAAATGGCATTGTTTTCTGCGCTGCAAAGCGTCTGCGCCGCCGCCGAAACACCAGAACGCAGGCTTCTGGAGAGGTCACTACCTGCCTGGGTAGTCTTGGTGTCAGAAAAGCACACAGTGCAACTGTTTAACTAACTCTCGACAGAGTATGAAGCGCTGGTCGTAAGCAGGATCATCACTTTGAGTCACAGCCCAAACTTTACACCGAATGTCGAGTCAGTGCTCTGCCTTTCGGGACGCGGCGCGCGGCGACGCATGGAAAAGCGTCTCTCTTCTGCTGGTATGGACCGAATGAGCTGACAGATTACGTAGAATATGTCGAGAAAGCCGGGAGTGCGTGGTTTCTAGATGCCGAACAGCCTAAAGCGAGGAAGCGAAGATCACGATCCGTCAATAACCGGACACACTGCTCCATTCTTGCCTCGCCTCCAGGGTAGGGCGTAAAAGAGCAAGACGCTCGCTTACTTTTCGTCAATCTTCAATCAGTTCTTGACCAAAATGCGCAAATGCACGCATAGCCCTACATACAAGACGGCGGAGATTTTCGTAGCAACCTCCCTCGAACGAAGTCTTGGCAGGCCGCTAACAGCCTCGCTTCGAGATGTGCAATAACCTTGTTTTTGGCAACTGCCAAAGAAGGCAGGTAGAACGTTACCGCTTCATATCATGCCCAAGTCTCATGTTGCATACGCCTTGGCGAGTATACGGCGTCGAGTTGAGCATGGGCGGAAATCTCTCGTATAAAACCCTTGAGGTCAAGCTTTGAGAAATGGAACGATCAAGCCTCGTCGCCATTGCATCCCATCCATCCATCCATGCATCTACCTACGCGGTCAATTCTAAGTCTACAAAATGAAGCTGTCAATGACTACGGCCTTGGGTGCCCTTTTGCTTGCCGGGCTATCGTACGCTGCTGATCAACTCACCGCGGACAAGATTGCGTCGGATATCACTGTTGAAGGGTGCGTGACAGAATACTCACGACGAGGTTGTAACGCGACTGACCTATAGAGAAGACTAAGGAATACCCTTCAGAAGTTTGAGCAGATTGCTCGTGATAACAATGGCAATCGGGCCCACGGGACGTCTGGCTACAACGCCTCCCGAGACTTCATCGTGGAACATCTTGAGAAGCAGCTCGGCGACAGCTTCGACTTCTATGTTCAGAAGTTCACTTTTGACAGGAGCCGGCTTCCGTCGTGGAATATCATCGCGGAGACAAAGCTGGGAGACCCGAATAACGTCGTTATGCTCGGGGCGCACCTGGACGGCGTCAGGGCAGGCCCAGGTATCAATGACGACGGGAGCGGCTCGGCTGCCATACTCGAGATCGCTACCTCTCTCAAAAACTACACTGGCCTGAAGAACAAAATTCGCTTTGGCTGGTGGGGTGCTGAAGAGTAGGTGATGCAATTGCTTTGTACAAGATGGCTGCTAATAATTCGATACAGGCTTGGCCTATACGGCTCCATACACTACGTTGACAACTTGAACGAGTCGGAGAAAGCCAAGATAAGGTTTTATTTCAACTATGATATGATTGGCAGTATTCGCCCAGACCTTGTTGTCTACAGTAATAACGCAGCGCATATGTATGGTGCCAAACCCCTCTTCGAGTACCTGACAGCTGCTGGCGCTTCTCCCAAATATGAGTATGACTTTCCCCCCACCCGCATTACAGTTGCAATCTAATAACTCCGAATTTAATAGGAGATTTGATGGCGGTTCAGACTATGTTCCCTTCGTGGCGGCTGGCATCCCCAGCAGCGGCATCTTCACGGGGATCGACAATGGAGCAGACCCTTGCTACCACAGGGCTTGTGACGACCTGACCAACATCAACTGGGACATCTACGAGAAGAGTGCAAAGGCAGCCGCGAGCGTCTCGGCCAAGCTCGCCCTTAGCCTCGATGGCGCTCCCCCGCGCGGCAAGCCACAGGCACAGCTCACCCAGTCTTCGGTCCGCTGGCGGCACTTGGAATAAAGTTCCGCCATCGACCACCATGAGTGAGATCCAGGTTGGTTGTTAACACGCATTTGGGGTAACGAGCGGTGGGCTACCTGCCCGGGCACCGTTGCCATGTGTGCATCCAGCCGTTATTCGACCCATTCATTCTATTCAATCTGTCTACCAACCGCCTCGCTGTCGTTGTTTTGTTCAATAAGCAGTAGGGTTGATTGGTGGCTAGCTAGTATTATCTGCGTATCTACATAGATGAATTGATGTTTTGATTGATACTTTAATTGATGCTCACCGCCGTCGACCACTGATGCACTACGCTGTGTGCGCCAAAAGGGCTGCAAGCGCCGGGCTGAAACTGAAATTCCCTTTTTGTTCACCATTGAATAAACTAGTATCTTTTTTGTATTTTGGTAACTTCAAGTTTTGCTTTGCTTTTGTTTTTTCCCCATCGATTTTTTTGGGCTAAAATGAGACATTGGCGCGGTGCATTCCTTGAGATAATGAGGGTACAAAGATGCTACTGAGACAGGACGAAGTGGTTTCCTACGCAATCATGGATACTAACTATTATAAGGCGGGCTCTTCACTGCCCAGCGTGATGCTCAAAGCTTGCCAGCATGCCCCGACAGCCAGTACACATTATCTGGCTCTTATGGGTGTCTACATGGTCTGGAGCGACCAGCCAGTACCAATTGTTGCGTGGTGAGGAGAACTAGCCGACGCCGCAAAGAAGGGACGGCTGCGGAAAGGCCCGTTGACGATGTCTCGAGGTTGCGACTGAGGGGGGCGTCCACTTCGGGGCGCTGAGGCTAGTTAGAGAAGGAAGCAAACGCAAGATTCCGGGTTGGTTGTGGCAAGCGCGGTGAAGGCGGATGGTGAGTTGCTGATACTGATTGATCAGGAGCGCAGCCAGTCAGCAGCGGAGGCTGGTCTCGAGGGGATACACATCCAAGCCAGTTCAGGCACAGCAGCACAAAGCGGCGCGGCTAGCTGCAGGGGAAGGGGGTCAACTGCCTGTTGCCGTTTGGAATTGGTGTTTTCTTTCCACGTTCCTTGATGAATCGCATCGTTCGATGAGCCCCAAGCGGGGTCCATCCCCGACAACTGGCGAGAATATTAGCGTGGATGGTCGGTCACCTGGATAATCAGGCGTTGCAAATGACGGGCCAGCGTGACCGGCCCAGTAGTAGCGATACGAACCGGGCTTGACGGAGAGATTTCTATAGTGTCTTCTTTCTTTTTATTATTTTTCCATCTTGTTTCTTTTCCCTTACAGGAATCGGGGACGTGAAAGCTCGTGTTTTTGATGAGTTATTAATAGCCTGCAGGTTTTAGTGGATGACGTTGTGTGGGTTTAGAGGGCGACTTTTTCAGCGCCGGTCGCCTTGTGAGCTGCACCGTTACAGTGGGCATGGTGCGATCTTGGTGGTGCCCAGGAACCAGGCAACTGGGAGCTGAAAAATGGGAAACTGTTGGTACGGAAAAATGAAACAAAAAGCAAAAATCGTTTCCAAAAAACAATGTTTAGGGGACATTCTGATGGGGAATCAGCTGCAAGGAACACAAGCCGCACGGGTCGGCCCCTTTATACATACGACGCATCCGTACGGGCAAACATCGATTCAACCAAAGAAAGGCTGGTTGGAAGTAGACAAGGCTTGGCCTGATGGGTAGGGTACGTACTTTTACTAGACATGTGTTCTTGTCACCTCGTATTCTGCACAAAGGAGGTACAAGCTCGGGTACACCCTCGCAGACACAAAAGCTGCTTGCGTCGGCCACGCCGCATTCGACGCCTGATGCTTCGCCACCGACCTGCCAGCCCAGCAGATTCAAGAAAAAAAAAAAAATACCGAAGTAACATTCGACCCTGGCCATCAGGATAGAATCACGTCAATCTGGTGCAGATCGCCTGCGATCCCCCCATGTTCGCCCGGCTCGCGGGGGCTGCCCGCCAACGGTGACCCCGGCCGGCCACGATCTATCTGCAGGTGCGTGGGCTTCGCAATGCCGAGATAGGTATTTGATAGCGGGCAAAATTGAATGAATGTACGAATTAGGACTTTTGAAAAAAAACCTTGTTCTCCTGTACCGTTGTACTAGTTTGTATCGCACCTTTTTTATTTTCATTTTAGTCATAATCGCAGACAGCAGCAGCCACGCCAAGGTGTTCTGGGCAAGCCTTGTGTTGCAGCTGCCTTGCCAGTAACTGGGGTACATGCAGTTTATCGTAAATATGCAGTCCTGAAAAGTATCCTGTATTAGAGCCCAAGCCACCGTGCAACTCCTAGCCTGACGGATGGCCAAGATAGCGGAAGCTAAAAAACCACTAAAGACCACTAAAGCCACAGAAATAGCCCACTGTTAGAACCGCATGCCCGCTACAAGGCCCGCTCGATTGGCCGCTGCACCTCAATCCGTTCCAGGATTCCTCATCCGCTAATAACTAACCCAAATTGTTGCTCCAGTCTGCCTGCAGAGTGTGCACTCACTCGCCTTGCTCCATTCATTCCATTTCCACTTTCATTCCTCTTCGCCTTGGCTTCTCTCTCTTTTCCATTTCTCACTTCCAAACAACATTCTCCCACCTCCTTCCCGCCGCCCGCGTCATCGCTACGCCGTCTGTCCCTCTCGTGTCTGCCGACGACAAACCACCTACGCTCCCATTGTCCGCAGAGTTGTTGCGACCTGATAGGAGATAATACCGCACGGCATTGCATCGCACGCTCCACCAGGCCTGAAAGGAAGCACCAAGCACGCCCTCTCCGTTCGTTCAACCATCGTCGACTCTCTCCTCCTCCCTGGCCAACCATTCATCAAATACAAGATAGACCAAGAGACTACTTCCCAATTTCTACACCCTGCCCGATAACCTCGACACGATATCGTCGCTAGTGCTCGAAAACGGCCATATTTTTCTTCCCACCACCTTTCCGTTAGCCGCCGCCGCAAGTGCCCAATCTGAGACATTGCCTACAACACTACAACAACATACGACACGCTTTGAGAATATCATACGAAGCCCTCATCTCGGTCGCGCTTTCTTCTCTTCTCTTTGCGCCATTTAGACATTTCAAATCGTTCACAGTCGCGATATCTCGCCCTCGAGTCCGCCATCGAAATCGTCACTGCCCTCGCTTGGCTATCGGACAACTAGTTAGGCCGGCATAATCTCAACCGTCGCGCCCCGTTTCACCACTTCGCTTTACACTCGCATCAATCCGTCACAATGGGTAGGTTCTTCTCCAAGACTTGCCACTCTCCTCCCCTGCTCTATGCTAACCTTGGCCCCAGCTGCCCAGGCACCCGTCACCACCATCGTCCCCTTCGGCGACCGCAACAAACTGCCCCAGTGCGCCGTCTCCTGCAAGGCCCTCTACGACGCCAACGCCAACTGCGTCCCGCCCATCATCCCCTCGGGTCCTGTCTCCAACTACGAGGCCTGTTTCTGCATTAATAAAAATGTCGCCGCCCTCTCTACTGCTACCGACGCCGTCTGCAACGACGTCTGCTCCGCCGAACAGGGCGGCCAGGCCTCGGTCGCCTCCTGGTTTGGAAGCCTCTGTCACGCCTCGCCCACTGTCGGCACTGCAGGTACCACCTCCACCTCAGGAGCAGCCACGGGAAACAAGAGCTCAAGCAATAATAACAAGAGCGGTGACTGGTGAGTTTTCTTGGCCTCTGCGTCATGCCCGCCCTCGCAACACTAACATTCTGACCACCTGCAGGATCTCGAACCACTGGCAATGGGTCATCATGCTCGTCGTCCTTATCGTCGTCATCGCCGGTGTCTGGATCGGTGCCTGCATCTGGCGCCGGCGCTACCTCCGCCGCAAGGACCGTCAGACCTCGCTCGGCCAGAAACAGTCCGGCTCCGCCTCCCGGCCCTCCTGGGGGCCCAACGCCGGCACTGGAGGCATTCCCGCCTCCGACTCTGCTTCTCCCATGAACTACTCCGGCAGCGCCGAGGCCGCCTACCCCAAGTTCGAGTCGACCGAGAAGCCTAAGAAGAAGAAGTGGACCGTCACCTCAAGGACGTGAGGAGCACGATGACACTGGACCATCCGCCCTTGGACTCCCGTCATTTCGTTTGCATCGGTCGCGTTTTTTTCTTCAACCGTGTCTGAATCCCGATCAAGATCCGACACGAACCTTGCATCCTGCTTCTCATTTTCCTTTTTTTCCCGCTCACGGGCAACAACAGCACTGTTTCGCCATCCCGAACGCTCAGCTTAACGCCTCGATCTCAAATTTGAATATCTGACAGTCTTCGATATTTCCTCTTTCCCCTGCACCCGCCAAACATGGAATCTTGTACGTACATTGTACATGACTTGCTTCCGTCGCAAATACCGCTTTGTTGTTTCCCGCACCCGGCACACTCTGTATTCGAAATTTCGTCGGCCTGCCATGGCTGCTATGCAAAAAAGACGCGGGAGTTAACGGCGTCGTTCCATCCTTTTTTATGGGTTTTCTTTAAGTGTTGTCGATTCGAATTTTTGGACTACATATATATACATACATTGCAACCAGAGGAGGAAAATGGAAACGGAAAGGGGAAGATACGGAGGCATGTATAGATGTCGTGCTTCTCGTCGCTATTGACAGATGTCGCCCCCTCTCTCTCCTCCCCTTTTGCTCTGCATCTACTCATAATATCTCATTTTTGTTATCTTGTTTGGGTCTCTGGCACTGGGGGCTGGAACTGTTTTCACTGGCGCACACGATACATGGCAACATCTTCGAGGGCAAGGCTCCAAGGGGTTTCTTCCCCTTTCACCTTCCTTCGTTATTGGATAGCACGCACAAATCAATACGGATCAAATTACTCTAAACAAAAAGATGATGCTTTCTATGTAATTTTCTTTCGTATACAGTCGTCGCATCCTTGTCCCTACGGCTCCCATCACCCTCTAACCACCAACTAACTATTGCTGCCCAACCTCTAGCGCATCCATATACAAATCGATCAAGCAGCCGGCTGACCAGGCTTGCGTTGGACTCTGTTGAAGAAAGTTCTGTTAGTATTATAGTTCTCTTATTGTTTTGGTCGTTTCGGCTTGTCGCACGGCCGCCGGGGTAAGCGTGGGGCTGGTTCACGAGATAAAACACTTACCGAGTCAGCACAGTACTCGCCATTCTTCTGCGTGAGCTCCGTTAGGCCAGCCCACGGCGACTCCCGAATCATCTTCTTGCATTCGGCCAGCCGCCTCGTCACCTGCTGAAACGCCTCGGTCCGGCCCTCAGCCGTCGTCCGCCGCGCCAGGTCAAACTTGAGCAGCGCACGCAAGAAGAAGCCCGTCGGCCACAGCCACTCCGGCCCTTGGTGGTAGTTGCGTCCCTTGCTCGTCGCAAAGTCATCGCTGTCTTCGCTGTTTCTATAGTACGGCCGGTAGTTCATGTCGCTCGGGTCTAGCGTTGCCATGCCCGTCGGCCCGCGAAGCACTCGGTCTGCCAGACACAGCGCCTCCATGGCGTGCTCCTTGTCAAACAAGTCCGATGCAACCGTCATGGCGATGGGGAAGTTGGCGCGCAGCTGGTAGTCTTCGTACTCCTTGCCAGATTTGTACAGATCCTTATACATACCACGCCGATTGACAACCTTGGGGTTGACATCGTACTTGCTGTCGTCGCTTGCTGTGAGAGGGACGTAGTAGCAGCGCTCGAAGTTTTCCTTGAGCAACTCCGCCCACTTCGCATAAGATACGGAGCCGGCCTCGGACCTTTTCACACCTTCATGGGCAAATTTGCCGTTTTTGTGCAAGTCAGCAAGCCACTTGACAGTACTGTATAGCAACCCGGTGATTTCGATGGCGGCGCCGTCGCGAGGCGTTCCAGGAACTCCTGTTGAGCCGGCGCGCTCACTCTCTCCCATCTTGTCCATCCATGTGCCACAGTTGGATTGGTTACCACCGAATATGATGCCAGTTGTCCAGTCTACATGGATGCTCTGATTGAAACCCTCACTTTTCATTTGCGAGTCAATCTGTGGCCCGGCATTGGCTTCACGGTACTTCATACCAGTGGCATGTCTTTGAAGAGCCTCCTGGATAACCTCCTCGATTGTGCTCTCCTTGGAATAGGCACGGGGGTCACTGGTAGGGAACCAAGTGTCATCATAGGGTAAGAAGCGTCGCGGTACCTTGACCTTGAGCAAGTTCAACCCCTCGGGTGCCAGGTTCACATAATCTTGGATTGTCTGCAGGAAGAACCAAATGGAGTCTCTCGAATTGTATCGAGGTGCGTCTCCGCTGCTCAGCAGATTGGGAATCATACCATGCTTCAAGACACTGGCAAAAGCAAGAATGTGCTCCTTGGCTTCGTCGAAGCGTTCAGTTCCAAGGTAGAGACCACGAATAGAGATGAACACATCACGTCCCCAACATCTTGCCCACTCTACTGCAAAATGCGGTAGACCAGCAGCAATCGATGGTACCTTTTTTTCGGGCCAGAGAGAGGCAGACTTGACCAATCCAGTTTGCTGGACACTCACCATGGCTAGGCTCTGAAGGAACCATTGGCTCTTCTGGATACTGGACGACATAAGTTCCAGTGATCTGTTCCAGCTAGCGTTGTAAGCCGTTCTCATGACCAAGGCAAAATAACGAGGCAGCAGAAAACTGGGAATTGCCTTGATCGCATCGAATCTGTCCTTGAGCCATTGTGCCGGTGCAGCGAGACGCTCCTGGCCTGCAATCTTGCTTTGCCGCTCGATTCTTCCTTGCAGAAAGTCCAGAGCCCAGGCCCCATCCCGAAGATTTTCGCAAAGTGGGTGTGCCAAATCATTGTTGGAGATAATGCCTTTCAAGATGCTCCACCAGCCCTGAAGACCGGCGTAGACAAGCTTTCCATGGCGAGGAATATCGTATACGCCGTCTGCACCGTCGCTGGCGTCTCTCTCCTCCGCCTCGCAGCGGTACATTAAGAAGTTGAGATCAATGAGATTAAGGTCTTTCCAAGCCTCTTTACTGCCGGACGTGACGTACGTATCAAGACCTGCAGAATGCTCGGCGGCTGGGATCCACGTTTCAAACAGAGCGATACTTCCGGGTGGGAATTTCTGCCGAACTGTGATTATCGAATCATCGCCCCTCTGCTCAACATTAACCCCAGTGATGCCAACCACCTTGCTTGGCAGACCACGGAGATACTTGCCGTCGCTCACAACTTTAGACGTGGCCTCTTCGCTTGCATCAACCTCGAGCATCCAGCTGCCCAGGTGCTGCACCCTGGTTCCCTTGAGTTCAACGGGGGCAATGGATCCTCGGCCATTGCCATATCCGGGGAAAGCGGTATGAGCGACGAGGAAGTAGCCCTTTCTTGACTCGGGGTGAACTCTGTGCACAGTAATGTACTGGTCTTCATGATGGATATGGGTTTCATCGTACGAATCCTTGCCCATGAGAGTGTGGATTTGATTGAGAAGTTTCTTGACGCCGCCAATGCCATTGCTACCGGTCGTGCTCTCCGGTGGGGAGCGCGAAGACTCTGACGTGTACAGTCGGGTCTCGTTGACGAGGTCGATCAGCTTTGGGTAGATTTCATCATAGCCCATGACACTGCCAGTGGCGCTCGAGCACATGCTTACGAGCGCGGCATTGGCAAGAGTATCGCGAGCATCTCGTTTTTGCGTCGGGGTCTCGTTGTCGTGGGTGCAGTCCATGAAGAGGGCGTGGACTGGCGTGGGTCGAATTTGCTTGATAATTTCTCTCGATAGGTTGCCCTTGCTGCTAGCAGTATCGGTGGTAGAAACCTCATCGACCTCAAAGCTGCCAATAGGCCGGCCGCCATGTCTGTGCACCAGTCGACTCAGCTCGGCGGTACTCCAAGCTTGCATAGCTTCACGAATAAGCGAGCTGAGGCCGAGACGCTTGACAAAAATGTAATCTGTTTCTTCTGAGCCTGAAAACAGCTCCGCAACAACATACAAGTCTGGCCTGACTCGTCTGGCCTCGTCGAGTATGTGCTCTGCAACGTGAATTGGGGTTGAATGGCAGTTGTCGATGCGCAAGCCGACGAAATACTTGGCGAGTAAACGAGCATATTTGGTCATATGCTCCCACAGCCATGGACTGTCTTCAGGTTTGGAGCCATACCGAAGCTTCACGCAGTCTCCCCAAATGATGACCTCGCGGCGCAGGTATACCTTTGACTGGGGGCCAGCGTTGTCGACCAGCGCGTTGCCGCCCCAAACCCAGCCATTGTTGACGAGCGCCATTTCTTCGCGCTTGAGCCTCGACGTGACATCTGTTTTAGGAAGACGCGTAAAGTAAGTCTCAATCAAGGGATTTTTCTTATTGATTGGGCCAAGCTTGGGACCATGGTCATCCAAGCGCACGTATTTGATCCTGTTGAACAGCTGTTCCAACGCTTCCTCGATGTCGGCATCATACTCTTCGTAAAATGGAACATTCAGGGCATCCAGAATTTTGGTCATCTTTGTCCTTGCAGCGCCTTTGGTTGCCGAGTGTCCGTCCGCTTGATACTTTCCAAGAGCAAATGACAAGACGGTCGCGCCCACTGCAGGGTCGACAGTTCGCCGGAATCTCTCGCCTAAGCGATCAAGACCCTTGAGACCAAGAGCTCTAATGAATGCAACCTGATCAGAAAGCTTCCCCTCTTCCAGCCCTTGGAGAGAGAATGACTCGTTCGTCTCGTTAGGGTGCGCAAAGGTCTTGCCATCGACCCAGGCTTGCACAATGGCGTCGGTGTCGGAATCCACCGCGAGCACATAGTATTCCCAAAGGCGCAAGTCTGCGAGAACCTTGTTCTTTACCACTTCCATGATTTTTAAAAGATCGTCTGTCGATTTGGGGTCAACTGGTAACCCGAGTTCTTGGAGGTTGTCGCCTAGCTCGAGAAGCTTGGTATCGAGCTCGAAAGCGGACTGGAGCCAAGGCGCGGTAGAAAGATTGTAGCCAGCATCGGGGTGTTCCTGCAGCCATTGTGTGTTGCTAGCGGTGTGGTTCAGGACAATGTCGGTCAAGCTAAGCAGCGAGTGCTTCTTTTCCAAGCTATCAATCATGCGCTTCACGTCTTGTTCGCCATTGGGGAAACAAGCGGGGTCCCAGCCGAGCTGGTCAAAGAGACTGTAGGGCGAGTTGGATTCCCCACGAACCTGCAGCGGCGTGAAGTGAACCATGTTGTATCCCCTCCCGCTGATGCCACTTAAATGGGCGTCCCAGTCCTGGGGGTAGCGCCCCATGAACTTGCTAATGATGGAGAAGACGGATAGCGCAGGGAGCGGCAACGCACGACCGTCGAGGGTCAATCGGGGAGCAACATCGATATAGTAGGTTGGAGTTTGCTTGAGCGACTCCTTGGCGAGGTTATCGAGGGTCGGTTGCAGGTCGGGAAGCTCAGCGTAGGTGGTGTAGAAGGCGAATGCGCCGGGTTCGTAGATGGGAATGGAGATTTCAATAGGGCAATTAAAGTCGGGTTTCAAGCTGCAGAGGGTTAGAAACAAGCCAATTGCCATTCAGTAGCCTGGAAAAAAGCCTCGGATCACTCACGGAAACTCGCGGAAGCTCTCGCGGCGGAACTGCTGGCCCTTGTCGGGGATGTTGACCCAGAGGCTGCCATGTCGACAGATGGAGGAGGCGCCCTCGATGACGAAGCGAACGGTGACGGGTTCGGTTGACTTGGGCGCGAGGTAGACGTACTCGCCGGCAACGTCAGGGGCGCCGTCGTCCTTGAGAGGCAGCAAAAAGACCTCGCGAGACGTCATGGTGCCCGGGCTCATGATGAAGAAGAAGAGAGGCGGCCACAGCAGAGCTGCCCCGCGGTGGATTTGGCTGGGTGGGTGCTGGAGCTAGAGACTCTGTTGCTGCAGGATGACGCCTTGATCAGCGGGGGGGGGGCAACAAGCCAGGATGCGGCTACAGAGGAAGTGGTAGAGGGGATGGGATGGGCGCTTAGATGAAGAACATGGCAAAAATTGTAGGAGGACGGATTTTTGGTGTGGTAGATGAAAATTGAGGAAAGTCTAGACCGTCGGTCATGTTGTATGGGCGGCTGGCAGCTGGCAGGGCAGCTGGCAGGGACGAGGGGCAAATGCTCCGAACGAGCCGTGGGCATTGTGAGTGCATCGAGATTCTGGTGGTCTCGGCTGGTACAGCATGCAGCTGTATTACAAGGCCGTTACAAGGGCGTTGCAGGCACCGCAGCAAGCGTGGATCAGCTGTGGCCGCCTGGCTTCGGTGGGCTGGCCGGGGTGGGTCGATCGAGTTGCCTCGCCCGCCGCAGCGGTCTGATGTCACCATCTCGTCTTTCACCAACCATCCATTGGCTTGCCCTATCAGCTAGGGCAGGCCAGTACTCAAGCTTGGTATTCGGAATGCATGTAATTACTTGACGATAATTCTACCAGCTTCAACCCTCCTGCTTCTACTCTTCACGTAACAACTCCCACGTTGAGTCGGTCCGGTCACCACCACCACCAACTCAACAAACGGCCACGCTACGCAAATTCCCTCACGCCACGGCACGATAAGACATCACCAACAGAACGAAATTTAAGCCGTCTAAATTCAACAAGTACAACCCCTACCGTCTAGTCCGCACCCTTGGCATACTCAAAATCGCCAGCCTTCATCGCCATGTCCACCGCCCTCCTCGTCGCCTCATCCATGCCCTCCTCCGGCAGGCCCAGCGCCTCCTTTACCACCCTGCCGCTGAAGTCGCCGCCGCCATCCTGAAAGAATGTCCTCGTGTACAGGCAGTGCGAGAAGCCCTTGTGACCCTCCGGCCCGCCGAGCAGCTTCCGCCCCGCATCGTACCGCGCCTGCGCGTCCACCTTGGCCACTGTCCAGTCCGCGTCCGTCGTGCCCAGCACCCCGTGCACACTGTCGAGCATGTCCTGCTGCGACGCCACAAAGCTTTTGATGAACAGAGGCCTGTCGCGCCACCGCGACATCTTCGCGTCCGCGTCGTGCTCGGCCTCCGGCAGCACCTTGAGGCTGAGAAAGGCCGCGGCCGCGCGCCCGCACTGCAGCCAGGTCGAGGTGCAGATGGGCACGGTGCCGCCGCCGAACAGCGTGGCCATGCGCTTGGCGATGTTGATGCCGTAGCAGTTGTCGCTCGACAGCGAAAACTCGTACCAAAAGGAGTAGTTCATGGTCGTCCACGACAGGCCGGCGCGCTCCGCGGCGGCAATGTTGGCGAAGACCAGCTGGCCGGTGAGGTTCTCCTCCATCAGCTTCTTGTTCTCCATGTCGGTGCCGTAGCAGGTCGGCATCACCCAGGGCACGCCCGCCTTGGCGGTCGCGGACATGACGATGGCCTCGGCGGCGGCGCTCGCGGACACGGCCAGGGAGACGATGAGGAACTGCTGGCCCTTGAGCGCCTCGACGAGGCTTTCCTCGTTAGTAGTCGACGGGGGCGGTGATGACGCCCGCTAGTAGAACACTCTTGCTGCCGATGCGAGCGAGCGCTGTGACGGTATGCTTTCCGGTTTGGAAGAAGGCTTGCGTCATGTGCTTGCCGACATTGCCGCCAGCCTGTTGCGAGTTAGCAAGTGACAATAATCCTTGTACTTTGTAAATTAACGTACACCAATGATGGCGACTTTGCTGATGTAGTTCACATAGCCTGCTGCTGGTCCTTTGCGTACTTGGCCATTGCAGCGTTGCGTTGCGAGATGTCAAGAACTGATCTTGTCTGTGAATGCTGACTTGATTGCTATGAGAGAAAAGCGCAAACATTGAGGATCATGAAAGCTCTTATATACAGCGCTAAGTTTCCTCTCTATTTCCCTATATCCGTGACGCTGTTTGCCCTTGCAGTTCTCGGCATCCCAGGTCCGAAGCACATTTCCCAAACTGGCAATTTTCGCAGGAGGAAACATTTTCCACATCAAGGCTAGCGCTGCCGTTTGTATCCCCAGCCAATCACCATCTAGTCTTCGCCGGGCCATCCTTCGGGCGCGAGCGCGATCCCCGGAGTTAAAGTCAGCGAGCTGGGCTTGAAAGGTAGCGAATTTTTGGAATTGAGATGAGATAAAATAGTGCTGGAGATTCAGTTGTGCTACTTGTAATGTGAAATTTGGAAACAACGGGCTTGTCTAGTCTCTGGGGCTTTATTCACGGGGGGGGTTCACGGCGTTAAGTACATGATGCGCAGCAACAATTGCGAATCGAGAACAGCGAGGATAGCAAAATTAACTAGAAAATAACTAAGCAACAACAACATCTAAAAATGAAGACTGTCTTTTGATCTTCCTGTAGATTGATAAATCGATGCCTCACTCATCTCCCGCTCGCCTAGCTTTCTGCCAGGACAGCCTGCAGGGTAGCTTGTCTTCTACTTGACACAGCACCAGCTAAGATAACAGCAACGGACAGAACCTAGCGTGAATCGGTTCCGAGACCTGAGGGGAATAGACGAGCGGCGGCAGTGACCACCAGGAGCGATGTAGAATGATGCTGGAAATCCTTCCCCCGTATCGTTCGTACTCGATAGGCAGCCATCGCTTCTTCCGAGTTGAGACGGGATAGCTCACTCGGCGGGGGGCCCTGGCTGCCTCCGGGTACGCTAAAAGTGGCCGTGCCGAACAATACGATGAAAGCGAGAAATGCCGTCTCCACTCATCCCGGCGCGGCCCCGTCGCCGTGTCAGCGCGTGTAAGTTGCATCTGCATAAATAGCTAACTTTGCACCAAGATCCCCGAATCTCGCCAAATACTCTCCTCTTCTCAACACTATTCCCCCCCCCCAAAAGGCGAGGAGCAGCACATCCTCCCCCTCCCCTCGGGCCGACAACTCGCCTACGCCGTCAACGGACCATCCACATCCCGCACCGTCGTTCTCTTCTTCAGCGGACTCATGAGCGTCGGCCTCGCCCCGCACGTCCCCGCGCCCTGCCGGAGCCTCCTCCGCGCGCGCTGGATCGCCCCCACGCCCGCCGGCATGGGCCGCTCCAGCACCCGCCCTGCCTCCCTACCCTACCACGTCACCCTCGCGCGCGACGCCACCGCCCTCCTCCACCACCTGTACCCCTCCGACGACTACGACGCGCTGTACGTCGCGGGCGGGTCGTACGGCACCGTCATGGCGCAGATGCTCTACGGCGCGCCGCGCACGCTCTTCCCCGCCGGCGACAAGATGGTCGGCTGCCTCCTCCTCGCCGGCTTCTCGCCCTTCAAGCACGACCTCGACCATGCTCGGGCGCTCAGCTGGAGCACCTGGCTCTCCGTCGGCCCGCCCTCGCAGCTGCCCTTCCAGCCGCTGCAGCGCGCCTTTCGCGCGGCCATCAGCCCAAAGGTGCGCACCGTCGAGGGCGCGGCTGCGTTCCTGCGCGCGACGGTGCTTGCCGGGCCGGCGGAGAGGGAGATGTTGGCGGCGCATGTGGCGAGGCTGGGCGAGACGGAGGAGGGGTTCGTGGAGAGGTTGGCGAGGGCCGCGGTGGCGAGCTGCGAGAACTGGGACGGGTTTATGGAGGTGGCGGAGGTGCTGAGGGAGGACTGGGGGTTCGCGCCGGGGGAGCTGGAGGGGGCGGCGCCGTTGTTGGTTGTGGCGTCGGAGGGGGATAAAATTGGGAGCGCGAACTCGGCGTGGTTGGCGGCGAATTACAAGAATGCGACGGCGAGGACGATACCGGGGGGACACATCTCGAGCATGTTTTATATGGACGAGATATGGGAGGAGATGATTTCTTGTGAGTGTAACTGGAGATTGCGAAGAGACGATGAGACTGACACTAAATGCAGTGGCTAGCAAATGCACCGCCGTCGCTGAAGAAGAGTAAGCCGGCATCTTGCCTTTTCGGTCACAAACAACATCTTGGACTTGGATCAGACGGGCTATTTCTTGTCATTTGTATCTTGGATTGCCACGTTCAGCGTTCATGTATAGGATATACCATCCGTGCATTAGTTCAGGCATCCTACTCCGACTTCTTCTCCGGTGAAGCCAGTGTACCGTGCAAGTCATACTCCGCCCAATCCAGCTCCGGCCGCACGCTCTCAATCTTCCATCCATCCGCGTGCTTCCTAAACCTTTTGTACACGAATCCGTGACCGTGGCCCTTGTTGGCCACTTCCGTCAGGGTCTCGTCCTTGTACCGCTGGTGCGCGGCGCGCACCTGGTGAACCACCTCGACCGACCCCTCCCCTAGGTGCGTCCAAGTTGACACGCCCAGGAAGTGCTGCGTCTTGAGGCGCCTGTCGCCGATCATCTTCTCCAGAATCGCCACGTAATTGTCAGGCGTGAGGTTCTCGTGTAGCTCGCCCTGTAGGCTGCGGAAGTCCAGGCACGAAGACGGAGCAAGGCACAGTCTTAGTGAATCCCAGTCCTTAGTGTCATAGCTTGTGGACCACTGAGATACTAGATTTGTTATCTCGAGGTAATCTGGCGCCGTGTGAGTTGATTGCCCCGCTGTATCGCGCGCGCCCGCTGCATACCTTGAAACGAGATCTTGTTGTTGTCAGCCATTGTAAATATGTATAGGAAGGAGTTAATGTCTTCTGAATGATGGATGGTACGGGGTAGAACTGCCGTATTTATGACTTCTCGGTGTCTCGGACATATCGGCTTCAAAGCCTGATGCACACAGACTGATGTTACTCATCACCTGGCTAACGTGGTCACTCGGCCGGTTGAGCCGCGGCGCGCGGCGAAAATTACAAATTGAAGATGAGACTAACTAGGACCATTGTATCTCCCCGCCTCCCCTCCGGCAGAGCCGAAGAAAAGGAGCTATTGCTTGTCATTTGGGTCTTTCTTCAGGTCTTTCTCAGGTATTCTCCAGATGGCTGGCATATGCATAGAAGCAAAACATTCAGTAGTGCGCAATCTCAGCCGCTCTCCTCGCGACCTCTCCTCTGGCGGCCTGAGTGTCCCATCGTCGCAAGAGCCTGGCCAGTACCAGGCGGGCACCACACGGCCAATCTTCCAGCTGTCGCCTTCCTTCTGGTGGTAATACCAAATAGTCAAGTGTCCATGGGCGTAGCCTTTGCTCTCCAGCTCAGCCCCTTGATCGTCCTTGTAGCGCTCGTGGGCGATGCGTATCTTATAGTAGACTTGCACCACCCCTTTGGTCAGAAGGCGCCATGCTGATACTCCAGAGAGTAAATGCTGCGTAAATAGGCGCTCCTCGCTCATGTCATCTTTCAGCCTCGACACGTGCTGGTCTGGCGTGAGGCCCATGTGTTCCTCGCCCCGAAACAGCGAGAGATCGAGGCTTGACAACGGAGCGAAGCATTCCTTTAACTTATTCCAGTCCTTTAGGTCATAGAAGGTAGCCCAAAGAAATGCCAGATTGTTTATTGCGAGATAATCTGGTACCTGTGAGTTTTTAAACGCGGTATCGTGTGCCTTCTCTACATACCTTTGAAAGAGATTCGGTCAATCTCCAAAACTGATGGAATGTTCATTGTGAATGTAGAAGTTGCAATGCCAACAGGGTTTCAAGCGACGGCAGAGTCGCCTTATTTATGATGAATTGCCTCTTGAACAGAGCGCTACCCAGCTTGGTGCTACCCATCGCCAGCCGGCGGAGCCAATTCAGACGATTGGATGCACATGTCTTATGGGGCGATACGCCGGGAGCTGGTTTAGCACTGTTCAGCCATGACCAAAAGCATGCCAGTCACAAGCTGATGAAGGCGCGCGGCAAGATTGCCTGTGCCGTGATGGAAGGTCTTGGTCTACCTGGTCTCGGGTCAGAACATGGCACTTCCGCCGAACCGCACAGACGTTTGCGTCTGATTCAAACTAAAATTGCCCGAAGAGAGCGGCTTTACAAGGCCATTTAGTGCGACTGGTCTGAAATCAGGACTTGTACATGTTTAGCCCAAGACCAGGTTCGAGGCCAGAGCACGCTAACGTGAGGAGTCACTAACATGTCACTTCAGCAGAGCAAGTTGTTCTGTTTTAACATGTGTAAAAAATAGCAAGCATGGACAAAGCTAGCTAGGAGCGACAAGAGCGACAAGAGCCGAGCGACAAGAGCAACAACATCAACAAGAGCGACAACAAGAAGAGGAGGTACAAGAGCGACAACAATGACAACAACGACAACAACGACAACAATGACAACAATGACAACAACGACAAGAAATGCACATAGCCAAGAGACCGGTCACTGTGCGTAATTCTCGAATTCTTTCCATGTGAGTCGGTCGGCAAAGGATGGATCTGTAGTCCTACTCGCCGGGCGATGACATGCTCATGATATGTTGGAACACTCCACCTCCCTCGCAGCCCTGTAGGGCTCCAAGGCCAAGGCCGGAGGGTTCCGGCTTCTAAAAGTAATGGTTGGAACGCTCCCAGCCCTGAAGCGTTCCCCTCCCACCCACGGCAGATAAGATCCTCCTGTGGACATCCACCAGCGGCGCCAGCCCATGGAAGCACAGCAAGGCTAGAGGATGGCAGTGAGACGGGCTCTGTGGTGGACAGGGCCTGCGATGGACATCCACCTCGTCCTACATAGCCTCCACCGTCGTCGACAGCCCCTTCCCCCGTATCGTTCGTACTCGATAGGCAGCCACGGGCTGGCTGCGTGAGGATGGCAAACTATGTGGACATGCTCAGCGCATACCAAGGCCATCATTCATGTCTTGTCCATCGGTAGCAGGGTATAGTCACGATGTGATGATTTTGTCCCTATTCTTTTCTATGCTTTGGCCGGTCGCTCTCCCCCTCCGGTCTACTCTTTTCAATCGGCCATGGTATTCACCATGACCGCTCGAGTTTTGCTACCAAAAATTCTTTGGCCTCTTACGCACTTGTTGCTCGCCGCTACCTTTTATAGACTGCTTTCCCGGGGATGCAAATGTCCCGGGATGCTTTTTTCCTGGGAGGCCCGCGACGATCCCGGGATACTACTTTCCTGTGAGCGCCGTTTCTGTCCCGGGATGCTGCTCTCCTGGAAGCGCCGTTTCTTTTTACAATCATGTTCCCAGTCATCCAAGTACTGTCGCTACTTTTGTGAGTGTACCGGATTTTTGGGCCCAACTAAAAAGGCGAAGTTGGCCCCGTAACTAACTTACTGTGGAGGGGCAGCCTGCGGGGAGCAGCGAGGCCAGTGAGGGCGATGCTGGTGACGGGACTTCAGCAAAAGGTTTCTGCGCCCCGTCCGTTCCTACATCTGCCGATGCTCAGACGAAGCAAAGTGGAGCTTAAAAACGGCCTTCATGGGTAGCAAGGGCCCTTATTTAATTTCCCTTCTCGTTCACGGTAGCGAACCCTTGTTATTCATCATCAGGCAGCACTGCGCCAGATATACAAGTAGTCGGGGCTGGACAACCACAACCAGAATTCCCGGCTACATGGTCAACTTGCACGTTGTTGGTAAGAGCAATCACGCTCACGAATTTGGGGTCCTTGCCTCAACTCAGTCATCGCCATGTTCATGTTTCGCTTCCTTCTCGTGTCATTTTCCCTCTCTACCATCCTCAGCGCCACTGCGTGTTCCGTACTCCAAAACCTGGCCGCGTTAGATCCCATTATTAGCGACCCTGGCGAGCAAGACACCAGTTCCTACAACACCTTGGCCAGCCAGGAATGGACTCACGCGGCCTACGACGCACATATGGCCAGGCTCTGCCAGTCTATTGTCGATGGCGACATTGACATTGTCCTAGACTGCCTCTCCCAGCCAGACACCGACCTGAATAAACGTGACTACGCGGGAAGAACGCCGTTGCATCTAGCTGTAATAACCTCGACGCCTGGCATTGTCAGATCCCTTGTGAATCATGGCTCTTGTCTGACTGCCCGGCTGGCGAATGGTAAGACGGCCCTTCATCTGGCCGCCACAAGGGGCAACGCAGAAATCATCAATACCCTGATGGAAAGGAGCATCGAGAACGAAAAGGGTGGAGAGGAACGACATGCTGATCGGCGCAAGGCTGCCAACGGGTACATGCCCGACACCGAGACGAAACACGCCGCGGCTGGTATCGAGGATGACGGCAACGATGTCCCTGAAGGGTCTGAAGATGGGGCCGACTACTACCAGATTGACTCTCTTGCCTGGGACACGCCCTGTTCGCCGCTCTATCTCGCCATCGTCGAGGGCAATGAAGAAGCTGTCAAGCTCCTGTGTGATGTGGGTGTTCAGGCCATGCCATATTTCTTGTTGCTTTGGCTCATATAGCTAACTTGACCTTAGTATGGAGCAAACGTGACTCTTCCCATCAAGACCTTCAACCCAGACTTCGACGTCGACGACTTTGACAAATTCAACGACTATGACGACTTTGACGGCTATGACGACACTAAAACAGTTTTGGCCCTGACATTTGCCCTGTCTCTCCCGCCCGAAAAGGCCAGATCCATGGCTCGGCTGCTCCTCAAACTCGGTGCCACCTCCTCCCAAGCTGACTCCCGGGGCTGTACAGCATTCCAGAAGTTTGTCGACGCCGGGGGTGACATGATTGACGTCCTCCTCGAGAACGACAAGGTGGGCACTGAAGCGGCTATCAACCACCTGGCGTTCCATGAACCCAGTTCGACTACACCAACAACATCGCCACTTCTTCGTGCAGTGGAGAAAGAAGACTTTGCCGTTGTGATTAAGCTTCTGAACGCCGGAGCCAGCGTTCAAATTGACTTTGACACTTGGCTCAAGGCCGCCAAGTCCTCCCCAGATCACAAGTTGGGAGACTTGGAGCGCTCGCGGCGAGCGTACAAAGAATCCGTGGACCAGCCATTGATAGTCGCCATTCGTGTCGGCAATATCGATGCGGCCTTCAAGTTTCTGGAGATTGGCGCCGATCCAAATGCCTTGACGTCAGATACTCAGCGCCTCCTAATCGACGAGTCCGAGTACGCTCGCATGGATGTGTCGGGAAAATCAGCTTTGGATCTCGTTCGAGATCTCGCGGAAGCGCTATCTGTACACGATGACGAAACGACGGATCACAATCGGCCTTTCCTGCCCGTGGGAATGGAAGAGTATCTGCAAAACACTGAACCAGGGACATATCGGCACTGGATGATTTCAAAGGATATAAAACTTGTCAAGGAGGCGTTCAAGCGAGACGACACGTTTTACCAGGGAGAGTTGAAGCCCCATGAGACGTCACCGGCTGCGGCTGAGAAGAAAACCGCTGTTGAAGGCGCTTTAGCCAGAGTCAAGTCCCTGGAAGACGCCTTGATTGCCAAGGGTGGCAAGGTTTTTACCGAGCTGTATCCCCATATCGATGCACAAGACTGCGGGACTAGATGCTGCAATCGAGTGACGAAAACGCCATCGGAGTACAAGTTTACGTTCCAATTCACACGCGATATCGATATTACTGATGCTAGGCGAGATGGATATATTCAACTGTAAGTGGTCATTCCCGCAACATGAGTCATGACATACAATACAGAGACTGAAAGGCAGTAGCATGGAAGCTGCTTGGGCCGGAGACTTGAACCGCCTTAATTCGATGACCCTCGAAGCGTGGGGTCCTGGAAAGGGCCAGGCGCCTCTGAAGGTTGCCATTGTGGACAACTCAGGCAACTCTCCTTTCTCTCTAGCGTTCCTTCGCGGGCATCATGATGTGGCTCGAACGATACTAGAGATTGCAAAGGTCCAGTGGCCGTCCTCAGAGAGCGATCAGGCTCAAGAAGAGGAGAATGATGAGGGCTGGCTTGCATATCATTCCTACTTCTCTGGCGATGAGCTGCGAATGGACCTCCAGAAAGCAGTCAGGCCTCACACCAAACCACTGGAAATGATTTGTGATGGTACCCCGACCTTCCTTGTTGAGAATGGGGTTATCACAGCGGAATATGGGACAAGGAGTCTGTTTATGCATACTCTTGATACGGAAGATGCATCGGGACTCGAGGCTCTATTGGACATGGTGCAGCACCTTTCCGGTCAAAACTTAGCCAAAGACGACGAGAGATCCGAGCAAAGTTTCACTTTCCCTGCGTCTGTGTTCCGATGGACTATCGAGACCGGGAAGTTGCGTTTTCTTGACCTGATCATCAAGCGCACTGGCGCAGGCATCCCTCTCGACGATCTGGCCTGGAAGAAGCCCGATTTCTACCAGTGGATGCCAATATGTGCGGGTACAATGTAACTCTAATCTTCTCTTCGCTTACCCTTTGTTGAACAGACGGCTAACTCTTCGTACAGCACGGAGTGGGAAGAGAACGCTCGAGAGGAGGCGACGAGAGTGCTTGCCATGGAGAGCCCGCCACTCCTTCATGCTGCCCTTGGCGGATCTCTAGAGGGTGTCAAGTTCTTTTCGGGCGACGCGCCGCACCGACTGTACAGCGAGTTCGGCAAGTCCGAGACTGCTCGCTACGATGCTCGGCTAACAAGCCTGAGGGAGGGGCCCGAGGGTTTTGATGGAGCCATCTCGAAGTGGCTCAAAGCAGACAGTATGATTCATTATACGTACCGTGCATGTTGAGGGGACCCTTGCTAACTACCCGGAAAGACGATTTGGTGATTCACTGCGCCGTCCTCAGCCATGTAAACGAGGAATCTGTGGAGCTGCTCGAGTACCTCGTCAAGAAATACCCAGAGCTTATTCAAAAGAAGAATTCCGACGGCGAGAGCCCCTTGATGCTTGCGTGCCGGCTCGGCAGGATTGAATATGTCAAGGTCCTTCTCGCGGCAGGCGCAGACCAGTCGACCAGGAACGCCAGGGGCGAAAACATCATTTGCCGCTCTCAGTGGCAACCCTACGGCGGCTCAGCTCAAACCCCTTCTAGACCTTATCGACTCGGATTTGAGGAGCCGCTTGTTCTTGCAGCGCACGAGTCCACAGGAGCACCGCTCTACCCCCCTGCACGCCTGGATCTCGCGGCTCTGTGGGTTTGGCTCTGGCGAGGAGACTAGGGACGACTACTACTACTTCACCATCGGCTATAGCAGGGCTCCTAAGCCGTATCGCGACCAAAGGGTGGTTGTGGCCGTGGCGAATCTGCTGTTGGAATATTCCAAGGGGGAGGAGTTGGACATGCTCAACAGGGCTGGCGAGACTTGCCTTCACACTGCTGTCAAGGGCGAAATGGGGTCTCTTGTCAGGACTCTTATCAACTTCAGCCCGCGACTCCTGATGCTCGAGAATGCCGCTGGCCGCACGCCTGCCGAGATTGCGCACGAACGAGGGCAGAGGCAAATCTTGGATCCTTGGAGCCCCTCTGGCGACTTCGAGCACAGCGTCATCCGGCTGGCAAGGGATGATGTCGACGACTTCGCCGTCAGTGCCGCCCTCAATCACCAGAGTCCTGACGAGCTCAGGACCAAGCTTAGGGGCCTCGGTCTCAGTGACGACTACGACACCAAAGTCATTGACCGTCTGTTGCTCGCGATCGGCTGCGGGGAAAGTAGCGACTGGGGGTACCCGCCCTCCACCATCATGAAGAAGATTGTCTCGGATCTCTGCTCCACCGCCCTGGCTGAGCACCCCGGCAAGCGGCGGTTGGTGAGTCTGGACGAGGCCAACGACATGACCGGGAGACGTGGCGTGCAAGATACTGCGTCTCCCACCTTTAGCGTCCAGAGCCATAACTTGGACTACGACGTGCACAATAACTTGGACTACGACGTGCAGGATGACTTGGACTACGACGTGCAGGGTAACTTGGACTACGACGTGCAGTATTTGCAGGAACCAGGAGACTTTGTGGTCAAGGAGATGCAGAAGCGATTGTGTGGCGCTTGGCACTTCTCCGATTACGAGGCTGGTCAACTTGGTCTCGAGCAAGGCAAGCCCGAGGAGCTCGACGATGGTGCACATATTGGTTTACGTAGATGTGGGATGTGTGGGGAGTATGAGAACGAGCATGATGTCCCCCGACAATTCCCCATTTACGAATAGGTTTATTGGTATTAATACGTACTTGTGTGGTCTAGAGAGCGCCAAAGTCAATAGGGCCACCGGTTCTCGTAAAACCATGAACGCGACACCTCTTCTGTGCTCCCATGTCAGTGAAGACAATCTGTGGTCCTAGAACTGCTCGACGGATGGAACATTGATTCCTAGTGGACTGATTGAGGTCTGGAGCTTGGCGTCGTGCCAGAACATCTGGGGGCCAGCAGTGCGGTTGCTTCCGTTTTTTGTTTGCGCTTGGGGGCTACCCCTTGAGGGGACGTTGAGTGAACTCCAGGCATTATTGTGCAGGCGAAGTATCCGTTCAAGATGGAATTACTGTATGTAGGTGGCGCCTAGATTAGTGGGAATTATACACTGCTGCCCCGCAAAATAGAGTTAAATTGGCATGCAGCCCTACAATCCGCCCCTAGCGATGAAATGCTAAAGCGTGAGACTGGTATTTCGGATGACGAGATTTTTCGGGTTCCAATTCTCTATACTATAGTTCCTAAGCTTGAGGTTTCATCTAATGGGGACTTTGAGGTTGGCGTCCTATATCCCAACGCTGTTAATGGCCTTGTCACGACCATCCCATGCTGCCTGGCGCTGAAGCAAAGGGGTAGCCAAACGCTACGGGTACAGATGCAGCAGGCCGTAGAAGAGGTGTGTACAGAAAGACCGGGTTCAAAACCGACTTTGCAGACGACTGGAACTTCCATTCTCTCACATGAGAGACATTCACTGCCTCACAAATATTCCGCACGAAGTACCCGAATCTCGAGCTGCAGGTGCCTTGGGCTCCTCTCCAGCGTCTGCAGAGTCTCAGGACGCCTCAGGAGAGAGAGAATGAGCTCTGCAAGAACACACTTCTTCGACATTCAGTGAACTTGTTCATAAAGATTTCCTACAGACGTAACTCAAGCATAAATATTCACAGCATCAGGACATTTCACTCTTGCTTCCATCAGACCGCTTTCAAAACATTCTCCGCGGAATGCACGAGAGCCGCTCGTCTACTCGTGCTACCATCACCCAGTGTGCTCGCCGTCACTGTCACTAAATTTGACCTCTTCTAGCGAACGTAGAGCGAAACTCCATGGTAGGGCCTAGAAATGAAAATCTGACTGGTCTCTGCCGTTCTGGGAGCACCATCTTCTGTACCAAATTGGCATTTGATCATCTGCAAAATCCCACGTCACCGGCACTTCGAAATCAGGCGAGGGGAGAAGGTTTGGAAAGTTTGTAGGGCGTTCATCATGGTCCAGCTTATACAGCTCAATCTCGGTCCAGCGCTTGAGCCTGTCGAGGGCAAACTGAGGCCAAGAACTGCCTTTCCTTGTTGTGTAACGATGACGAAGGCTTGCAGACTTCAGCTCCTCCAAGATGATGGTGAGCTCGGGCGAAACGGTGGATCGCGAAGGTGCAATCTGGGGAAACAACGGCCGTGACCTTGCTTGACCGGCTGAAAACTCATGAGTTGGAATGTAGGTGTGCACGGCAAACTCCGAGAGCTCCAAAACGTAGTCGGGTGTTAGTCCAGTGCTGGCAAGAGCTGGCGTTAGGGGTAAGACCAGGGTCTCTTTATCGCCAACTCGTCGTGCACCTAACCCGGAAAGTGGCTCCTCCGCCAAATCAGCCCAGACCAAGTGTCGTGTATTCCAGCCTTGCGTAGCAAGCTCAGCTAAGCGTGCACCGAAGACATCATCTAGCTTCCGCAATGGCCAGCACTGATGATGAACAAGCGTGGCTAGAGGGAATACAGAGTATACTTTATTCCACGACATAAAGCAAAGGTCCAAAGTTGTGCAGGCAGACGCTAAAAGCGTATGTATTGGGGCTTGATCGGTCTTCGTGACGCGTATTTTGGTAGTAAATCCTGAACGACTAAGCGTGACTCGGTCGCCAACCTTATAGGACGTGTAAGCGCAAGTCAAAATCCCTTGGGACGAAACTCACATCGCTGACTCCCACATGTTGATAGGCTTCTTCCGCACACAGATACTGAATGAGGTTTTCCGCAAGTGGTCCACGTTCTACTAGAATGTCTAGGAACGAGTTGTCATACTGACGATAGCCGAGGAAATTAACGACGAAAGGGCCCACAACAAGAGCCCCAGCTCTGCCCAGAATATATCGGAAGGAAGCAGAGCTTTTAAGGAAATCCTTCAGCGCGCACTGAATGTTGAGATGTGCGTCTTGGAGGCGAAGCATAACACTTTGTAATAGTTTGCATACTCTGCGAAGTTTGTATACATCGGCCAGTGTAAGGTACGGAAATAGAGCATCCGCTATCGGATGACGTGTAAAAAGATCTAAAAGTTGTGGGCGAGCCATGCTTCGTTGAATTTCGGTGCGTTAGGCATGAATGACAACTTGCAGTCGTGAGCACAAGGCGTGCCTAAAACGCGGCCGCACGTGATTTCAGTACATTCCCGGATCGCTTATGGCTTTTTTTATGTATCTCATATTGCCGTCCGCGGTAAGGATCGATATCCGAATTAGAATGCTATTTTGCCCATGACCAAACCTTTCGAGTTCCCATTTCAATCCCAAAGTACATGTCGGAGTAATTTCCTTATTACACTGTAACTGCACGTACTGGTATGTCTATAGATACTATTCAATACTAGCATAGCATGGAGCCAGACTCGGATATAGGCAAAATAAACCCGAAAGCATACAGTGTGTGTAAAGTAGGGCTGGCACTATGAACGCATTGCTTTTCTTCAAACAATGCATGTACTGCACAGTACAGTACATCAAGCAGGACGCAGATTACTAATATCCACTAACGTTGGTCACCCACTATAACGGTGGCTTACTCCTAATCCACAGTCTGTTTTTTAGGAAGAGAGTTAGTTTAAATATATAGAGTACTAATAAGTGGCTATTATAGTATAGATTATATTAGGAAATATCTCCTACTAGTATAATTATTATTTAGATTAATTAATAGAGATTTAGTTTAACTATCTACTAGAAATCCCTTTCTTTATATATTTATTCTATCTTTTAGTAGTATTTAAATTATTTTAATTAATTATTTACTTATTAATCCCTTAATTATAATAATTAATATATAATTTTTTAATTATTTTATTAGATTATATAATTTTACTTTTTATTTTAAATATTTAAATATTTAACTTTAATTTAATTTATTAATTTTACTTATATATTCTATAGTATTTATAATATAGTTCTTTTTTTTAATAGTTTTATTAATAAGGCTATTAAAGTAAACTATTTAAGTAATAAGTAGTTTCCTCTTTTTATATTACTATATACTAGACTTAGTTTAATTATTTACTATAATCCTTTTTTATATACTTATTCCCTTTTATATTATAATATTTAAATTACTTAGTTTACTCTATAATCCTTATAATCTAAGATTAGTACTATATTATTATAATCCTTAATAATCTAGTTATATAATTAGTTCTTTTATTTTTATACTTTTAGAAGTATTCTATAGTTACTTATTTTACTACTCTACTTTTTATTTATAGTACTTTAGTATATTTATAATACTATAGTAAGTATAATAGGTTTATATAATAGTGGCTCTTCTCTAATCTATAGTAAATCTGTTTCTTAGGAAGTAAGTTAGGTTAAATGTATAATAGAGTGCTAATAAGCAGTATCGTAGCTTAAGTCACGTTAGGAGATTACTCCTAATAGTAGAACTATCGCTTAGATTGATTAGTAGAGATCTAGTCTGGCTATCTACTAGAATCCCTCTCCTTATATATCCATCCTATCCTCTACTGTGTTACCTGGATCACTTAGCTCACCCTGTGATCCTAGTGATCCTAGATTAACGCTGGATCACCGTGATCCCTAGTGATCCAGTCACGTGACTAGTTCCTTTATTCCTATGCCCTCGTAAGCGCCCTGTAGTCACTTCTTCGGGCCGCCCTGCCCCTCATCTGTAGCACCTTAGTGCATCTATAATAGTTTAATAGAAATATAAAAACACTTATAAAAAGAATATATATATTTATAAAACTAAATATAAAACTATATAAATAAAAAGAGATTATTAATACTAATACTAAAGACGAGAGATAAAATCCACTATATATATAAAAATATAAATATAAAATATACTAATAATAAACTTAACTAAAAGAATATTAAACTATTTTTAATAATATTTTATATAAAATCCTAATTAATAAAATTCCTCTTTTAAAAACTTAAAAAAGTATTATAATAGTTTTTAAGTCTTTCTTTTTTAATTATTTCTTCTTAGTTAGTTAATAAATATTAGTTAAAGTACTCTTTTGTACTTTATAGTATTAGACTATTTTCTACTACTAATAATATTTTAAATAGTGTTTTAAAGATTTCTTTTAGTATATTTATTATTTATAGTACTTTAAATAAAATTATAGTTAATAATAATAATTATTAAGTAATCTATTATATAAGCTATAATAATATTATAGAGAGGAAGGCGACGCGTTAAGGGTGTTCCTAAGTGGGGGTGTTCCTAAGTGGGGGTGTTCCTAATTAGGTGGCCGACGTTAGTGCTAGCCCGGGAAGCTTGGTTAACAGGTCTTGTTACCACAACCACTCTACGTCTGGGTTTTCTAGATACATGCTGCCAGAGAATGGAGCATGGCAGCGCGAGAATGGACTACATGCAGAGCACTGCCGTAGAAATTCAAGCAACCTGTAAAGCCACCCGCGCACTGCCCCGGGCGTAGTCACACGCAGCTTTTAGCAAAGCGTCCAAGGCTGTACACGAGTAGCTGCGTGCATATGGGTTGCCAGAGGCGTTCCTCCAAGCTTATTAGAGAAGGAGAGTACGCATGAATGATGACGGTGGCTCATTCAGCGCTCTTGCCGCCGCTGGCGTACGGATGATTGGAAAAAGCGTAGCGCAGATGCGCGATTAGCGGGGGAAGGCATAGATTGTGTTGCACGATATTGTGTATGGGGCGAAAGCAAAGAGCAATGTCCCGGCCGATCTGCTGCCGCATCGAGATAGCTGCGAGACCTGCCAACGTTGGCTTTGATCGCCTTTGCTTGTACGAGTTAGTTCAAGAGCAGCCCGTTGTCGTGTACTTCAATATGCAACGCAGATGCAACCCGCCCCGATGTTCAATGACTTGCCTGTTTAAAGTCATATCTTCTGATCAAGCTGTGCACAAATCAATCTTCTTGACGACTTTCTTGAAGAAGGTCTCCTGGAAACTCTCTCCATCGTCCCTCTTTATCCCTTTCAGACAGATTCGCACCACATCTGTGTAAATTTCCCCCATACGAGGAACGAGCGTCATAACTTCCTTGTTGACAAGCCATTCGCGAAATGGTTCTGCAGACCACCGCCGCCCAGAGTCCTCATATCTTTCTTTCAAACCGCTCAGGGACCGGCGGGACCCCAACTCCAGCAAGACCATGCCAAGGGCGTACACGTCGTGCGCCTTCCCAAATTCGGGCCTCTCAGTCCCGCGACTGGCTTGGGGGAGTCCCTGTACATCCGGGTGGCGGTACATGTTGTTGCTGGCGTCACCAGCCAGAGGTTCTGTGTCCTGCGGGGCTATGATATGGCGGCTGTATTCAAAGCCGCAGATATAGGGCTCGGCGATGTTGACTTGTGATACCTCGTCAGCGGCGAAGACAACATTACTGCTGCAGATATTCTTGTGCAGCCACCCAGCGAGGTGTACCCAGAGTACGGCGCGGCATAACACTTTTGCACAGGCAAATTTCTTGCCCAGAGGCAAGGGCGCCGCACGTTGGCCGTTGAGGATGGAACTGAGCGTGAAAAAACGGGCTGCTGGTAGGCGGTAGAGCAGCTTGTGGGTCGTCAATGTCTCATCGCCAACCGATACAACACCCAGGCAGTCGAGAGTGCGCATCTCGCGCGGCTTGCCCTTCATCGACAGCAGCCGCGCGACGTTGCGGATGCGCTCGTGGTGGCGCTGGTAGCCTCCTTCGCTGGGCACCTCTTTTTTCTCCACAAGAACGGGAACACGACGGGGAAACTTCTCCTCGTTGAAGTAGAATGCGGTGCCTCGGGACCCTTTCCATGCCTCACTTCCCTCCACTATTACATAGGTAGGCTCCTCGGGGTCGGCGCTAGCCAGCTGATCCGAGCGCTGCTCGAGGCGAAGGCTCTCGACCTTGAGCAGTGTCAGCGCCGCCAGGGCTGGGTCTACCTTGGCATCCCGGGCGGCCGCATCCAAGGTCGCGTGGCTGTTGGACTGGAGGGCACGGTTGCGGGCCAGTGAGGCGGCGATGTCGTCTCTCGGGGGTGGGAACTGAAGGAAGAGATCCTCGACCATGGACCTCACCGTGTCCACCATCCTGGGCGCTCGGCTGTCTGCCAGATAGTACCGCACCTTTTCCACGGTGCTCGCTTCAGCGTTGAGCCTTTCAATCTTGTCTGTCAGATCCTTGAGCTCCGCAGCTGAGACATCTCCGGTCTTAGACCACCTGCTCAGAGCCGCGACAGGAGACCGAGCTTGCCAGCCCGCCGTTTCTAGTGTAGGCAGAGCCTCCTCCGCCTTCGCAAGCTCGGCGAGCAGGTAATTGATGTAAACGAGGTGGCTTGTCGCCATCTCGACATAGCGCTGGAACCGGTCATCCTCAAGGTGGCGGCCGTCTGATATTCCCCAATCCGAGGCCCACGTGGCTAGACGGGAGCGTGTCCAAGACAGCTTCCGCTGGAGATCAGTGAATTCAGTGCCCAAGTTCCTGACCAAGCTGTACCTTTCAAAACCGTGCACACAGGCAGTCAGAGTTTGACCGAACAGGCTCAGCGACCCGAGTGCGATCCCGGCACTCTCAGGCGGTAGAAGGACCATCGATAGGAGTGTATGGGGGACTGGTTGTCCGAATTTTCGCTAGGTTCAGCTTGTCGTCTAGTGGACCTGCGCGAAAGGAGTACTTAAAGGCTTGCTCCGTGTCCATAATCCCCTAGACAAGAATGGTGTGATAGGCCTCAATACCAGAACGCTGAAAACATGCCACCTCTTAGGATTCATCACAGCCGCTTTGGCTATATCAGCTGAGCCCTTGCCCACCCAACTCACATGCCCATGCATAATTCTACTTAGACCAGCATTGCATGTCTGATTATTCTAAGTCTAGATTCTGCGGCTGAGGGGGCTCAGCCTTTGGCATCCGCTTCAGGGTCCAATAACAATCTTTCCGGTGTCTATGGCGTCCATACATACAGGCTTTCTTAGCCGCTGTGGCTTTATGAGCTGAGCATCCATCGTACGTATATGCCTAAGCATTATGCTAATTAGGCTAGCATAGTATGGCTCAACATCGCACCGTCTACATTTTATGGCTAGGCAGACTCAATCTGGGGTATCTCAGTTTCGGGGTCTAATAATAGTAATAAGCTTTCCTCCGACTATGGTATCCTCGTCGCCGAAAGGCCTTGCAACATATGGATGTCTTGGGAGCCAGCAAACTAATGTAATATCGACAAACCATTCTTATGGTACGATTGCTACAATGAGTGCAGCAAGTTCTAGCAGCGATCACTCTGGGTCCTTTTCCAGCACTAAGACGGGGCAGGATGGACCTAGGGCCATTGGTGACGCAAATACGGAGAGGTATGATATTCTCACTTTCTTCGCTCAGTTTGTGTCAATCCTGGGCCACAGTCCGGCAGCAGTAGATCAAGTATATCTCCTCATGATCTTCCTGGACGAGTTGACATACCAGCTTCCTCGAGAACGCGGTTCCGGAAGAACCAGCCGAGTAGCCGTCGTCAAGTCCGAAGCTATTCTCGAACGCGGGATATACCGCCATGACAAACCCATCCTGCCAGAGCTCATCGCTGTGAAAATGACGAAGGCGAGCACAATTGAAGGGGCAACGAGCGTTGACCAGACATTGCTTCGGTCCATGGCCACGGAGTTGCGCATCCTGAGCAACGACACCATTCGGTCGCACGACAACATCATTACCCTGCTTGGTATATGCTGGCAGCAGAGTAACGAGAACCAGGACGTGCTGCTGCCCGTATTTGTCTACGAAACATCTGAACTCGGCGATCTGAAGACGTGGCTTCCAGAGAACAAAGACATCGCACTCGGCGTCCAGCTCGACTTGTGCCTCGGCATTGCCCGCGGCTTGGCCTGCTTGCACGAAGCAGGTGTTGTACATTGCGATATCAAGCCCGATAATATTCTGGTCGTCTGGCAGGACGATCCCAAAAGCTCCATCGTTGCCAAGATTATCGATTTTAACATCGCTGTCTTGTTTCAAGATGCACCAGATCGTGTACCTCTGCCCGCAGGCACGAGCCCCTGGAACTCGCCGGAGCAGATGACAAGTACATTCATATACAAGGGGGATCTACCTAAAGTGGACGTCTACTCACTCGGGGTCCTCCTGCTGAATATTCTGACTGTCGACTGCTTGAATACAATACTGAATTTCATCGCCACCGGTGGGATAGAAGGCCAGACTTTGCTAGACTTCAAGCTATCTGGCGCTCTGGCGCTAAATTCTGGCAGTTTACTTGGAGAGTTTGGCCTGGTCAGTGGGCCGGAAGTCTATACCACTCATGTCGGTGACTTCAGGCGATGTTGGGCCAAGTCCAGCCTTCTCCTCTTCGGGGCATTGGATGGGGACTTGCGGCACAGGACAGGCTCGGTCGCCCAAATCGTTGACGAGCTCGCAAGAATCAATAAAGATGCCGAGGAATATGGGTTGCGAGACTACACGAACCGCGACCTCCATATCGTGGCCAGGGCCGCTGAGACGTTGCAAATGGTTACAAATCCAGGTGAGCAGCGATGCCAAGTCAGCAACTCGTAAGGTGCACACTGAACCTTAGAAAGGAACTCCAGAGATGCAGCATTTGCGGATACAGACGATGAAGTCGCTCTATGCATCCATTCTTGCCTCTGACTGGTCCTCAAGCACAGCGTCCAGCATAGCCCAAATGTCGCTGTTATCGAACAAAGACCTGGACCTCTCTAACCTCAGACTCACGAATACTTCCACTGGAGCTGAGCCTTGGGGGCCAAATACGCGTTTGAATTCGCGGAAAGGCCCCGAAGATGTGGTAGAGGTAAGCCTGTGGCTCTATGCCGCCCATGTAAACCAGCTCAAGGCCCTCTGCTAGCCTCTCGGCGGAAGTTGTTGTTGACTCTATACGAAACCTTAGATACACGCCAACTCTGGTACATACTGCCTCTTGCCACCAGCTGTCCGCCGGCATATCATGAGGCAACTTCACAATACCTATTGCAATCCAGCCCAATCTAAGCTACGCCGAGCTCGCGCAGCCTTCGAGCACGCTATTACTACCATATCTCTCGACATCAGCCAAGATCCTGACGATAAAAATGATGCGATGATTGTGGAGGCGCTTGATATGCTTTACTTTGCGGCAATGAACGGGCACGAGAACTCTCGGTGGATCCTTGGTTGGCTGCAAGGTGTTTTCAGACCCAATGGTACTCCGTTGATTCCCAAAGGCCAGGAACTTGACTGGCTTGCCAGCGGTATGACAAGCGGGAGTCGCGTATGTCAGCAACGTCTTCAACAGCTCAATCGGGAACGATATTCAGTGACGCTTAGTATCTTGCGCCGAGACTACGGTGGAATCGGTTCAGCAGAGTGGCGTTTGGCGACACTTCGCCATGACATCGAGAAGATGGAAAGCTCGGGAGCATTGTGGTACTACTCGACAATTGGTAATGGAATTGAAGTACGGAGAAGACTTTCTGCTCACCCAATGACCGTGAATACCCCGTTTCTGGGCGAGACACCGTTGGTAGGAGCTTGTCGATCTGGACATGTTCATGTTGTGCGTTTGCTCCTAGAAGGTGGCGCCTCTGCGGCACAGCTGGACGATGGCGGAAGGGGTCCGCTGCATTTCCTCAGCTCATTTGACCAGGCAGACATGTCGCATATCGCTAGCCAGTTGGTAAATGCCGGCGCGAACTTGGAGGCATGGAGCTTGCGCTCGTCGGACCTCAGCAGCGGAAGTGCCGGCCAGGACAGCCAGTACGGACACGCCAATGGGACGCCCCTTTCTTGGGCCGTGCAGGCAAATTGCCGAGAGGCTGTCAAGATCCTCCTTGAGTTGGGCGCAAAGGTCTTCCCGCAGTCCCGGCCGATAACTCGAACGGGCCGACACTACTCGCCAGTTCACTGGTCTGCACGTATGCACCAGTTCGAAATCTTGGACCTGCTCCTGAGCTGGCCCGGGATAAAGAGTACTGTCAAGGATTACCTCAACAGTGCTTGGGAGGCGATCCAGGAAAATACGGAGTCCATGCTCCCACTTGGTCTCGCGGTGTCCTATACTGGCGGGCTTGCCCTGGCACGGATGCTCCTGCACGGTGGCGATCACATCGACCAGTGCTTCAAGACTGTGCATCTGTTGCTCGATGCTGGAGCAGATGTAACGAACGGCGGGGAGACTGGGGGATCAGCCTTGAGCTGGGCAGCTAATCTGGGACCGCCTCACGGGCTACGGGCTTTGGTCAGTTGGGAAAATGGCCGGTTCCAGCCAGACATAGGCGACTGGACGAAGAGTCTATCTTTGGCTTGTATCAATGATGATCGCTCCACATTCGACGAGCTCCGAGCGCTTAACGTTGCCACGGACAGCCACTACACCTGGGTGAGTATCCTAGGCGAAGTGGCACTAAGAACTAACGAGCAACATTATATAGATGCCATCATCACCAAGCATCAGGGGCTAGACACGGCGGCGGCAGACTACTCGCCTGCCTTTGCAATCGCCTGGTCACGGGGCCACGAAAAGGCTGCCAAAGTTATATTCGAGCGCGCTTACCATTGTGACGTTATTCTGCTGCACCACCTACCACACATCAACGCCTACCGATCCATCTTAGGCGACCTCATATGGGATGCCAAGTTTCATCCACGCCATTCAAGAACTATTGAATCTTTCCTCAATTGCGTTGGCGCTCGCGACTCAGTCTTCGAATGCGTCATTCAAATGGATAGCAACCCCTCGAACGTGATGAATGCCCTGCAGTACGCGCTCGTGTACCGTCCCGGCTCCAACGTCGACGCCGGGGTTGAGATCATCCGGGTTCTCACAAACTACTTCAAAGACCCGTTAAAACACCTCGGACAGACCATTGGTGCCGACTGCTCCTCCTTACTCCATATGGTGGTGCAGATGGGGAACCCGCCGGCCGCTGACTTCCTCCTCAAGCTCCGCGGTATCAATGCTAGTTACCGCAACGCCAGCGGCTTTACGGCATTTGATTTACTTCTTACCCGCTGGCAGGACTCGACCCGGAACAGTAGCTTGGCCTACACCAGCGCGCTTAAAGCTGGGGTATCAGAGACTGTGGCTAAGGAGAATTGGGAGACCGAGACATGGAAACTCTTGGAGGTGATGCAGCGTAGGGGTGCGAACAGATACGGCTCGATATCACACGCGATCAAGAGGTTGTCTGCGGAGCAAGTTCAATGGATCCACGTTGATGAAGACGGACGAGTCGACATTGCCAAGTACTCGCACCAATGTAGGCGAACCCTTACCGACACAGACCCTCAAACCTCGTTTCTCATTGCGCTGAAGCTGACGACCATTCCCCAATGCTTAGCTATGCTTTCCAGTCTATCAGCGATAGTGCCGACACCGCCACTCGAGTTAATCCAGCGAAAAGTTGCAAATCTTAGTGTAGGTAAATGTACCTATATCGCATTACGAGGGTCACGAGAAGCAGCTCTATAAATAGGGGGGCTTAGTAGAAAATAAGATTTTAGTCTTATTATTTATTATTATTTATTCAAGTAATAGAAAAGACTTAAGTAAATATTTAATTAAATTTATATAATTAAGTAAATTTATATAATTAATTAAATTTAAATATATATATTAATTTAAGTAAGAATATTAAATCTCTATTAGTAGTAATACACTTTACTCTATAGACTTCTATACTAGGATAGTATAGAGTCTCTAGGTAATAAAAGTTATTTATATAATTATAATAGTAGCTTATCACTAATCTATAGTAGACTTATTTCTTAGGGATTAAACATCACAATGTGTTAGTAGTATTACAACACAACAAAAGCACACTATAGGCAGCTTGCTTGTACCTATAAATAGGTCTATCTAATCTCTCTAGATAGAGAAGAAATACACTTAAAGAATCACATTTATAACTATTATAAGCTAGTAGACTAACTCACAAAGTATAGTACTACACTCCCTACGAACGAGTATCTACTATCTATCTTATATAGGAAAAGATAGATAAAGATATAAATAAAGATTAATCACTAAGCCTAGTGGGCGTTAATTAAGAGAATAGAGTATCTAAAGCTTAGCCTAGGAGCTAAGCTAAAGCAACTCCTAGAACTCAGCCTTCCCCACCGCCTACTCAGCTATCTCTTAATAGTATAATTATAATATAGTGACTTTATAGAATACTATAAGAGATTCTATCCTAAATAAGTAACGCTAGAGTGCCCTTATAGGCGCTAGAAATCGCCCACCTATCTTTTCTACTATAGGAAAATCCCTAACTATTTCTAGGTTTAACTAACCCCTAACCTAGAGACAGTAGAAGGGAAATTTCTTAGTAGATCCTATAAAGTGTATATATAGATTACTAACTTCTACTACTTAAAGATTAATAAGTGTATATAATATTATATAGAGTGTATAAGTCTAGTATACTCTATATAGTATCTAGTCTAAGTAGTTTATACTATTTATAAAACTTATTTATTTCTTTTATTTTTAGTATTATACACTACTAATAGTAGGGCTCTTACTAGTCACTATATAAAGACTAGGAGATAATAGTTATTAGTATAACGCGCTCGTGGTTACTACCTTAAGCGCGTTACGCTAGAATCCTCGTGATCCCACTAATAGGTATCGATTTAGATAGATACATACTATTAGGCGCGACACTGCTATAGTTAGAGGATGATGGTAGGGAGAGTATTCTAGGGGCAACTAGTGAGAATATGGGCGCGCGCCGCCCTATAGGGGTACGCCTGTATGTTTATCCGTAGAAGGCGCGATAGTACGTCTAAAAGTCTACTCTAGGGCGCTAATAGACGTAAATAATTAAATTAAATTAAATTAACTTAATAGGAGTAGAAAGGAATTTAATACTTTTAAGGTATATATAGTTTAAGTGAAAGAAATACTTAGACTATATTATAATTTATACTACACTTGAATATAATTCTTAAAAGTAGTGACTTAAAAAAAGTAAAAGGAACTATAAGAGGTATAAGGTAATAGCTAAGAACTTATATAAGAAATAATACTACTATGTTTATTTATTTAGTATAAGTATATTAGTCTATTAAAATAGGAAATTCTATAGCCCCTAAACTTTATAATTAAAAGTAACTAATTCCCTTTAGCTCTTAGTAGATTAATTAACTTACTTATACTTCTAATTTAATAATACTAGTATTAGTAGTGTTTATTATTCTAGGATAACTACTCTTTTAAAATTAATTAGTATAACCTAATTATTTCTACTATTTTATAAGATATTATTAGGTATTAAGTCTAAGTGTAGTACTCTATACCTCTATATAGCTTATAAGGAGATCTTAGCCTTATAGATTAGGTGATTATAATGTTTAGACTATTATATAATAGCTCTCGCGATTAGAGCCCTAGTATAACTTATTAGTATAATATATATAATTTATATAATACTATTATAATAAAAAGAGGGGACATTTAGGCCCCCTAACACTATAGGCACGTATAGACTCTAGATCTTAGCTAGATAAGTGTATATAGATTCTTTATATTTTAAATCACTAATAAATTCTACTAGTAT